AAGATTGGTGGACCATAAGATTCTCATCCATCCTTCTAAGGAAAAGTATATGGACATTATGCAGTTTCAGCATCAAATCTACGCTTCACAAGTTAAATAAAATATAATTTACTTGTTTATCCATGCAATAGTCCTCCTGAAGAAGAAGTTTGTGAATAAGAGACTGATGAATTAGGAGATTATGAATTTTATGGATTTGAGGATACATCTGATGAAACATTTGAATTTTCAACTTGGGATGCTGGTTACTCTGTTTCTGGTTGGATCAAATGGGAACCAATAGAAGATTAAGATGTTTGGCACACTGTCTTCAGATTATCTGAAAATCCAGATGCTAATTTGGAAGAGATTAAATTAGGAGATAGAGATTTGGCTGTTTACATTGGTAATTATATGGTTGGAAATGTATTCTAATTTACTACTTACACATATTCAGGATCTGGTAATCCTAATTTGTGGGACTCTCTCAGTTATGGAGTAACCTTGGGTCAATGGCAACATATTTACTTTGGATATAACAGAAAACTTAGATTCGCTAGTTATTGTGTTAATATCGTGTTTATAGAGCAACCATTGGTTGGAGCAAATTAAATTTATGATGCTCGCCATTATCTTGTACCTTGGAGGAGACTCTACATTGGTAATGATGGTTTATACCCTGCTTTCAGTGGACAATTCTATAATTGGCGTGTCAATCGTTGTATTGGTTTTCCTGCTCGTGATGTTGTATTAACACCAGATGACATACCTTTTGGATATAATCCTCTCCCTGAAGTTCCTGAAAGTCGTCGAATTCCATAAATTGAAACATTTGCATCTCCTGAAGAAGAACAACCATATTGGGGAGAAGAAGAATAAGAAAGAGTTCCTGTTGAACCAGATGCTGTTCCAAATGTTTTCCCTGAAGAGGAATCAATTTGGCCAGAAGAAGAGGAAGAGTTTGTTCCTCCTCAAACATTTGCATCCCCTGAGGAAGAATAACCATATTGGGGAGAAGAGGAATAAGAATTCGTCCCTGTTCCACCAGCTGAATAACCTCCTGTTATTCCTGATGAAATTTAACCAGAACCATTGCCTGAACCTGAACCTTAACCAGAGACTCAACCAGAACCTGCCCCTGCACCTAAACCAGCCCCAGGACCAGCTCCTACTTCTGAGCCATAAGTACCAGCTGTCAAAGAGTACTTTATTTTAGTATATTTAGATGTGAAGCAACAATCGATGTCACTAAAGAAAATGCTGCTGATATTTTATGTGCTATCTCAGAGTATTTAGCTTAATTAGCATCTGGCCATGTTCCAGAATTAGGTATCAATCCATCAAGAGTTTGTTTCTGTTTGTAGTATGATGATAGTAATACTCAATATTTATTTTAATTAGGTGATTCAAATGAGGCATTCATGCAGGTAGAAGCCATTCTTAAAGAAAATGATGCATTCACTATCAACCAATTAGTTGGTTAAAGAAGAATTTGATTTAAATAATAAACATCATCAAATTTATAATCTACAAGTTCTTAATTATATAATCATTTGTCTTGAATCAATCTATCTATTCAAGCTTTATTAGTATTTTTTATTTTATTATTATGATATGAATTTAAGACTTTTGAGAAGATGTTTGAGCTTAATGAAGATCATTTAATAAATAATTGTATTTGCAATGTAATTGCAGAAAAAAACGAGAGAATTTATAATATATAAATATGTAGGAAAATTAAATAATAACAATTTCAATTAATCTGCGAGCTTTGTATTAATAAATATAATGATTTTTAACCTAGTTAGTTTAGATTTGATCTCATGAAAATCGCATTTCTGAGACTTTGATGATCCTCAATGCTCTTTTATTTTTACTTTATATCCTAGTTCTGAATTGATATAAAATTTTTATTTCCAATTCCTAGTTTAATAAATTATTTTTCTCATTAAAAGTACAAGATTTTCAAAGTGATATATTTTAAAAATTGTGCTAAAATGCTTAACAGCTTGTTAATTATCTATAAAATATAAACAAAAAAGAAAAGAATTCTAATGTTCAACAAGAACTAAAAAGACTTAAGCAAATATGTAGTAAATAACCAATATTTTGTATTCAATTAATGAATAAATATATTTCTCTTAGTTATTTAAATCAACTGAATAATTAGTAGGAGAACAACAAGAAATTCCCATGATTAAAAATACGCCTGAGCAAATAATATACAATTAATAAGATATAGAATATGATACCCATTTATATTTCTATCTGACTCAACTTATTAAACACTATCTAATTAAATTAAACCATTTTATTTAATAGTAATTTGATCTCCATTATGAATTATATGATATGTGTATGTAGACTCATTAAATAATAGCAATTAAGCTTACTTTGAAAATTAAAACAGATTTTTTTTTTAATTGTATGCTAAAAATCAACTTAAAGATTGTATCAATACATGAATGATGATTGTGAGTATTAGTATTCGTTTTCTTTTTTTGGCTATCGAATTATCTATTAAAGTTATTGGAATTTGTTTTATATGATGCAATATTAATTTAATGAAGGGAAATATTTTTCACGTAGAAATCAGCTCTTAAAGGCAATAATTCAAATCTTGTCTTATTTGTTTCAAAGATTTTAGTGTGATGACAAAAGAACATCAATGTAAAAGGTACGAAATGTCTGATTAAAATTAAGATGTAAACGAGCGGTGTGTGACAAATGTGCTTAAAATAAAATGATTATATTGGGTTATTCGAAAAGTAAAGATCCTCATAGGGTTTGTAATATATGTAAATCTGAGACAGATATTCTAAAATAATTTGTTAAAACCAATATTATCCAGTTTAACAAGGATTCACTTGGAATTGAGTGGCTTAAAAATCTTGGTGTTGACATTCGTTAGATAAAGGAACAATACAAAGTTTAAGAATAAAAGGATATGATTGAATACACTTAGTTTATGAATTCGTTGGATTCCATTTATGATGAGATTGATAGGAAAATGAATTATTCAATAAGAGACTTTCTGAGTTTGGTAGTGTAGGTAGACAAAGGTTCAGTGTTGGGCTCTATCAGGAATGTCCTTGGAACCTTCCTCAGAAATTATCCAGAAGTTGGTTATCATCCAAGTTTGGTTTTCACTACTTTGATTTTACTGTGTTTAAGCTCTGAAGTTACATCTTATGGATTGCTCAAAGTGATGTACACGCAAATAATTCCTAAAGCCGTGCACTTTCGTAACTTAAGGCTTGGCTATGACTTTAAATCTGAGCTTGGTGTGATGATCAAATCATTCCACAATTTGAAAATTCCAACTGAACCTATCAAACCATTTCTGTAAGAAGTGGGGCCATATATTGTGTCTTTGACAATAAATGCTTTTGAAATATAGACATCATTGTTCATGTTCTCTTAATTATTTTAAGAAGATGGATTCAATGAATTTATAAAAGTGCTAGCTTGTTCATTTAGTGTTCATTAATTCAAAGAGTCTGTAGAAAAGAATAAATTATTTATCCTTTGGAATGTCAAAGATCAATAGTTTTAGAAATACTATTACGAAACCAAAAAGTAAAGAAGCGATTCTAATAGCAGTGTGAGATCGATGAGTCAATCAGAATAACAATAATAATTAGAAAATAAATTTAAATAATAAATCAGTTTACTTCAATAAGAAAATTCATCCTTAAAATAAGAAATGGCAGTTGATAAGATTAAGATTTCTAAACAAAAAATAGAGATTGATTAGTTAGCTGATCAAATATCAAGTTTTTAAGAAGAAATCAAGAATTTAAAACTACAATATCAAAAAATTGAAACAGAAAACTCTAATCTTTTGGAATCCAATCAAAATCTTAAATTATAATTTATGAAATAAGAAAAGGCCAATGAATCATCATCTTTTACATTATCTACTAAAAGCGATTCAACCCATTTAGAAAATGAACTCTTAAGATGCAAATAAGAAATCGAAGTTTTAAAACTCTAAAACACCAATCCAACCTAAATGGCATAATTAGTTAAATTAAAGAATGAGTAAATTGCTAAATTAACTCAAGAAAAAGCTGAATTAGAAAAAAAAATAGAGGAGCTTGAAGAACCAAAAATATCTAAGAGAACATCTTCAGTTGCATAAATCAGTAGTGTTATTAAAGACTTAGAAGATGGAAAAAATCTACTTGAAAAGAAAAATTAAGAAATCTTGTAATTAAAAAAATAAATATAAGAATTATAACAATAGAAAAAAACAGATTAATCTATGACTTCATCTCAAACCTTAGTTGAGATCACTCAAAGAAACTCTAAAGTTGATAATGAAGATGATGTTTCAGATGATCTTCAATTATTGATTCAGGATTCAGATCCTGCCAAAAAAATAGCTGTAAGGAATATCAAATAGATGATAAGTAAATTAAACGAGGAACTTATCTATTATAAGACTTAAGCAAAACTAAAGAAAGAATAGGTAGAACCATTCCGTTAGAAAAGTGAGTCATTATAAAAATAATTGGACTATTTAGTTGAATAAAACAAAGAGTTATAAATTGAAATTGAGCATAAATAAGATCTGATATAAGAACTTGAAAAAAAGAGAGTCAAACAAACAATTGACCCAAGACCATAAGTCGCTCAAGATGATAGACGGATCTTAAATGAAAACAAGCAAAGTTGTGCTGCAAATTCAGATTGCAAGATTTTCTGAATCAAATATATAACAAATTAATTCATTTATATTGTTTAAGTTAGAATCAAGCAATTTGATATTGCTTTTCATTTTTAATTTAATTCCAATAACTTGTCAAAGGTTGATTATCTGCCAGCTCTGCTTCTTTGTCACAATCTATAAATAAGCATGACAACATTCTCTTGATATGGATTTCTGGCTGATTCCAATAATAATCCATCAGTTAATTTTCATAATGTCAATAGAATTATTATTTTTAGTTATAAATAATATTCCATTATAAAGATAAATATTTTGAATAGCATTATTTATAAATTAAAAAAAATACATGTAATATAAAACAACAATTATCTCAACTGAAAATATATTCGACTACTATGAGATTATTCCTGATTAGGTCTAGGTTTAAGAAATCAAAAAGAATAGAACTATATTAAAATTAAGGATGAAAAATGAATATAGAGAGACGTTAAAAAAAAAAGAAATAGAGAAAATAGGAGAGAAGTTGCCAGATGATATAAAGAGGTTATTTAGTTCATTGAAGAAGTTACAAACTTTGATAATTAATGATTTTCGAATAAAGAGTATGGGTGAGGAATTGAAAGAAATAGAGGAGAAATATAGCACTGAAAGGAAATATATTGCTTTTGATATCAAGAAACTTGATTTAAAATAAAATGAAGTGAAAATCATTAGAAGATGTAAATATCTGGGTATTTAATAACCCTTGGTATTGTATATGCATAACAAAAACAATACATATTTATTGTTTAATGATATCCTGGAGTATTAATTGTCGGATGAAAAATTAAAAACATTAACAAAATACGATCTTAATAGAATATTAGTATAATTAATATTACGTATGTAATTTCTTTAAATTTTAAGTTTTCAATGAGTTTGAGCAAAGAAATTTTTATTGGTAATTAAGTGATTTAAGTTAGCTCTATTATATCGAAGAAATTCTCTAAACGTTAGTTATTGATTATGTAAGAAATGAAAACAAGTATGAAAGAGAACAACTATTCAAACAATTGAGTAATTTATTTTAATATTCTAAGTCGCCAAACATTTCTCCAAGCTTTTAACATCGCTAAAAATTGATATTTTCCAATAAGATGATTAATTTAGAAATTTTTTGAAGAGTTTAATGGATCAGGAAGGAATTAAATCAGGACTAAATGAAGTTGAAGCTGCTTATGAATAAACAATCAAATGGCTGTTAAATGTAACAGATTTTAAATTAACATATTACACTCCTTACTGTATTATTAAATAGTTCGAAACCCCTTAATAGATTAAAAAACTAATACATAATTTGCCTGAAAGGATGGTTTTTAAATAGAAAAGAATTCATGAGAGCCATAAGTTTTATATTCAACTAAGAATAAACTTAGAAAGAGAAATTGAAATTTCAGAAAAAAATATGGAGTATAAATAATTATCATCATGTTTATTTTATATTAGAATATTAGGAAAACCATTTCTTTTTATGAAAATGTATAAGTACCATCTTGGTGTTATATTATAATAATGGACCTAGAGGCAGAATATTGAATACTAGAAATTAAAAGTCTATCACTTATGTGAAAGCTTTTCAACTGCAATTTTTGGGTTGAGGTTGGGTAATTTTATTCATAGAGATTTGAAGCCTCAAAATATATTTTTAGATGATTGGGATGAGAATGATATTGAGTTTATGCTAAGATAATAAATTGTTATTGCTGATTTTGATAGATCAAAAATAGATGATTCTTCTAAATAAAAAGGATAAATAGAATAATTTGGAGGCTTTAGCAGCCTTTACTCAGAAGATTAAATATAACAATAAGAGTCAGAATATTTAGCATAACAATAAGAGTCAGAATATTATAGATAACAAGACCAAGAAAAAAGGGAATATTAAAAAAATATTGGAAAAATATAACAATGTGGTCATCAACAAAAAATGTAGAAAACAACAATGACTGTATTAAACTCAGAAAATACTGAATAATATGACCCACCAGAAATTGAACAAACATTTAAGTATGATGTTTGGCAATTTGGCCTTATCTGCTTATCCATTGCTAATAAAGGTGTTTTTGCTGGATATAAATTTGGAGGCAGAGGTCTTAATGATGAAGAATATAAGTAATATTATTCACTTGAAGCAATAAAAAAAACTTTAAGTCACACAGATTATTCAGAAAATTTTTTGAAGCTGTTGGCACAATGTTTGGAATAAGATTACAAAATTAGAAAACCTCCTTATGCAGAAGAAGGGAAGGAAAAAACAGAGTTGACTGGTATATTATGGAAATTGCGTAACGAAGAGTATGAAAAATATAAAAATGCACAAAAAAAATAATAAATAATTTAGTAATGAAAATAATTCACTATTTAAACCTTAAAACTTTCTCCAATTCAATTGTCATAATTAGAATTATTGCTTATGAGTTGAATATTAGAATCGTAATCATATGCTACTTCATCCAATTTCATTGATATCTTTTACAATTTGGCTGCCTATTTTTTTTTTAATTTTCTTTATGATAAAAAGTTGTCTGGATCTTAAGCACCGACTAAATATTATTCAATAGCTAGTATATATTCATCTACATTTTCTATTCTATTGGATTATATCAAATCTAAAAAGGCACAATTCTCCATGTAAAATTAAAACCATTTTCTACATATTTCATTGCTGAATAAAGCCTTAAAATCTTTAAGTGTGTAAGTTGATTGTTTTCCTTTAGTCTTTTTATTTAAAAATCTTTCCATATATAATGGGAATGGAGGGTGAGTTTTTTACTTTCCATCCATTGAGGAGACATTGTCCATAAACTTTTTGAAATTGTTGCCAAATGTTTTTGGAATATTTTTAGAATTGGTTTCTTTGTTTATTAGAGTGTAAAATCGAAATTAAGTCATGTTGGCTTATTCATTTGAAATATATGTTTTCAAAGGAGGGACTATTTCATTTGAAGTATATTAGTATTGTTCATCTTCATTATTCGAATCTATTTTATTAAAATTATTATCTTGTCTTTCTTCATTCTCCCAGTCATACATTGATTTTGACTTTTAATTTAATATATGCTAATATTTAATTTCCTATTTATTTCTAAGATCATTCATAATAATTGCAAATTGATTTATATGTAGATTATAGTTGATTTTTTTATTCTATTTACAAATGTTGTCTTCTTTAGGATTATTGATAACATTTTGAAGATTCCAAGACAAGCTTCACTTAATTTATATATGTTATTTATCAAAAGCATTAAAACTAATTAATAAAATATCTGCTAATGGAAATTGAAATTAAATAGATATTATTTTCACTTTAGTGTGATAATTGTAGGATCCCATACGAGCCATTTCGTTTATTTAATTTGTTGAATGAATGAAACAAAAGGGGTTTTGTTTAATACTCTTAGAATATTTTACTATAATTTTAATAATCAAGTAGATTTTTCCTAAAATTCGATTAACCAAATTTTTAGTTTTTTAGAAATGAAATCAAAAAAGAACTAAAAAATATTGTCTGAACTATTGCATTAAAAATATTATGAAAATGTTTATAGATTTTTCATTTTTTTAAATTGATTAAATTGAAATTGTGCCGATATTATTTATTTTTCAATAGTGAAGAGCAGAATAATCAATTTCGAGGATAGTTAAATTAAGATTGAAAATGTTATAATTTTAAAATCATCAACCTTCTATTTTTACTGAAACCAATAATTTACAAAATTAATTTATCTACAAATTATCAAATTTAATATGTTTATAAACACTTTTTCTATTATATACCTTTAAAGTTCTTGGAATATAAGAATTTCGATGGATATGGCTTTTTTATTTGCTTAACTTAATCAAAATAATTTTATATATTTTCGGTTCTATTTGAAGAGATCTAGTTTAAAACATTATGCCATTAAGCAAAAATAGAATTTCAAAGTTCATTTAAACTGAAGATAATCAAATTACTTCAGATTCTAATGAATAACAATAAGAAAAATGGATAAGAGTTACATAAGATAACATACATTGATATTTATTTCATTGTAAAAATTGAACTTGATAGTTTATCACTTCGATTTATTATTTGAGTTTGGAAATATCTTGTTAAAAGAACCTGGAAAAAATTTAGAAATAAATGGATACTTAGTTTGTTCTTTAAAACATTATTGCATTGCATTAATATTTAATTCTTGAGTGGAAGATATTTATTGCAAATGAGATCTGAAAGTTTATGATTGTTAAATGACTTATTTCTTAATTTATGACTATTCAATTTTCAAAGATTGCAACTTAAATTTGATCTAAGTGGATTAGGGATATAAAATGTACAGATTTCAGAGTTTACTTTAGTTTAATTTCTTTGGGAGTTGGTTTGTTTTAGGGCTTAAATTTAGTTGGAGCAAGAGATTTGCCATGAATCATAAATTATATAGGCGGTTAAGGCGATGATTAATATAAATGAGGTTTTCTGGATAAGGCTGCTGACTCATTTCTAACGATAAACATCTATCGATGTGAGTTTTTGGATGTTTAAGTTTTCATTATTAAATAATTAAATTGTATGTTTCATTAAAGAATAATAGACAGATAATAAATATAGTTAATTAAAAAGTTCATAAATGGCGAGCATCAAGATATTGAGTAATTTAAACTATATAAATTGCTTGATTAAAATTAAAATCAATCATTCTGGATTACTTGGATGAGGAGAGGGAAATTATATAATGCCATAGAAGTTCTTAAAGAAAATTTACACAAAAATTATACAATTTAAGGAGAACAACTAATCATTGGAGAAATGGGAAATTTTTATTCTCTGATTTAGCTATACTTTTAAATAATGAGGGAATGCTTTTTTTTTAACAAATGATTCCCTAAGACATTTTAAATAGTAAATACTTCGAAAATCATATAATTTGAATTAAGAAAATTATATAAAGTTTTTATTTCAAGCTTAAGTTGTAGTTCTTAGAAAGTAATAACAAAATATCCTTAAAAAAATAAATTAGAAATAATAATTAAATATTATTAGGTAATTCTGTATTTGAATGAATAATTTATGTTTATTATACAATCAATAAATGTTTGATTCTTTTTCTATAATTTTATCTGAAGCACTCATCAGTTGAATAAAATTGATATACTAATTAAAATGATGATTAAATATTTTACATGTTTTAAGCATAAGAATGGAACTGATACGTACATTAATGCTTAAATGAAAAACCAATCAATAAATACATTCAAATACAAAGTTACCATTGCAGTCTTTAATGTAAATATGAATTATAATTACTTCGCTTAATAAAACCATGATGAATAGCATATATGGTACTTTGTAATATATCTCTAGAATTTTGTATTTAGAGACTGCTGTTTTGTGATGTTTTTCATTACAATATAAAGTAGAGTACATCTGATACCAATGACTACATAAATCCAAGGCCAATGCCCATAAAAACAAAAATCCAATGGTGGGATATAATTTATAGAGTACTGCCAACAAACAAGCATTAGAGAATCTATCAGTGACCTAGAGATATTAATCATAAGAAATACCATGTCTAAGACACTTCCAAAAACACTGCATTAATTGAACTTTCTGGCAGCCATTCCATCAAAAAGATCACCCAATTAACTCACAGAGTAAGCAACAGCTGAGACAATTGGATCAAAGCTTCCTGTGTAACAAAAGACAAGAGCACATATCACTCTTGCATATCCAATTAGATTTGGAATATAAAAGTATACAGACATATGTAATTAATTAATTTATCATTTTATAAACATTAACACTCTCAATAAATCATCAGCATCAAATCCACAACTATCAAATGTTCGTAATTTGTTATACCCATCTCTTCCCTAAGCCAATATCATTTTTTAATCCACCGAATAAAACTCCTCGAAACTCATATCCTTTACTAATTCTGTTCCAACCTTACCAACAACATAAATTTTATCACATTTAAATGATTTGGTTGGTTCATTAGGTAATAATTCATACTCTTCAATTTCTGTCAATAGATTCTTTGTAACTTTTATGGTTGGTATCCTTAAATCTGCCATTGCCTCATATATTGATGTGCAAATAGCTTCTAAGTAAGCAATATCTATTTGGCATAATAGAAACACTTCAACAACCAAGACCCATCCTTTTTGACCAACCTTTAACTCACTCATATCAGTTTTATAAAGAGATTCTAATAACTCTTGAAGATACTAAGCCTTTTGTTTTTCATCATTTGTTCTCTTCATTGAACTTACATTTATCTTTATTTATGATTAATCACCCAACTCCAACTTAATTCCAGTGTAGATTGTGATTTCTCCCTCATATTTGCATGAACCACTTGTACATATAAGATGCGATCTCAACAATTTAATTTCTCTCACTTCATTATTTTTACGTCCATCACTCCTTATGTTGACTGCAACTCCTCCTTTAATGAATTCTATTTATCCTGTGCTTAACATTAATATTTTTCACTAATTAATTTATTCTAATATTCAATACTAAATAAAATAGAGCAGATGATAGAGGAACGATAATTTCAATTCTTTTAGATCTAATAAGAAATATAACTCATATATATTAATACTTAAACCTTAAAACAATGAAAAAGGGAATTATATTGCAAATGATAGAAATGTAAGAGTGAGAATTTTCTCTTATTTTGTCTTTATCTTAATAGGGTTGATTGAAATTCCTGTACATCCTGTTTTCGCTCTTCAATAGTAAGGCATATATTCTCGCCTTAATTTTATGAAAGAAGAAAGTACTGGAATAAATTTAAATTTATACTATCAACAACAAGGTCTAGAATTGAGTTTGGATGATTTCAAAGGAATCTCAAAAAATGTTAGAAAATTTTGTTTTGAATGTAAAAATGAGAAGTTATAATATAATTAATTAAATGAATCCTGAACCAATTACATATTCTTCCTTGATAGTCTTGAATATGAGTGCATTTCCTAATTTATCACTCTACACCAATGGATTCAGCTCATAAAATTTTAATTTGAGATCATTTCATTAATTAAAAGGAGACTTAGATCAAGATTATCAAAATTGTGTTTTTCGAATATTTCCTGTTTTAAATTACAGAGCGCATCATGATTTGATTGAATAATTCAAGGATTCTACATTTAATAAATTTGAAGAATTGGAACAGAAAGATAGAAAGCATAAAATTTAAACAACATTATTGAATTTAGAAAATGAATTGTCTTCTAACATATCTCTCAATAATAAGTTAGCAGGAACTCCATTGGTGTTTAGCTCTTCTATTTTTCATTTAGTTCATGTTTCCTCTTTGAAATTTCTGGCTCTGGATGATAACAATTTGGAGGCCATTCAATTTAAGTTAATTGATTTCCCAAATGACAATACTTTATTGAAGTTCAATCCCTGTCTAAATTTTTAGAAGTTGAGAACCAATGTTGTTTACAGTGGTGATGTGGTTTGTATTTCAGCAAATAAGCAAGTGTGCAATAGAACTGCTAATTTGTTTAGTGATTATTGGGGATTAAACTATTATGAACTGAACGATGAACCTCAGAAGTATGAAGATGAAGTGTGCAGAGCAAAGGTGATCGCCTCTGTTGAAGACTCAACTTAATGGAGAATTATGATATTTTAAAATTAGAAAGAGAATTAAGAGACACTCTTTGTTGGCGATGTGGCCATATTCAATTTGCCTGAGTTGAACGTAACAATTTAATAAATCCATAGTTATATTTTAATGCTAAGAAAACGTAAGATATATAGGAAAAGGTTAAGGAAATTCTTGATCGGAATTCTGGGGATGACATCAGCAATATTATTCAGGACAAATTTGTACTAACAAAACAACAAACATTATTTCCAATCGCTTAAGGTGCTATTTCAAGATAAGTCAGCGAAGAGGTCGGGAAAAATGAATAAAGGAATAATAAATCCGATTCTCAAAATAATAGCAACCTTTATGAAAGACAGAAATCCATGTAATCTCGATCTTCTTAAATTATTTAACCCTCAAAAAATGTAAAGGAGATAGATTAAGCATTGTACTCAGAACTGAAAATCCATTTTAGTGATTTTAATAGCAGTAAGTCGGATAAAGTTAGAATCCCCTTTAGTGCTTATTGGAGAATAGAATCTGATAATTTTAGTGGAGGAGAAGTCAAATGGGAGAAGTGCTACAGAATAAGACATTTTTAAACAGGCTAATATTTGGACATCAATATTATGCGGTAAGTCAGACTTACAGATTAAGTTCCGAAGAGTACTTTGTTTTAGTTTGTTCCAATTAAATAGAATTCTAAATTTGTCAGTAAGGATTCCTACTTTCTAATTAAACATTTCTAAACTGGAAGTTATATTTCCCTAAGAAATGATCCTGAATTCCACTTGAAGGATGTTAGTACTTCTACTGATATAAATTTGATCAATATTATGAAATTCAGAAAAGCTGATTACGAGGATGTTTGGGAAAAAAGATTCTTAGTGTTTTTAGTACCAATGTTGAAAGAGGCCATTTCATTTTTTGAGAGAGTTCAGCCACTGGCAAGTATAGTATACATGAAGAAGAGCGAGGTGTAAGAAAGAATAGAATTCTACTACTTATTTGATAAGCTTAACTCTTTGTTAGATATTTTGAATCAATTTATGTACAACAAATTAGTCAGCAATATTCAAACCACTTAAGATTTTTCATTTGTCTCATAGAGTAGGTAAGACGTCATCAGAGAAGAAAACATCTTGCCTTTATTAATTTGGCTAATTTGTAAGACTTTTCCGACTCCAGATGAGAAGACTGAAGGATCTGAGTAGAATCTCACTAGTGATCTATGCGGAGAGGCTTCTTTTATTCTTAGAGTTCAAACTATGCTTCATTAAAAAATAGATAAATCTAATGATGTTGAATATGAAAGGAAGGTGCAAAAGATGAAGGAGCAATTGGAAGAGAATCACAGAAAAAGAAAGAGACTTCTATAGCTGAAATTATTTGAAACTATCAGAATAGCTTGTCATAACAACTTGTAGAATTAAGAAATTATAATGAAATTCTTCAAATATTTTGAAAAATACATTTCTATTGACTATGTATGCAATACTATTATCCAATGCATTACAAAAAACTATTCTATTTTGAGCTCATTGAACAAATAAGAATTACCAAATGATATGAAATAAACCTAAAATATGAGTTTAGAATAGAAAGTTCAAAAAAGCTAAAGCACCATTTTATCCAGATTAGTAGATAGTCTGTAAAAGAGTGATTAATTGTAGCCTTATTTACTAAGATTTATATCTGAAACTTGTGAAGCTAATGGAGAACCTGTCTTTTCAAACTAAGAATTCTTATTGAATCAAATTTAATCTTTGCATTAAAAGGTTAAGAATGATTAAGGGGAAGATAAAGTATTAATGAATCTGGAACCCATAAAAGATTAAGATGGAGATTACGTGGAGTTTTATATAACCTATAAGACATCAAATAAAATATATGTAACCAAAATGCTGAATGAATTTCTAATTGAATATCGATAATAGCGAGAGTTCGACCCAATTTATGTGTTACAATACAATTATCTAATTGAATCTTTAGCATTCTATTCTAATATTTGTTTTCATCGAAATACAGCAGCCAGGTAATTAATTTCAAAAACATTCACCTATTCCTTTTTGTTATCTTATGCTGAATAAAATAATTAATCCTCTGGTGATTCGTATTATGTAGATGAATAGGTGAGAGCTTATTTCTTTAGAATGATCCGAACATTGTACATAGACAGAGAACCATACACTACTACACCTAAACCTGAGTTAGTCAGAATTTTAGAAAATAAAACTACTCAGAAATAATTATTTTTATTTGATGAAGCATCTAGTAAGAAGTAAGTGAAAGGGGATTTTGATATTTAAAAGTTAAAAACAAAGATGCTTAAATATTTAACTAATCAATCAGAAAAATTAGACAAAAACTTGGATGAAAATTAGGTTTATAATATGGAGACTTTGGAAATCATAAAAATTTTAGAGCTTATGTTGAAATTTGAATTATTTTGGAAGAAGGATACCGAAGAAGTACACGTTTAAAAGAAATCTACTCAGAAAAGAGGAGCTTCAGTATTTAATAAGGTATAAGAGACGGGGGGTGGTTTGAGAGAAATTTATTAATTAATCACAGCTCTATCCAAAATACTTGAATATGATCATTAATATTTCAAATGTCTCGATAATGCCAAAATTAAAAGGAATTTTCAAATTGATAAAGAAAAGGACTAAGGATTTATGAAATTTAACATTTCAGGTATCAGTCAAGTATTCGAGAAAGAAGATAAAGAAAAAGAGGAACAAGAAAACTAGAATTCAAATTTTAGACAAGTCAAATAATAAGACACTGAGGTTATAAATGATTCACTATTCAAAAAAATGAAAAATTTAAGAAAAGTTCTCCATAGATACAATAACAAAACCTTCACTTTAAGGGAAAATAAGGAGGAAGACTTTTAAGTCCTAATAAAAATACAGATCTGCTAAATATTTTCATATTTAATGGATGTTTCATAAGATTATTGGATTGACAGTGCAATAGAGTTTTATAAATCCCATATTCAAGATAAATAAATGAATGAAGAAATCAATGAGGAAGACTTAATTAAGTTGTTTCCTCAAGAAATTTTAATGTCAGGAGAACAATGGGTAGAGAAACCTGAGTTGGAAAGGAAACCTATTCGACAATCTGGTCCTACTTTGAAAAGCTTTGATGAAGTCCTCAAAAGGCCTTTTATCGAAGTGCTGTTAATTTCTTTATATTTTGCACGAAATCCGCAATTAGAAAATTAAATAGTAGAATTGATCTAAAGATTTGCAAGATAAAAAAAGGAGTTTTTATAGCACTTTGATAACATCTAGATATTAGATACAAATGAATCTTAGTAATTGTTTAAGGTTTGGGTAAAAATGATAGCATCATTGAAGAACAATGTACAAAGAAGTCAAACATGGATTACAGAGAAGAATAGAATTATGGAACAGACTCTTTAATGCTTATGGAAAATTGATAGCATTTTTCAATAGACTGAGAGTGTTTCATTAAAATTAAAGCAATAAATTTTTGAACACATAGGTGGATATGAAGTCTTATTAGAATTAATATATAAGTCTCTAGTTGTGATAGATTAAAAGTCTTTTCACCCTGATTTAATAGCTTTATTAAAGCATACTTTGAATATTATGGGATTATTCGCAAAAGATAACGAACGGAATGTATTAACTGTATATAGAAAGGTCGTTAAGAAGGTTATTGAGAACACCAATTAAAATATTGGATAAATTAGTTTATTATGTTCTTTATTTGAGAAAAAACCAACTTTGTACGGCCAACTTGGTTAATAGGAATATGATTATTTTATTATTTTGATAAAATAACATGGAAGATATCCTGAGTTTTTGTAATTTTATTTTGAAATTTTGGAAGTGACAGAAATATATTCTAAAAAATCTGTAGACATGTTTGAAATTGTTATTGAAAAACTTACTGAACCAATGATGTCAACCGAATCAGGTTTCATTCATCCGTTGTATCCCTTTTAGGATAATAACAGAGTATCAAGTTTCTTTGATTATTTGCCCAATAAGACTAAATATAGTTATCTATTCATTAATATATTATCTAAGTGCTTATCGAAGAAGATTAAGGCATCATTAATAAACTAGGCAATTGAATTCTTAAAATTGCAAGATGTTCTAGAAAATACTTTAAAAGTGACACACAGGATATTGGAATGCATCAAGTAAAAGGAGAAACCCAATTTCGAAGATACTCAATTACAGAGTGATTACTGGAACATAATAAAATTTATGATCTTTCATAAACCTGAAACATTGGATGATCTAATGCTCAGATCTAATTCAGATATCTTAAACAAGATATTAGAATTTGAACATCATGCCATTATATAGAAAGATTAATTTGTACCATAAAATTTGAATTATTTATTCGATTCCTTATTGCCAGTAGTGAATAGATATAATGAGCTCTTATAAAATGCTTTGATGTCTTCAGAAAAAGATTAGATTCAAATAAGCCAATTTGTCAATTTCTTTTTAAGCAATCTTGATAGAATGTTTTTCTTAGCACCATCAGAATTGACTAACAACAAATAAAGATTATAAACAATCTCAGATTTAGGATAAAGTTTTAATATTTAAGTACCTATTAAATATGTTTAATCTGAAATCAACAATAATGTCTAAGACGAAAAGACTTCAGACTTATAAACTTAAAGTCAATCTCAATAAGATAATTCATAAATCAGTCAATTTAGAAAGTAATATTTTGGATAAGAATTTGTTAAGGATTTAGTAAAAAAAGAATCCCTAAAATTATCGAATTCTATTTGGACTATCTAAAAGATGTTTAAGGATGACAAAACAAAAGAAGTCAAAGATCTCTTGTTGACAAACTCTGATATTATAGTGAAGATTCTGACTTACTTAGAATTTTGGAGAACCAATGGAGCTAGTAGAGAAAATATTATATTTATTTTGAAGGTGTTATCTGCCATCTTAAAAGACACTGAAAATGAATTATTCGAAAGATAAGTTTTATTTAATAGAATGAATGTCACCTAGATACTAATAGTATTATTGTGTGAATCTGAACTTGAGCCAGTTTATATGGGGACATTAATGTCATTTATGATTTTGCTCTTAAAAAATGGGAATTAACATGTGCAAAGGACAGCATATGAATATTTCTTATCGAATTCTTAATGTGAAAAATTCTTCAAGTAGTTTAAGGATGTTTTTGATATTCAAATATTATCGATGAGTAGAGCTCATAAACTAAATTATTAAGAGAATAAATTAGTCTGCAAAGCACTTAAACTTATTTAGTTATTTTGTGAGGGACACAATTAAGATCTGCAAAATTATATGAGATCACAATTTAATCAGAAAAATTCATACGACTTGGTGTCTTAGATTATCTTATTGCTTTATACATTTCAAATATCTAAGGCCAATTATGAAAGTGTTTTACAATGCTTTGAGACTTTGACAGAACTAATATAAGGACCTTGTAAACAGAATCAATAAACCCTGTTAAAAAGCAATTTATTGGAGTATGTAGTTTTTATAATATCAGAGGATGAGAAGATCTTTGAGTAATCAAATGAGTATTTTAAATATGATGGAGAGAAATCTTATCGAATATCAATTCATCCTGGTTAATTGGCGAGACTCAAGTTTAAATGTTTAAATTGCTTAGTATCTTTATTGGAATGTTGTGAACCCTAGAATTCTGATATAGCCAGATTGGTAAGAGTGATACCCTTAAATGTATTGACAAGCAACTTAACTCGAGTTTATAAGTTATTTAAGAATTTTGGAGGAACTTACAATGAGGAATTATTTTCAAGGGCTGAAACCAAAATTACAAATGAGCAACCACCAGAATATTATGAGTTTATTATTGAAAATGGGTTTTTCATATTGCTGTTGATGCAATAATTTTTAGGCAATTAAAAAGCAAAGTAATTATTGTATGAAGATACTGAGATGAATGATGTTTTGAATGAATTTTCTGAGTAAAATAAGGTAGAAGAAAATGCAATAGCCAACATTTTTTTAGGTTTAGAAAATATAGCCAAAATGGGAGGTAACTTCATAGGTTAAATTGCATTAACTTAAAAGTCTGAAGAAGAACAAAAATAAGATAAATAAATCTAAGAAAAAATATTATAAGAGAAAATAGAGTAAAAAAGATTAACAAAAGATGCAATTAGGTTTTTTAGATAGAACACATGCTCTATTGATATGATAAGAGATCAAAAATTATATACTATTTACTTTCCAAAATTACCAATTTGCAATCTACCAAAAAGTGCCAGACTAGAATTTCATGATCAAGTCAATAGAACTAGTAGCAAAACTAAATTAACATATTTAATGGAGAGAGCCCACTTTCTAATTAAAGTGATGGTTTACGAAGAAAAACTAAATTAAATCTTTGCAAAAAACCCCTTATTTGCCTTTTTTGCTTCCTAAGGTAAGTTATGGGAGAACTTGGCTTTTGTGACTACTCTAGTAATCAATTTCATTGTATTATTGAGTTACTCATAAGACTTTTATAATAGTGGAGGTTCAGGGAATTCAGGAGACATAATATATGAAAGACTTCAAGATCCAAGAATATTTGGAATAAAGTAATCAACATGGACTCCCCTTATGATATAAGGATTAGGAATAACAATGCTTGTTTTTAGTTCATTAATTGTATTCTTTTTTTTGGTGAAAAGAGCTCCTCTAAAGGTGGATCATATATGGGAAGATTACCAAAAGTAAAAAAAATTAATAAGCACTATATATGATGTAAGTGTCAGGAGTGTTAAAAGTTTTTTTATTTTATTGCAGGATCCTGATATTTTATACTATTCAATTTATATAATTGCAGGGATAGTGGGATTAACAGTTCATCCTTTTTTCTTTGCTTTTCATTTAATGGACTTTTTAAAATTGGAATAATTGAAGACAGTATTAGATGCAATTTGGGGACCTCGAGAAGAAATTGGATTAGCATTGCTTCTATTAGCAGTTATAGAATATTATGTGGGCATATTAGGATTTGTGATATTCTTTAATGATTATCCAATTGTGGATGGGTTAGGTTGTGAAATATTATCAGATAATGACAATATAAATTGTGAAAGGGGATGCAGTACAATGTGGTAGTGTATTTTTATGAGTTTTGACTTAACCTTTAAATTTACAGGAGCTTTGGGTTCAGGAATAAAGGATTATAATACAATTACTACTCTGTCTCAAAATTTTGATATGATAAGCAATCCATGGGATAGAGTTAAATAAGCATAGAATGAGTATGATGGAGTGGACCATTCATTTACATCCAATTATGTTAGTCGATTTATATTTGATAATGCGGTGAATATAGTGCTAGTGATGATTATGTTGAATATGATTCAAGGTATCATAGTCGATACTTTTGGTTCTCTAAGAGAAAAGCTTTAGGAGAGAATCAAGGATTAGACCATGAAATGTTTTATTTGTGGTATAACAAGGGAAAAGTTTGAAAAGAATGATGAAGGAGGAGGTGTAGGGTTTTAAGAGCATATCGAATAGGAACATTATATGTGGAACTACATATATTATTATGCCTATCTGAAACACAAGGACGAAAATGATTACAATGGTAATGAGTCTTATATCAAGGAGAAAATTGATATGAAAGATATCAGTTGGATGCCCATCAAAAGGTAAGAGTAATATTCTATAGTATTAGAGCGAGATTTGCTGAGGAGGATATGGATGATCAGCAAAAGGGGAATGAAATTTAGGAAGCAATAGAACATAAAATGAAAGTCATGAATGATTCTCTAGAAAAAATATAGGATAGAATGAAACACATTATTGATAATATCAATAATCAACCTACAGGTATGAAAGAATCATTTCATGAATGAATGATTACATATTTTTTATTAATTAATTTCAATAATCCTGAATTCCTGTATATTCTGACTATTTCACTTCTTCTTCTCTTACATCTGCATTTTGATTTTCAAAATATTCCTCCTCCATATCTAAATTCATCTATTTTTAATCATCATAATCTCTACAATTAGGTTTAAAAGTACTCATTTTAATCAATCTATTCATAATCAATGAAATCTTTGTCTAATCCATTGATGAATCTATCATGCATCAATCTTATTAATATGTCTTCCTGATCCTCTAAGTCTGTATCCTTTATTCTAGCCTCAATCATTAAATCTAATGTGTTTCAAGTAAAAATACTTGGATAATCATGATTTGGACCTAATTTATCATACATTTCTTATAAATGAATTTCGTATTCTTATTTCTAAATTTGATCGATCAATATTTCTGATAAAACGATATTACCTTCTGGCCTTTTATTCTAATTACGAATGTACTGTCCGACATAGATAAAATATAATAATGGCTAAAATCTAAAATTGTAAATTAAAGTACATCTCTCATTCTAATTTACTCTTCGCTGAAGTATTCCTCTTTTTCAATCAATTCCTATAGTTTTTTAAACCTTCTGTTCAAAATTGTTTTAGGTATATTTTTTGTAATTGGTATGTATTTATTTTACATTAAATAATTATTTAATTAATTTCCTAATTTATAACTAAGTATTGCATTGATTATTTTGCTTATAAAAGAAACTTTATTTTTGAAGGTAGAAAATACAAGAATTTATTGATTAATAGAATGAACAATAACTTAGGTAATGAATGAAGAAAAGATAGATTAGATTTATAAATAATTTATACAAACAGATCATATTTTATTCTATTAATTAGGATCAAGTTGGTTTCTATTTCTTTCTCTTGAAATTATTGCTCTAATATCATTATATATTATTAAAAGAAGAGTAAATTAAAAACTATTTAAAAACTATTATTATTTTAGTCGTCAAAATTAATACTTCTTCATCAAAAAGTTATAGGTCTATTCTCATAATCTACACTTTAAAATTTTTTAACTTTTTAATTTAAAAAATAAAAGGAAATATTTATTAATTTATTTATAGAATTTCATGGATTACCAGGATTTCTCTTCTTAATATTAAGTTTTGGAAATTGGTTATGCAAAGAAGTTCGGAATAGAAAATAATGTCTGCCTTGTTATTCCGACTTATGAATAAGAAAAATAAAAGTCCAATTTAGTTGCTATTAGAATTTCGAAGGGTTATGACGAGAAGGTTCTATTGAAGTACAGAACTCTAAAATTCTTGACTATATTACAACCTGAGTAGTATTTTTAGACTCAAGATGAACACTGCCTCATCTATGAAAACCTCTATGAACATCTTTTTACTTAAGAAAAATTGTCTAACATGACTTAAGAACAGGGATATAAATTTCTACTCTAAATTGTCCTAAGTATATTTTTCTGATATTTATAATAGCATTTCTTGAATTATAGAGAAGATAAATCTTTTGGGCACTTAAGTCTATTAATCAAATTTATTATATTTAAGGCATAATTTATTTGTCATTATTGGAATTTGACTTCAATTATTTTAATCAGCAATTTGACTATCTTTAATGCTTCTGGTTCTTTTTTGACTAATATTTCAGCTATAGGTTTTATGATGTTGCATAATTAAAATCTAAATCAAGCTTAGATGAGATACTTTAAGAATTGTTTATAAAAAATGGAAACATTCATTTATAATCCATGTTGAATCCTCACTATGAAAAAGTTCTACAATATCTATTGAATATTAATGTATTTCAACTTATATATAATGGGAATTGTGTTGTAAAATAATTTAAGAGAAATGGACTCTTCTCTATTTATCCTAATTTAACTGAAGATATTGTCTATAAATCAACTGAAATTAAAGGTAATGAAGAATCAAAATAATAAATCATAAAGTAAATTTAGAGAGATATTGAATTGATGGAATAATTCTCAAATAAAGATAACGTAGCATCCTGTTTTGCATATTTAAGAATTAAGGAATATGCATTTATACTTTACAAGAAGTTTACTGGAACATTAGCAGATCGATTTAAGAATTGGCCTTAATAACAATAAACTATCGATTCAATAAAAAAAGATGTTTATGTTACGGCATCAAGAACTGCAGATTGTATAATTATTGTTTTATTTTAGCATTAAGGATTTTGCATGAAAAAAAAATACTACATAGAGATCTGAAACCTGAGAATATTTTCCTTGATAATGAGAATATGTCTGAAGCATTCAGTTATGTTGCTGATTTTGACTGCTCTAAGTAAATTTAAGATGAATCGGATGTATATGCTACCAGAGCTGATTGCTTTTTTACTCCAAAATATGATCCCCCTGAAATATTTTTAACTTTTAAATATGATATCTTCTAATTTGGTTTGATTATATATACACTTGCAAACAAAGGAAAGTATATAGGATTGAACTCGCCAAGGAATTTAAAAGACAATGAATTTGATTCATTTTATAGCAAAGAGGCTGTCATAAAGAATTTGTCACCTCTTAATTATGATAGCAGATTCATAGATATTGTTGCTTAATGCTTGCTCAAAGATCCATAAGAAAGACCTGATATTAAAACTGTTTGCAGTTTGCTATCGAAACTTAAAGCTGAAAAAAAAATAAAAATTACGTAAAATTCTCCCTTTGGGAATTAAGATGAAATTAATAATGAATAGCAACATACTTTATAGCGAAGGTCTACATTAGATTCATACTCAGGGGGTAACTCACCGAATTTGTTCGGCCTTGCTTAAAAGAATAATGAAGATTTCAGCCCAACAAAACCCAAAATTCGGATATTAAGTAATGAAACAGCCTCAAGCAAAAATTTAACTAATTTGTAATCATAATACTAGAACTGCCCAGGATAAAATTTAATTCCTTTTCAATAACCTTAATAAGTAACTTAAGCATAATAGTCAACATAACCTAATTATTAATAATAATTTAATTCTCAAAACTAGGGTTAAATCAATTTTGTCTCATAATAACAAAACTTCAATTAAAACTATAATTTTAATAATGTTGCCTAGCCATAATAAAATGGTTTTATCCCCTAACAATAAGAATATTAAACTAATAATCAATAATAATGGGCAAATTATTAATAATCTTCATCATATAGTCAACAATAACAATAATCAGGATTTTAATACTAGCTACCCTATAATCCATAATAATAGTAAATTTTTTAATAATAATTCTAGTAATAACCAAACAATTAATAATAATTCTAATAATAACCAAACTATTAATAATAATTCTAGNAGCATCCTGTTTTGCATATTTAAGAATTAAGGAATATGCATTTATACTTTACAAGAAGTTTACTGGAACATTAGCAGATCGATTTAAGAATTGGCCTTAATAACAATAAACTATCGATTCAATAAAAAAAGATGTTTATGTTACGGCATCAAGAACTGCAGATTGTATAATTATTGTTTTATTTTAGCATTAAGGATTTTGCATGAAAAAAAAATACTACATAGAGATCTGAAACCTGAGAATATTTTCCTTGATAATGAGAATATGTCTGAAGCATTCAGTTATGTTGCTGATTTTGACTGCTCTAAGTAAATTTAAGATGAATCGGATGTATATGCTACCAGAGCTGATTGCTTTTTTACTCCAAAATATGATCCCCCTGAAATATTTTTAACTTTTAAATATGATATCTTCTAATTTGGTTTGATTATATATACACTTGCAAACAAAGGAAAGTATATAGGATTGAACTCGCCAAGGAATTTAAAAGACAATGAATTTGATTCATTTTATAGCAAAGAGGCTGTCATAAAGAATTTGTCACCTCTTAATTATGATAGCAGATTCATAGATATTGTTGCTTAATGCTTGCTCAAAGATCCATAAGAAAGACCTGATATTAAAACTGTTTGCAGTTTGCTATCGAAACTTAAAGCTGAAAAAAAAATAAAAATTACGTAAAATTCTCCCTTTGGGAATTAAGATGAAATTAATAATGAATAGCAACATACTTTATAGCGAAGGTCTACATTAGATTCATACTCAGGGGGTAACTCACCGAATTTGTTCGGCCTTGCTTAAAAGAATAATGAAGATTTCAGCCCAACAAAACCCAAAATTCGGATATTAAGTAATGAAACAGCCTCAAGCAAAAATTTAACTAATTTGTAATCATAATACTAGAACTGCCCAGGATAAAATTTAATTCCTTTTCAATAACCTTAATAAGTAACTTAAGCATAATAGTCAACATAACCTAATTATTAATAATAATTTAATTCTCAAAACTAGGGTTAAATCAATTTTGTCTCATAATAACAAAACTTCAATTAAAACTATAATTTTAATAATGTTGCCTAGCCATAATAAAATGGTTTTATCCCCTAACAATAAGAATATTAAACTAATAATCAATAATAATGGGCAAATTATTAATAATCTTCATCATATAGTCAACAATAACAATAATCAGGATTTTAATACTAGCTACCCTATAATCCATAATAATAGTAAATTTTTTAATAATAATTCTAGTAATAACCAAACAATTAATAATAATTCTAATAATAACCAAACTATTAATAATAATTCTAGTAATAACCAAACTATTAATAATAATTCTAGTAATAACAAAACAATTAATAATAATTCTAGCAACAACCAAACTTTTAATAATAATTCTAGTAATAACCAAACAATTAATCGCAATTCTAGGAATAAAATTAAATTAATCAATAATTACCACCAAAATTAACATAAACATTTAGTACTAAAAATATAAAAATTATTGGCTACACTTAAACTTGAGGATTTAATGATTTTATAACTAAGATGTAAGCATCTTATTTGTCTTAAATTTATTATCTATTTTATGAATTCATATATATATTTAGATTAAATAGGATAACCATCATGTAATAAAAAGTGCTCTTAGAAATTGTTACTCATTTTAGCGTTTTGCTTTAGTCTTTTCTTAAATAGAGTATTTAAATTATTTTACACTATTTTCATTTATTTTTCTCGTATCTCTGCATATCATTAACCTCTAAATATTATTATGTTCACATTATAATTCCCGAACATATAGTTTACCGAACTGATTATCAAATATATGAAATAATAAACATTTATTAATTCATAAATTTTAATTATTGATGAGTGATCAATTTGATGATGATGATTTTGTTGATGGAGAAGAAATCTAAAATAATAATTCCAGCAATTAAGAACAAATTAGCACTGAGCAATAAAATCAATCTAAAAAAGTTGAGGAAATGGATGATGATGAAGAAGAATAAATAATTATTACAGAAGATAATTAACCAAATTCAACGGAAATAGAGCAAACTACCAAAAATAATGAAATTCAAGTACAATTCCTTGAATAAGCTTAGAGCCAAGAATAGCAGAGTTAAAAAAGCATCGAAAATTAATAAATGATTGAATAATAATAAGAAACCCATGTAGAAGAAGAAATGAAAAATCCTGAATTATAATAACAAATGGCAGTAGATAATAATGATATTTAATAATAAAGTATACATAGAGATGAAAATGAATAATAAAATGATGAGGATTTTGAGGAAGGAGAAGAAATATAAATTGAAAATTTAGAAGAAAATGTTATGAAAATATAAGAATAAAATAATTCAAATGATGATAATTAAATAGAATAAGAATAATAAGAGTAAGAGTAAGGATAATAAGAATGCTAGTTATAATAGTTATAACAATAACAAAGTTAAGAATAACAATATGAATTATAACAACAATATGAATAAGAATAATAACAATAATAATAATAATAATATTTAAATCATAATAGTGATACACAATCAGAAGAAGAAATTATAGTATTAGATAAAGAGGATAAACTAGTAGAAGAAGTTCAATAAAAAAATGATGAAGATGATTTTGTAAGTGGAGAAGAGGTTGAGATTTAAAATGAAAATTAAGGAATTTAGTAGACATAAAATAATGATGATGATGAAGATGAATTTGAAGAGGGTGAAGTAATTCAAGAATAAGAGAATAATGCAGTTTAAATTAAGGAAGTAAATGATCAGACTAATAATCAGAATTTGGTATTTTGCTATTCAATATTTAGAGAATGTCTTCTGTTAATAAATATTAAATTGATAATTTATACAATGAATTATGTTAAGGATTTTAATGTCCACTTTAAAGGAATTTTGAATTTGATTCAGTGTATTAATTTTTGATTTTGATAGCCCTGCTCAATAATTTAGCTCAATCGAAACAGCTTTGGATAAAAACAGTGTGAACTACCTTCTTGAAAGAGAGTAAAATCAAATAATATAAAAGATTACAGCATGTCCAAGGCTAGAAAGAGTTCAATGGCATGACAACCCCATCTAAAATAAACATTAATGAAGTAGGTGTGTCATAGGAATTAAAGAATGCCTTCCTTGATTAAATTAAGCTCTACACATTAATATGGACCAAGTATTAGCCATACATTTAGTATTTAAAATGTCAATGATTAGAATGTCTGACCAATATAACTTTGTGATTGAATACCCTATGTTTGAATATGTGGATGTCGCTTAGGACAAGTCTCCAGTTCCTAGAGGTGGAACTTCTCAATTTTAATTAAATGATGTAGGAAGACCAGGATTATAAGAGATATTAGATCTGATTCCTGATTATTCTAAGCTTTTAGAGCAGACTTTCTCAAATGAAACATGAAAGTTGTTTTATATATAAAAATATTTTAGTTTTTAATTAAAAATAAATTAATGGATTATCATAAACTATAATTTAAGGAGGATCAAATAATGAAAGTAAAATTAATATACTATATCATGTAGCCTTTTAAATAGGAAAGATTTAATATTAAATAATTTTAAAGAGATTTAGAAATTAATATTCTCTCGAAAACAGATGAGAAAATAGTATTTGAGATAATAAATATCGATGCTCCGATTGCTAATTCCTTAAGAAGAATTATGATTGCTGAAGTAAATTCTTATGTAAATAGAGATCCCTACAATGGCAATTCATAAGGTTCAGGTAATCCAAAACACCAGTGTAATACCAGATGAAGTATTGGCTCACAGATTGGGGTACTGAAGTTGAAAACATATTAGATTGATACCAATCATTGCAGATCCTTTGTAATTTATTGAGAAAGATGATTAAGAAGAATATAATGAATTGAACTCAATAGATTTTACATTAGTTGCAAAGTGTGAAAAAAAACCAAATAGCAAGCATGATGACCCAATTGAATAACAATATACTAATACAACAGTGTATTCAAGCAGTCTAATTTGGTAACCAAAAGGACAATAAGCTAAACTGTTTGCTGCTAATCCAATTCGACCAGTTCATTCGAATATTATTATTGCTAAATTAAGGGAAAATCAAGAACTCAATTTAAGATTGATTTGTGAAAAAGGAGTGGGTAAAAGACATGCAAAATGGTACCACATAAATTCATTTTAGGTCTCCGGTATGCACAGCCTTTTATAAATTAATGCCATCAATTACTATAAAAAATTAATTAGATGCTTAAAGATAAGAGAAATTGGCATCTCTATGTCCTATGAAAGTATTTGGAGTGAAAGGAAACTAAATTAAAGTTGTGAATCCAAGAAATTGCACTACTTGTAGGGAATGTGTAAGAGAAGCCAATGGATTTGAGAAGGATGTTGAATTAAATAAAATAGATAATCACTTTATTTGTAAGCATCATAGATTTTAAGTATAGTCTCTATTGAAAGTGTAGGATAATATGAAGCCAAAGACATAATGTTATAAGCAATAGAAGTATTTAGATCAAAAGTATAATTATACATTAAAGAATGATTTTTTTATATTCATTAAATTATAATAAACACTGTATCTATATTTATTTAACTTTCTTTTGAGAGTTAGTTTTTGAAATTCAATTATTAATTCTATTTTATAGTAATACTTTCAATTATTAGATTTTAATGATAACAAGTAAATTTTAATTTTTTTTTTCAATCAAAATAAAGAAAATCTAAAGGAAGAATTGTAAAAATAAAATAAAGCACAAGTTAATCAAAACATTATTCCTTTTTTTCCTTCTGATTTTTCTTAAAATTAATTTATACTTAATAATCAATAAAGAATTTAAATAAATTTATAACACTGTCCTTATTTCTTTGATGTCTTATATCTGAACCAGTAATATCAAAATATAATGATTTAAAAATTTTAAATTACTTTTATCAAAAATTACTGATATTTTTATTAAATCTTTTAGTAGAAAATTTTTTTTGATTTTTGAATGAAGAATTAGTTGCTTGGCGGATGATTAATATGCTTATTATTGGATTTTGTTCTATAGGATTAAACAGATCTATTAAATTGCAATATACTTTGTTAATTAAAAAGATAGATTATCAAAATATGAATTTTATGTATCTAAATCAAACACTTTAGAATGCAATCTTAACTTAAAGAGAAAATATCAAGTTAAGAACGAATTTATTCAGCATAAATCATAATTTCTTTATTTGCGAAATCAATAACAAAATTTTGAATCATTATTCTTCTTTAAAAATGTGTGAAATTTATTTTTAGAGATTAATTATTTTTTATAATTAACATTTGGTTAGGTTCGCAAATATGTTGCGTTATTGTGATAACTGTCATTTAGCACATAATCAAAATTGTAAGATTTTAATAATAAAAATAAATTTAAATTTATGAGTTAAGATAAAAAGTTCTATTTTAATTTTACATCCCCATTTGAATCGGTGAGATAAATTGAGATTTTTCCAAAGTCCCCCAAAGAGAGGTTCTTTGTTCCAAAAAATGAGCAATTTAAGTAGAAGACCCTTGTACTTTAGAGGAATTGTCTTATCATTTGTGACAAGAAGGTATCATATTATAATAATATGAAGGGCACTTCCAAAAAGTATTTTAACATAACAAATGCTTTGTTAGAGATAGTTAGCCATCCAAAGATGGGGCTTGGGATATCTTTAACTAAAAATGAAGGAAACTTTACGTTTTATGGACTTGTTGAATAATGGTTTGTTCATATGAAAAAATGGTGTATACAGCCCCATTTTTCTAAAGAATATAGCATTATTGCCTTGATCGGCTAAGGAAGCTTTGCTAAAGTACTTAAAACATCTACATTTAAAGGTTTTTAAAATTCAAAGAATCAGTGATAAGAAAGAATTTGCTGTGAAAGTTTTTGATAAAACATTAATGCAATCTTAGGATTAAGCAGCCCTTCTTAAAGAAATCGAGCTTTTAAGAGTGATGAATCACAAGAATATTATCAACATTTAAGAAGCATTTGAAAACGACTAGTACATCTATATAGTCCATGAACTGTATAAAGGAGGAGAATTACATAAGGAACTCATCAAAAATAAGACTTTCTCAGAAAGAGGAGCCTTTATCGTAGTTTAATAAGTAGTTGAAGCGTTATAATATGTGCATTCTCATGGCATACTTCATAGAGATATTAAACCTGAAAATATCATTTTAAGAGAAGAAGGAATAATTGATTAGATAGTTCTAGTTGATTTTGGTCTCGCAGATTACTACAGAAAAGATTGCAAATATATGTTTACAAGATGTGGAACACCAGGCTATATAGCACCAGAATTATTATAGGATAAAATTTATGATCAGAAAGTTGATGTGTATAGTTGTGGTGTTCTCTTTTATTATCTTCTAGTTGGAAAGGGACCTTTTGATTCAAATACTTAAGATGCAACAGTAAAAGCAAATTAGAATGGTCAGATTGATTTAACTTAATTCACTTTTACAAGTGAGTGTCTTGATCTTTTAAGAGGTATGTTGGATCCAAGCCCTCAAAATAGATTTACTCTTGATCAAGTTAAATAAAGTTCCTTCTTTAAAAGACATATGGTTACGGATAATCAAACAAGTAGCTCAAAAACTTTAGGAAGCCTAAGTAATTAATCAGATTCATAGACAAATTCCACATAATCATCGCCATATCAATAACAAATAAATCATTATGAATTAAAAAGCAAATAAGGTTAATATGCTTCTCCCTTATAATTGCCTTTGAGAATTAAGTCCCCCAACTTATCTCCATTAAAAGATCCTTAGCGTCAGATTCTTAATTTATAGAGAGTACCTATTAAGATATGAAATATATTATATCGAATCGAGTTAATTTTATTATTTATAATGTAAAATCTCATTCAAGATTAAGGTTTTTACTCACTTCTAAATAGTACTCTATAGGTAAAGTACAGTTAAGTTATGGAAGGTACATTTAATGTACCAACTAAAAAGAGTTGGTTATTAATTAAATTCTCTTAAGATGTATGAAAAAAAATCATACTAAAGTATTATTTAATTAATTATACAATTATAAAACTAGAATTAAGGTATTTAGTGGAAAAGATGTTAAAGTGTAGTCTTTTCAAAGAAGAAGTTGAGAGATATAAAATTTCTGAATAATTCACCTGGTGGTTATTTAAAACAATTTATCATTTTGACAAATATTAGTTCTCTTTAAATTATATAATCTCGAATTTGGATAGAAATCCAACTAAAGCATCTTTGATTTTCATTCTTACTTTTTTAAGTTTATTAAATCAATTTAATCAATCGATATTTTGAATGGAAAAATTGTTGTTTTAGAGCTATAGTTTAAAATCTATATGAAATAAAATCAATTATTTAGCATTTGATTATTAACTAGAGTGATCACATTCATTCATCTTAATTAAGAAATTGAATAAAAGAATAAATCTAGACTTTTATAACTGAATATTTGAATAATTCATAAAATTAAAATATAACTAATAATATAATATACTCTATAAACTATACATATTTATCTAATTTAGTTTTAAGTTTAGCATAAATTTTATAATTAACTAAATGCTTGTTTTCTTTTAAAGATTTGAAGGTCTCTATCATTAAAAGAAATAATAAAGGGTACATGATCATTTATTATAAATTGAGTCAGAACCCAAACAATTTTTTGTAATATTCGGTTAAATTAATTTCCACATTAAGGAATAGAAGTCAAGGAATTAAACTTCAAATAGCAATTAACTTTACATTAATCAATTGTTGCCTCAATATAATCTTACACAATAAGCTTTAGTTAAGAAGGAAGAAAATAATGAATCTTGAAAAAACGGTTACATGATCTATTATATGAAGAGAAATTTCAAGAATTAAAGTTACTTTTAAGTATCTTGCTTCTACTCCTGAGAAAATACGTTATAAGCTACATCATTAAATTTTAATTATTAATTGCCTGATACTTGATATAAATTATAATGATTCAAGGATACTTTTGATGAGCTTTTTCTAAGATTTCATAATGATCAAATGCAAAGGCCTCCTTTCCAAGTTTAAGTATTTCTTCAACGTTAAGCCATTATGCAGTTTTAGCATCATCTGCTGCCACAGGTTCTGCATCAGGTTGAATATCAACCTTATAAACAATGGAGACATAATGTCCTCTTGGATCTCTGTCAGGTGCCCCTCTTACATCAACTAAATCAACATTTAGCCCTTAGATTCCAGTTTCCTCTCTAAGTTCTCTTAGGCAACATTAAGTTGGATCTTCTCCATAATCTAAATGTCCTCCAGGAAAGGCATATTTCCCTAAAAATGGTGCATGTCCTCTAGTTATTAATACAACCTATTTAACGTCGTTTTCTCGTTTTCTAAAACATACTGCATCACATGCTAATTAAGGTTGTTTTTTTTAATTCATTAAAATTATAAATATTATAGAAAATCATTAATAATATAGAGTAGGTGTCTTTGCTTAATTTAATAGTGATAGCGATTCATAGTTGAAGCAACAGATGTCCAAGGATAAATCTTTTTATTTTTTAAATCTTTTTTTCAATATCTAAGTGATATTATCCTTATTTTCCAGAGCTGGAGTTTTAATTCTAGGCCAAAAGTTGTTGGAGTTATTTTTTATTTGTTTTTAATGACTGCTTGTATAACCATAGTGAGTTTCAATTGGTCCTGCTTTATTTCTTTTATTTGAATCAGATTAATTTAATTTAGTTTGATTGATCTTATTTAGTTGGATCTCCTGGCTATTTTATCGAGTTTTGGTTGAAGGCCTTGTCATACTTAATTTTGGAGTGGTTATTTATTTAATTGCTTTTTCAAAATTCTTAATGTTACTGTAAAGAATTCTTTGTTTTTTTGCTTATTCTCTTCTACTTTATAGCTAACTGTAAAATTCTTAATCATTTTATGAAGAAAGTTCTCTTCTTTTTTAGCTCAAATAAAATTTTCGCCTTGTGTCTAAAAATTAATTGAATCAATACACTTCGACAAGTATCTTTGATTAATAATAATGCATTAGAGTTGCTATTATAAAATTCTAATTCATTATCTGAATAATTTCCTTCCCTTTAAACCTAATCTTAGCTGTTATTAATAGGAACACAATTCATAAGTGAAAGATTATTATTATTATTAAGTTTCCTTTAAGTGACTCTTAAGACTTTCCTAATATCATCCCATTGTTAATGTATTAATTGTACTTTAACACTCATTACAAAAAATAATTATATTAATGTATTTATATAATCTGTATAGTTCTTATTTTTAAAATAAAGTAAACTTAAAGTATAAACAAATAAATCTATAATTCTGAGAGACAAGTCTATCTTTCTTTATATTAAAAATTAAAATATACTTACTGAGTACAAAGCATAATTTGAGATTTATTGTAATAATCTTTATGAATATTCAAGTTAAAGTTTGAATATTTTAATTCATTTTAATATATATTAGCATCAATTAATTATCAGAACTTGATTTTATTAAGAAAAATATTCATAAATTATTGAATGTCTCAAATATATGAATATCCTGTTTTTTGAAAATATCAAATAATAGTTAATTTTCTTTCAATCAAGTTATATATTATTTTTACAGCATTTTTTTAGAATAATCTGATAATTCTTCTCATATATAAGATATTTTCAATTTATTCATATAATAACTTTTATTTAAATTTCTTATATTCTCCTCAATTTTCTAATATAGTGTTAAATATACTTGTTAACTATGTTATAATGCTTGAGCTTCTTCTAAGTTAAAAAGATAAGAAAATACGAATCGATATTTTGGAACATAATATGGAATTATTTAAGTGATTAATTAGCATTTTTATGTATATATTAAATCTTTAATTTCCATTAAATAAAATAAATAAGAAAAATGTCTGACACTGATACTATTGAGCCATCTGCCTATTTCTTCGGATACATCGGAGTTGCATCTGCAGTCGTTTTTGCCAGTATATTGATATTTTATTGTAGATTTGGGCTCATCTTATGGTGCCACAAAATCAGGAGTCGGAATTTGCTCTATGGGTGTTTTAAAACCAGATTTAATTATGAAGTCAGTTATTCCAGTTGTCATGGCTGGTATTTTGGGTATTTATGGGATGATTGTTGGTGTTATTTTATAAGGAAAAGGTATTGATAATTTATATAATAAATAGTTTCATCAATAACAGCACAATCAGCATCAAAATAAGGATATGCTTATTTATCCGCCGGATTATGTTGTGGATTGAGCTCTCTAGTAAGATATATTTTTTTTACAGATTTTAGGCTGCAGGATTGTCAATTGGAATAGTTGGTGATGCAGGAGTCAGAGCTAATGCTTAATAAGACAGAATTTTCGTAGGAATGATTTTGATTTTGATTTTTGCAGAGGCTTTGGCATTGTATGGGCTTATTGTGTCCTTGATTTTATCATAAACATCATGAGTATTATTATTAAAGCACAAATATAAAGATAAATCCATCACTAATACATATCTAATCATTTTTTAATTTCTCATGATTCTTCTTATACCAATTCAACATCGCAAAAAGCAAGACCTATATTTGATTATGCTTTGCCATTTTTGAATTCTTAAGACTCAATTATCTTTAACAAATCCATATACCTAAACCCGCCCAAAACAATGTGTTTTCATCAAAACTTTGAAAAATTATATATAGCCAATATACAATGAGCATTAGATCATAATAACAATTTACTGTTAAAGTCATCTGATTTCTACTATTAGTATAGACATTGATTCCATTTCATGTTCAATTTTGAAATTTTTATTGTTTAATTAATTCCCATAAACCCTCAAATTCCTTTTATTATTTTAAATAATTCTCTCCTTCATCCATTTTTATTCAAATAATGTTCTGGCTTTTTGGAGAGCCTATTTTTTTTGGCAAATTAATTTATAGATCTGATGTAACATTGTCATCCTTATTACATTCATCTATTATAATCCTTTTTTAATTTATGAGTAGTGACTTTATTTGATAATGACGAGCAAACATCCTATTTGATATTAGTATTTATATCCTTTGAAGAAAATTAAAAATCTATATTTTTTTAATTTTAATCTTTATCTTAAATCAAACATACATTAAAGAGTAAGATGAATATCAATAATAAAAGAATGAGGAATTATTCATATTGTATAAGTTTTATAATTTGCTACATTTATTATAGATATACAAAACTCAGAATAATCCTAATTCTAATGCCATACAATTTATGTCAAGACCTAACTTTCCATTACTAAATGCATTACTTCAATTTTATCCTTAAATGTAGAAAGAATTTAACAAGGGAATAAAACTATAAATTTTTTGAGTAGTGATTTTTAAAGGATTACAAAGTTACTAGAAAACTAAATAGATAATTAAACTTCAGAAACATTCCATTTAGTATTTTTATGAAAAAATAGTTTAGTTAAAGATTCATTGAAGGCGCAATTCACAATATATATTAATATTAATTAATATTAATATCCAGTTGAAATTTCTTACAATTTTTGCTCTAAATCTATAAATATAAATAGCTTTATTTTTGTTCATCCTTGCATATCTGTTTAAAAGTTCTAATAGATAATTAATAAATCATTTTTCACCTATTTTTTAACATTATAATAAAATCTAGATGTTAAAATGACTCTGAAAAGATTTTATGAATTCAATACTTTAGAATTACATTTTAGTTAACCCAATAATCTTAAAGCAAAAGGTAATAATTTAAAATAATATTTTAGTTGATATATTCTCAAATCATTAAATTATCTTAGATAGAGAAAATTTTTCAATTAACATTTATTAATTATATAATAATTAGCATTCTATTAGGCTTAAATTAAGTCATGGAAATCAAAAGTTCAATAATTGTTATAAAAAAAATATTTTTGAGCTTTTCAGCTTATGAAAGAATAAGCAGATGAGCAAAAATTGAATATTATCTCCATAATTTTTAATGTTAAATTTTAGACCAGAAATTCCAGTTCAATTGGGCAGAATAGGAACTTCGATTTACTTAGCATTATGAGATTTAAAGAAAAAACGATTAATATTAATTATTGTTTATACAGTTTTCTTCTTTGTTTTTCTTTATTTTTTCTTTATCTATTTTTATTCCAAATAGTTCATTCGTAGTGTTTGAGTTTCTCGATCAAATAATCAATTACTAATACAGGTTTATCAAACCTTTAACCTGAAGATTTTCTCGAGTTTTGTTCTTCAGGTAAAATATCGTTTAAATTGAATTCTTGAAAGCTAATTTAGGAAGGACTTGGAAGAGGTCTTTATATAATATGCATAATTACCTAGTTTTTTAGGGAGAACAAGGAGTAAAAGATGAATTTGAGTTAAAAAAGGATTGAATTGAATCCATTTGATGGTTTTTTCCTTTTATTAAAAATAATTTTATCAATTTGAAAATTGATATATCACAATTTAAATTAGTGTTTCATATATTATAATTAAGAATTTATAATATGATTCTAATGGGTGATCTAAAATTAAATGAAAATAAAGTGGCTTATATATGGATTTATCTTGAAGTTAAAAAAGAATTTATAGCAAAAGCCGAGTTAATTCTTTGTAAGATAAATGAATATCTTTTATCCAGCCAACATTAGAGAGGAGTAAAGAAAAGAACTTCTATTGGATTTAAGGAAGTTATAAAATGACTTCATTTTCTCCATAATAAATCTAGTTTAAATTTATCCACAATGGTTTATGAGAATGTATCAACAAATTTAGAATTGAACCTAATTTTAATATATAGTTGAAATTTTCTCTATTTTGAAAATCGTTATACTAAAACTTAGTTTAATATTGTTAGCACCATTCTTTACAATCGAGTTTGATTGCGTTTTTAATTTCAGCCTAACCACTCTTCTTAAAATAACAATGCACTGTTAGTAAATTAACTTAAGATTTGCTAGTTCTTAATTTTTAAAGAAAAAAGAAAATGTGATTGATAAATATTTGTAATTGAATTAGGATATGTAATTTATATATGACATAGAGTAAAATGGTATAAAAATAAATAAAAAAATAAAAAAAATCGATGCCTGTGAGACTCGAACTCACGCGGGAAATCCCAACGGCTTAGCAGGCCGCCGCCTTAACCACTCGGCCAAAGCATCTAATCTATTGAGTTTATGAGTCATAATTATTTATAGTATGAATTATAATCAATCTTTAATTTCTTATAATTGGTTAGTTTATTCTGATTATTAATTTTGATTTAATTCTATACGACTGTCATTAACACTTTCTATTTGATTTTTGATTCTACATAGATAATTAGAATCTGTATTTTTAATTTATATATTTCCAATATCTATCCAAGGGAAATCTTATATAATCTTTTTTCTATTATATACAGTTCTACAAAATGGACAATTCTTTTATCTAAGTAACCATTCTTATAAACATATAGAATGAAATATATGAAAACAAGGAGTAACACAACAAATCTTTTATAATTTATTATTAGCATTTTTCATTTATTCTAAACAAACAGCACATTCTTCAAATTAAGATAATCCAGGATACACTTATATAAATTTATCATAATAATGAGCTTTAAAATGATCTTTTATAAATCTAATTTAAAAACCTTATTATATTATTATATTTAATTTACCTTTATAAATAGCTGGATCAAATACTCTATTAGATTATTATTATTAATCAAAAAATCCTTACTAATTTAGATTTCTACGAATAGTTTCTTATACTTATTTACGAATTTACTAATGCTTTCTAGTTCTTAATACAGATATTCCAATTGCAAATAAGAAAAGAGTTGCAATAGCACAAACAGTTATTATAATTATTATTCTATTACGTTCAAATATTGATTAATCATCTTAATAATAAGTAACTATTTTAAACTAAAATTCAATTTGTTCAGATTAATTATTATAGATTCCTATATAGATTACGTCAGCATTAGATATTATAATTTCTTCTTATATATTTACTATAGATAACAATCTAGAACTATTTTGTAAATTTGGTATTGTTTTTTAAGGTGTTTATTCAGAAACTAAGCTATAAACTACGTTATTATTAAATATTTTACATACATCCTATTATTCATTCATAGTTTATAATTCTACATTAGTAGTAGGTAATTCATAATATAAATATATCCATTTATTAGATTCTATTGTTAATTTATTATAAACATTGCTATATATTTTAGATGATTAAAATTGACAAAATAATCCAAAATATGAATCTAAACAATTACATTACATTGATACACAAACAGAATTTTGAATTTCAGGATAATTATATCCATTACAATCATTAATACAAGATTCTATAAATGGTCTTTCTGTAATATATAATTCATATGAACTTTTTTCATTAATTTATTCAGATTGTAAGCATCTTATATATAAAAGCTAATAAAAGTCTATTTCTACTAATTAATAAACAGAATTAGCTTAATAACCCTAATAATCATAAGCAAAAGATTCATTTTTTGGATCATTTAAATCTGTAATTGCTACTTATTCTAAACTTGATTATGATACTAAACAAACTGCTTTTGATGAAGACACATAAAATTTTATTATTATACTATTTGCTTTTGATGACTTATCTAATTTTATCTACTATTCTATATTTGTATCCAATTATCCTGAATAATCAGGTTTTCCTTTTATTAAAAACAAAAAGCAAATCACAAATATAATCATTTATATTATTTAAATTTATAATTCTTTTCTCACTTTCAGAGGCATAAAATAATAAAATTAAATTGTTTCAATGATTTAATATATAATATTTTAAAATGCGGTCTTCAGAATAGAACTTAGTTCATATACTCTAAAAACTAATAGTATTTTTGTATTTACCATAAAAAATTTCATATATTTTGTAAAATGAACTCTAAAGGAATTTTTTATCTGATTGTTGCATTTCGTTGGACATTTTAAATCTGAAAACTGTTTTCTATGTATATATTTTAATCTTAAGCTTATTCCTATTTATCGTTTTTCTCCATTAACCTATTAATCTAGCAGCTTGGTTGAATAATTTTTCATTTTATATTCAAATCTACATTGAGTGGTGTATCAAAATCCTGAATTAGTATCTAAAGGAAACGAAATATTAGCTATTTATATCAGATATTTATTTATGTATTTTTTTTCAGGTTTGCAACTATTTATAAAAATAATATAACATTTATTAGCTTTCTTATTCAAATTATGCTCACAGAGTTTTTTTGGCATATCAAACTAGTTTAAAGATTAAAGTCTAAACTAATTAAATAAATTTTGTGTAGACTCGATAATAATAATAATAAAGATGATTAATAATTGGTTTTAATCTGTAAAAGTCGATGAGTTTATAAAAGAAGAAAGACTTAGGTAAATATATCAATCTATGGAATTAGTAAAGACTGAATATTAGAAAAGTGAATAGAACTTCTTGATTATATAAACAAAAATATAGTTACATTTATAAATTGAAAATAATTTTAATAATTAATATCACAATGATATTTCTTAATTTCCTAAGCTTGCTTTTATTAAATAATGTCTTCATATTTAAAAATTATCAAATTTTCAATATTTCCATATCAAGTTAACCTAAAATGGTTGCTATGTATAAATTTCAGGATGCAAAGAATTTGANCACTTATATAAATTTATCATAATAATGAGCTTTAAAATGATCTTTTATAAATCTAATTTAAAAACCTTATTATATTATTATATTTAATTTACCTTTATAAATAGCTGGATCAAATACTCTATTAGATTATTATTATTAATCTAAAAATCCTTACTAATTTAGATTTCTACGAATAGTTTCTTATACTTATTTACGAATTTACTAATGTTTTCTAGTTCTTAATACAGATATTCCAATTGCAAATAAGAAAAGAGTTGCAATAGCACAAACAGTTATTATAATTATTATTCTATTACGTTCAAATATTGATTAATCATCTTAATAATAAGTAACTATTTTAAACTAAAATTCAATTTGTTCAGATTAATTATTATAGATTCCTATATAGATTACGTCAGCATTAGATATTATAATTTCTTCTTATATATTTACTATAGATAACAATCTAGAACTATTTTGTAAATTTGGTATTGTTTTTTAAGGTCTTTATTCAGAAACTAAGCTATAAACTACGTTATTATTAAATATTTTACATACATCCTATTATTCATTCATAGTTTATAATTCTACATTAGTAGTAGGTAATTCATAATATAAATATATCCATTTATTAGATTCTATTGTTAATTTATTATAAACATTGCTATATATTTTAGATGATTAAAATTGACAAAATAATCCAAAATATGAATCTAAACAATTACATTACATTGATACACAAACAGAATTTTGAATTTCAGGATAATTATATCCATTACAATCATTAATACAAGATTCTATAAATGGTCTTTCTGTAATATATAATTCATATGAACTTTTTTCATTAATTTATTCAGATTGTAAGCATCTTATATATAAAAGCTAATAAAAGTCTATTTCTACTAATTAATAAACAGAATTAGCTTAATAACCCTAATAATCATAAGCAAAAGATTCATTTTTTGGATCATTTAAATCTGTAATTGCTACTTATTCTAAACTTGATTATGATGCTAAACAAACTGCTTTTGATGAAGACACATAAAATTTTATTATTATACTATTTGCTTTTGATGACTCATCTAATTTTATCTACCATTCTATATTTGTATCCAATTATCCTGAATAATCAGGTTTTCCTTTTATTAAAAACAAAAAGCAAGTCACAAATATAATCATTTATATTATTTAAATTTATAGTTCTTTTCTCTCATCCAGAGATGATAAAATAATAAAATTAAATTAATTTAATGATTTAATATATATTCATTTAGATTTATACTACATATTTTTAAATGTATCCTCAAGAATAGTATTTAGTTCATGTACTCCTAAATCTAAAACATATTTATATAATTTACCATGAAAATATTCATTGTAGCTTTGGAAATATGATTTCTCATTAAATATTGTTGAGTCCCTTAAAGGTTTTTAATATCTGAGTACTACAAATACAAAGAAATTGGCAATTTATTATCTGAAAAACAAGAAACTGGTAAATGATAAAATACAAGTTCCATATCCTAAGAATGTCCACAAAGTGGAAACAGTCGAGTATTGATTTATTAGCTAAGAATAAGATATTATTAAATACTGAGCCATCTGACCCTATATGTTATGTCGTATTTGTGAAGGTAACTACGTAAATGTAACAATATATAGGAATCATAATTACTTAATAAGTTAGGATTAAATATTTTTAAAGTTAAAAGGTAAATAGTTTGTCATAATGGTATTCATTCAACACACTATATTTATCATAGTAGAAGAAAATGACTTGTAATATTAAGCACCATAAAATCATAATAGGATTAAAAAATATCATCATCATACCTGTGCTATAGATAAATAAAATATAAAATAATCTGCTTCTAATAGGAAAAAGAGGAGGAGTGATTAAATCATTTAATTGTTTTTGAAAATATAAAGTTGGCTTGAAATTCTTCTGGATTTTCTTTTTGAGAGAGTTGAATTTTACAGATCTTAAATGAAAAAAGTGGATTATTCCTTTAGAAATGAGTCTCACTTAAGCTAATTTGCTTACAGCCAATACAACAGCAATGCTATTCAAAGCAGAATGCTTTTGTAAGATACTTAACACAAAAATGAATGGAAAAGCCAAAATACAGACTTATTGAATGGGTGACATAAATGTAATAATATTCTTTTCCTATAAGGAATAGGTGGATCTTTATGATCTCTTAGTCATAAAGATAACTAATATGGTTGAAAAGACAGAAAGGAATACAGTAAATAATGTCATTACTATCACAATTAAGCTACTAACCCAGCCATCTTATCTTTTCAAATGTTATTCCATGATAAAAAGTATTTCAAAAAGTGCCATAATTATGATACCAACAAACAATGTTATGCATGTGGTTATAAGTCGTAAAAAGAATCTTTTCAATGTATGCATACCAATATGCTCCCAAAAGATATCATCTTATCGAAATCCTCTCTGCAAGTGTAACCCTTTCTTCTCATCAATAGTAGATTATTACATAGTCATTTCTTATTATTCATCATTTTCAGGTAGATGTAAAAGATCAATTATACTCTATTTCAACTTTGCCTTTAGTTCTGAGGGTTAGTTGAATATTTCCGATTGACTTCTTACCATTTCTTAGAGATCAGATTATTGAGATATCATAGATGATTTAGAGCTGTTGGTTTGAGATTACTCTAGTAATTGCGCTTGTAATTCAAATTTATCCTTTTAGAACTCCTAATAGTTTTATGCAGATTCTTTAATAGTTTCGATTCTTTAAAGTAAGTTATTGAAAAATGATTTATCATAAAATTTGTAAACCAAATTAGTTACTGATTCTGAATTAAATTTCAAAATCACTTTTTAAGTAAAGGGTAAACCATATTATAATGTTTTTTAAATATCCCTTGTTTATTTTATTAACTAAAATACTAAATCAATCAATTATCCTTTTAATTCTAATTTTGGATTCACTTTAAGTTCATTAACTATTTATAAGCTTTTTAAGTAAGTCTCCTTTCGTTTTTCGTTTAAAACCTTTATTGGATGGATGTCATAAATATACACAATCTCTTCTATAAATTTACCTCCAATTTTATCCTTGTATTTACTGGCAATCGCATTCTGGATATATAATTATAATTCTTATTCATTGAACTTCTTAGGGATATGTTTGATGTACAGAGTTAATTTTGGGATACGAATATGATTCAATGAATCATAATTCCAATATTTGATTTGTTATAACCTCAATAAAACTTCATGCATCAGGGGTGTCATCATCATAATAAGGTAAGCTACATATCCTAAGATGTAGAAGGTATTTTATTCCCCATAATTCTTGTTGACAATCTCTTCCTGATTAAAATTGTAGAGTAAGAAATGCTAAGCAGCCAAAAAGGAGGTACAATATTATTCATGAAGCTAATTTTCAGTGAAATTCTTAAGATTAAGCTACCCGCAATATTTATCTGATAAATAGCAATAATATATTCCGAAAATGCAGCCTATTGCTAAGAGAATGAAAAAATGCAATTTAATAATAGAGAAATACAGGGGTATACTTATTCCAAATTCTCCTGCAAAAATGCTATACATATCACAAGTAAATATATTATATCTCTTTCTCCTAATCATTTATCCACAACAATCACAATTAATAACTTTAGGGTTCTCTTTCAGAAATTTTTTATCTGGATGGATATAAAAACTCTAAGAATGTATTATAGCCTTTTCTATAGAAGATGGGTATTCAAAATTTCTAGTTTGAGGCATGTTAATCTATTCCACCCATGAATCTACGTCTTCGAGTGTTAGTAATTGTTTTATTTTACGAACTGAAAATCGATCAGTATCCTAATTTTACGAGTTTCTGTTCCTATGAGCTTCATTAAAATCTAGTATATCAATTTATTCAGCCATTATTAAATTTATGGATTAGAAGAATCTATTCAATAACTTATTATAATAAATTAAAATGAATCATTATAAGCACTAATATTTGATTTTAAACAATTCAATGAGCATGTCATTACTGCGATAATCTACTATGTAATCATCGATGAAATAATTGGACTATTTTTATAAAATTTAGAACTAAATATATAATTTCAGATATCAATGATTTTTTATGGAGATCAATTTTCTAACAATACAATTAATTCTCTCTCAAGAAAATGAAAAAGTTCAAAGAATATTATATTATTCTATTATATTTATAAATTTCCTTTTACGGAACAAAATAAAAATAATCAGTTTTCTTAGTTGGATGGTTAAATGAATGGTTTTTTAACCTTATTAAATACTATTCCAGACCTTTTTAAATATAGAATCTACTCTAATTTCAAAGACTCTATGTCTTCAAATGTTATAATCTTTTGCTACTGTTGTGCTTTAATCATAATCAAATTACTTACATATCATAACATCACCAAAAGAACTCTATTTTTTGCTCTGACTTTTATGCGATTCCTAGTCTTCCATTTTTTTTTAACTCTAAAATTTGGAGTGCTAACATTCTTTTGGCATTGATCTGGATATTTTTTTTTATGATGAGTTTTTAGCTAAGGAATTTATTGATCTGTTAGATTTATTAGTTTTTTAAGAGTTTCTTTAATAAAGAGATTTTATATCATTGGTATGAATTGAAAAATCCAATTAAAATTCTTTACTTCTATCATTGGATTATTCAGACTATTTGATGCTTTTCATTGATTGTCTATTACTCTTATCCAATTCAAGTCCACTTAACATTTAGTTTGATTTATAATTAGTTTCTGAAGTCTGACGTGAATGATGTAGAATATAAGGACTGTCTAAAATATCTTAGCAGCTTATTCTATCCTCAATTTTATATTCAAGCATCTTTTTTATTAAGTATTTCAAATCTGGATTAACATCTTACCAAGGATGTTTTTCAAAATTAACTTGGCATTTTCTATTTAACTCCAAGATTTATGTTGCAGTTGGTGCTTTAAATGGCATGTATCCCGCAACAATCTTAAATTTATTAGAATAATATATACCAAATACATAATTACGCCCAAACTAAAGATATCACTTTTAGCAGTATAAGGGATTTATCTGAATATTTCTGGAGGAAGAAAACCAGGAGTTCCTGCCTAACTTACCAATTATTTTTCATTAATAACTTCAGAGAAACCAAAATCAACTAATTTTATTTATAAATAGTCTTTTGATTCTAACATAATATTTTCTAATTTTAGATCTCTATGTACAAAATTCAATCTATGCATCTCATATAGAGCATCACATAATTACTTCAATATGTAAGCATAGTGTTTATCGTTAAATTTAACTTTTTATTTCACGTATGAGTATAATGTTCCTCCAGCACAATATTCCATTATTAATATCAATTTATCTTTTTCTTAGATTACTTCATAAAGTTTCATAATATTTTAATGATCAACATTTTTAAGAGTTGTAATTTCATTGTAAACCATTGACTAACCTATATTTAAATAAATATGTTTACAAGCAATCTATCTTTGTGTGCATAATCGTCATAAAACGATTTGAAATAGGTTTTTGCAGCAAAATACTTTTCATCTCTTTTCCTACTTACCTTATAAACTGTTGCAAAAGCACCACTTCCTAGTGATTCTAACTATTCATACAAAACATTAAACCCTCTCATTAAACAAAATTATTGAATGCATTCTCCTAATTTTAATGTTTGATCAATCAAATGATCAAAAATAGTTATTCCAATGCCTTAATTCCTTTCTAAATACAGCACAGGTAACTATAGATTTCTTTTTGTCTTTTGAAAACTCACAACTATTCTGATCTACATATTCAATTATAGGAAGCCTTTTGGTAGTGTGTCTGATTCCTTTTTATGTAATTAATTTATACTTTTTTATAGTACATTAGTAAGCCACAACTTGTCAATCTATAAAAATAACCCTTTACGATCTTTTTCTTTTTTCCAATTCTTAACATATTACTTGCAAAAATGTAGTCATCAAATACCCAATTCCTTTCCATGTCTTTATTTGCTCTTCTATCCCAAAATTACTTAATTAATGGATCATTCTTGATTTTGAAAAGTGGCCAATTAAAGTCACTCTCAGGTTTTGTTAATAAAAAAGTTGGTTTTTTCATAACAGTTGGTTTCCTAAAAATATTACCATAAAAGGAATCATTTTTCATCGTTGGAGTTCGAGATTATTATACACTATCATTATGGCATGATTGTTGCATCTATCTTGAAAAAGTCTATGTTCTTGGGATGTTCTCTAATGCCAAACCCATGCTATTCTTCTTAGCTAGTAATGGCAAAGCAGAGACACCATTACGAAATATGGTTTATTGAAGTGGAATGGACTGATCAGTCTCAATCACTAAATTTTTCTTCATTAACTTAATTAAATTACTTAAACACTGAATTATATATATATAAATACATTATAATATTGGAAATAATTTCTTTACAATTAAATTGGTAATAAAAGGTGGCATATCACGTTGAAATACCAACACCATTATTCTTAGTTTAATCAGGATATCTTTATTAATTATCCTAATTTCTACAATACATCAATCTTAAAGACTCTAAAAATATTTTATTGGTAAATATAGTTTTTATCAGAATTTGGATTAGATAATATTTATTTAAAATTAAACGTTTTTAGAATCATCACTTTTCTTTAGTTCGTTAGTTATTTAAGTGATCATTATCTTAAAACCTTATGAACTTTTATAATTCAATTAGAACTACTTTGTAAACTAGTTGGAATGAAAGTCAAAATTTATTATAAATGTATAACATCTTCTAATCTTTACTTAAGCATAATTATACAATTTTATGATGAATCGATCACGATCATGAAAATCTGATAGAAATAATATATCTATTTTTTGTATTTATAGTATAAGAATTAATTATGAATAATATTTGAGATCAAACCATGGATATTCTGAATCCACATTCCTTGCATTTTGATTGATAAAAATAATTTTCTGTTCTGCAGATTGAACAAGTTTTCATAAAATTAAAGTTCTTGTTGACCGTTTCTTGTTAGCTCTATGTTAAATTCTCTAAGAAAAGTGCTTAATGAAAGACTGTATGATCCTGAGCTTTACTTCCAACACTATCTGTAGTACTGTGTCCACTGCCTGTAAGATCAGGTTCTGAGAGCTTTAAGGAATCAATTATATTTGGTTGTTCTAACGGAATGAATTTTGTTCCTGGAGCATCTCTTGTGAAGGTTTAGCATCGATTACAATATTTACGAAACGAATAATTCAAGTTCTTGCATCCGATGCAAATCCAGTCTAATGGTTTGTTTTACATTTTATCTTTGTAATTAAATGAAATTATCCTAAATAATAAAATGTGAATTTATATAATTTGTTTGTTTATATGACAAAACAATTCATTTGCATGCCATTTTGTCTTCAAAACTTATTAATGCAATTTAATATGCCTAACGTGAGTTATGGGATATTATCATTTTACATTGAGAAATTCTTCACAAGCCCTCCAAAATCATGTGAACGTACTATCTTCTTTTTTATCAATACTAGGTTTATCAAATCTTTAATAAAATATTAACAAAAAAGCATTATCTGGTATACCAATAACATGTCCGATTAAATAAATGAAAAATTAGGCTCTATTGTTATTTACTGTTAATAAGAAAGTAGTACATTTTGAACAAAAAAGACCTCTTAAAATGGGGGCAATGATTTTAGCAAATGAAATGAAGGTCTTAATTCTAAGTTTTAAATGATTATCCTTATGGATTCAAGTCCTTCGATTATTAAAAATGAATAATACAGAAATATTTACTTAATTATTTAAGATATCTAATGCATCTATTGGGTTTTCTGAATTTAGCCCTGAGTCATTTAAATTAAATTAAGTTCTCTTAAACTAGATCTTAAAATTTACCCTTTTTTTTCCATATCAATTCTAGATTATAAAAATAATGTAAATGCTAAAATTATTCCATGCCCTCTTATCTTGCACTGTTCAAATGCAAATCCATTATAAGTATGCTTTCAATATCTTGGATAAAATCTAAATGTTCCACTTACATCTCTTTTTTTGTATATCAAATCATATCAATATTCTATGCTTAATTCAAAGAAAATATTACTTTCTATATGGTATTGAACTTAATGGTTTTGGATATCGACAAGTTTAATTTATTTTTTAGTATTATAATTCTTATTCTTATTATACTTACTTTAAAATATCTTGCTAACTTTAAACAAATTTTCTGAAAATATAAATTCCTTTAGAAATTATCATTCTGAAATTTAAATATCACATAAATTAGATTTTTAAAATCTCTATATTATTTTATTTGCCTTTTATTTGTATTATAAAAAAGTATTTAAATTCTCTTTATTATCTTTAGCATTACCATAGCAAATTATCAATTAGACAAAACTCTATTTAATGATATCTGAACATTACATTCTTCCTTTTATTATATATTTTAAAGAACTATTAATAATCTTTAATTACTTAGATTCTTATTGCCAAATAGGTTTATTTAGTAAGATGAGTTTATTAATTTAAATTATTATTATTATCCTAATTTATAATACCAAATATGATTTTCTCCTATAAATTTAGATTTAAAATATTATTAATAATAAAACTTATTAAAATCAAACTCCTAACTTCGTTATCTCCAAGTATCTTTAAACATTATAGATAAATTAGTTCTCTACTTCCCTAACAAAAACTTAATACAATTGCGAAGAATACATTATCCTTATAATATTTTGATATATATTATTATTAAATCATACTAAGATTATTTTCTTTTTTTTCTATATTTAATCTACTATCATACAGTCTTCTTCTTCACTTGGATCTAAACTGACACCTCCAACATGATTTGTAAATTCAAAACTTGTTTTTTAAAATTAATCTTAATCAAATTCGGGTTCATCATATGTTTATTCATGAGAACTTAATCCTAAATCAATCTAGATGTCTACTATGGCATCCGGCCTTTCATTATCTTAAAAAACGTTTATTCCTTCCAAATTTGGAATTTCTCCTGAAAGATAAACGGCCAATACATATGTCCACATACATATCATGACTTAATAGAAAGGCTTCCTTGAACTGCAATTCTACTATACAATCATACATTTATTGAATAAAATGTTAGCATAATAAACTAGAAATTCATAATCTACTTTATTTTTCAATGCAGAAATTTGTTAATCAGGAATTTAATAGAATTTAATTCCTTTTTTGAGTCTTCCAAACTATAGTTTTTTTTAGCTGAATATAAGAACTAATCTTTGATTCTTTTCACTGTGATAATACATCTAATTCTCTTAAATAAATGCTGAATAACCTCCTTCTATATTATTTTAAATGTCATTCATTACTTCTTAATTCAAGTCATTTTCTGATAAAGTTGTTAACATAATGCTACATTGCATTTCATTGATTTTGTATGAGTTTGTACACTTATAATTCTTCTTCTTCTTCAATGATCCTTGAGTATAGTTAATAGCTTATCCACAGAAAGCTTTCAATGAATAAAGCACTTCTAATACAAAATCGTGTTATTCACCAAACAAATTAATTATTCTTCCTTTTTTCTTGTCTAATCTAAAGAAATCTAAAATTGGGAACATTATTGCCTTCATTTCTGTTGTAAATTTAACTAATTATTCGCAGAAAAAGTTATCTGAACTAGATAATTATTCTAAAATAGCTGGACCACACATATCAATCTTAGGAAACCAAGTAGTTTTTGATAGATCAAATTCGATAGATTTCTCTTCCTTTAGCATTGGCATTCTCCTTAGATCGCAAGTAATATTTGTCATTGTATTTAATGTTTAAGCGAAAAACGGTCGGATTGGCATATATTATTCATACAATTTGAGAATTTCTAAATTCAAACATGGTTCTCTCTCTAAATATCTCCATGCAACAGGCCATTTCTTATTTTTTAAGTCCAATTCTAAACTACTAGATTTCTTTCTCATTGATCTCCAAAATTTCATTCTCACTTACTTCCCTTTAGATTCATCATGAAAAACGTCATATGCAACCTTAATCCAAAATTCCATACTAACTCTTTTTTTCTTTAAAAAATCACAAATGCATATCTTAAATATGTCAGAATCCAAAGTGGTATCTATTATGTTGGATAATCTAAATTATTTGAAGGAATCCCATTGTTAAAGCATTTATTTATCGTTGTTCAATCTTTATGGATTTGGCTGATATTTTTTTTACAATAATTTTTAATAGAGGTCTAAATCTTCTTTGAAGGTATCATCGAGGTTCCTGGTCATCTATCTAAGTTGAAAGAACTTCCTATTCATGTTTTTGTTCATAAAACAATTAATTACCATCTTTTGTATACAAAGATATTTATATACATACACATATACATTCTTAAATGTTGAAATAATAATGAATTAAAAACGTTTAAACATAAATAATAATCGAACAAAAATCTTGTCACTGCATGTTGGAGTAGCATTAGTAAAGTTTGGCATAAAGTTGTGTAAGTAACTCAATTTAATGTTAAATTTTTTTCTGTTCATTTTACACTTGTAATCTAATAAAAAATTATTTATACAAATATTTATCGGATTCTTATGTGCTTCTTTATTTTAATAAATCAATTCTCTCTAAATTTTAAAGCTGAGCTTTTAATTATTAGGCTAATTTTTTATTTTCTGAATCCTTATTAGTTTTCTCCAACTTTTTTAGAAACTATTGCATCTTTTCAGTATCTTTTGACTCGCAATTCAATTCCGGAATAATCAATCCTGGTTTGCTCAATAATTTGTTCCATTAAATCCCTAAAACTAATATTTCTATGATACCTTTAAAGAATTTGTGATTTTTTATTTCTTCAATAGATTTATGCCCAATTCTCTTGTTGAAGTCAGGTTCCAACAATTTTACAATTAGATCATATGCTTATTCTGAAATACAATCCTCTCCTTCTCCAATTTAAGGCCATTCGATTCGCATATTCAAAATATTATCAAATATTTTATCAACAGTATCATCATTAAAAGGGGCAATACCACAAAGCAATTCGTACATTATAATACCTAAACTCCAGTAATCTGAACTAAAGTTGCTGATTGAAGTTCCTAATATGATTTCAGGAGCAATATAATCTGGAGTTCCAACAATCCTTTTTATATTGAATTCAATTACTTTTTTGTCTTGCTTCCTTATTTCTCCACTAAAATGGATTCTACCTTTTTCAATTATTTATAGACAGGTTAATATGCTTATTGATCACTGATTTATTCTACACAAGTGGGTATCTCAGCAGAATTTTAGGAAGTCAACTTTTCTTTTAATTTCAATCTGCTATTCACTCCTTATTCTGATAAACCAAAATCAGCTAGTTTAGAATGTCCTTAACAATCTAGTAATATATTTTCTGGTTTTAAATCTCTATGTACTATATTTTATTATCTTAAATATTCTAGAGCCAAAACTATTTCAGCCATATAGTGTTGAACATAAAATTCATCCAATGCCTAATTTAAATAATGATAGAGTCTACCGTATATTGTTTCAAAATGCTTGCTAGATCTCCTCCCATCATGTATTCTTATACAAAACACAGATATTGTTCATGAACAAATGAAAAGTAGGCTTTGACAACAAAACTGCTATTTAAAATTTCGAAAATGTTTCTTTCAGCCTTTAATTATTCAAGAAATGCTTCTAAGTTCTAAGATAGAATGTTAAATTACTCTTTAAGCGCAGTCAATTATTTTCAAAGCATAAAGATCTCCTGATCCTTTCTTTTTCACTAAAAAGACCCAACCATAAGCTCCCTTTCCTAATAGCTTTATGAATTCAAAGTCTTTAATTCCAACTTTTGAAGTTTCATTTAATTAAGGAGAAACAGTTTTGATTAAGTTGGAATCAGAATGATAACCTTTATCTATCAAAATTTCATCGATAGCATTTTCTTAAACAACAATGGGAGACTTACACACTTGATTTTCAAAGAATTTGCTTTTCCTTTGTTAATTTTTTCCGACTAATTATGCTTTTTCAATTTCTTAAGATTAGAAACTTAATTTCTTCTTTTTTCTTTATTTTTTTACAGGTGCTTGATTAGCAACTTCGTTATTATTAGAATTGCCAGATTCCATACTAGATATGTTTGATGAATTTTCACTATCTTTTATGGATTTTTGAATTTCAATTTTTTTTGGATATTTTTATTTTTCTTCTATAATTTCTTCTAAATTTTAAGGTTTTTAATTTTTCATTAAGAGAGGTTGTATGGATGCTTTGAATTATGTTAGTTTTAACAAAGAATTTTGAATTGTATCTTTGGTATCTTTGGATTAAGTGATTTCGTTACTTGATTATTTTTTTGTTTATTCTACTTTAAGATCACTAATTGAAGAATTAATTGATTAATTTACTTCAGTTTAACAAAAATAACTTGGTTTCATTTAAGTTAAAGCAGATGATTATTTAATTGATTTAGGTGATTCAGATCCATCACTTAATTTAAAGATGGAAGAGTTCATTTTGAATGCTTTTCTTTGAGTTCCAAGTTTTTGTGGTGATTAAATTTAAGGCGACGATGGTGAATCATCTTCTTCTTATATTGGATCTGTAGAGATTCTTTAAGAAGGAGACGGGGAATTCTGAAATTTGGGCATCCTAAATGAGATTGAATTAGATTTAGTGAATGCTCTTTTAATTTTAGTAATATTGTCTTAATTTTGATTAGGTGATCCTTCGATTGAATTATTAATGATATTCTCTTTTTTTTTTTAATAATCAAGTCTATCCAATAAGCATTTATGAGTTGCATTAATAATCGACAAAGTTTCTTGGCTTTCAATACATTAAATTGCATTAACTATGTCATTTAACAGTACTAAAGTTTCTATTAATAAAGCTCAAGATAAGTTATTACATTTAGTATCTTCAACTTCAGCAGCATTATTTAATGTTTTTTCAGCAAAGTTAATAATTTACGTCATAATGTTGACTATGTTGTTCAATTCTTATTGATATTCATTTTAATTATCTTCATCTTCATCTTAGTCATCTAAAGTTTAGACTCTTCTATATATATATTTAGTGTTGTGATATTGTCTCCTTCTTGTTTTGTCCCTCATCCTTATAACATAATAATGATAATTGTACTTCTTTATTGCCAATTTCACTTGCACATTCCTCTTTTCTAAATATGCCTAATCACAAATATTTGCTAATTCCAGATTTAGTTCCAATAATCTTTTTTTGCTCTCAGCTTGCTATTCACACATTATACAATGTTGTGCCATCTATGTTGCTTAAACTGGTTACTCACAAATTCTGCATATAAACATTTTATAAAACTTTTTAGAAACCAAAGTTAAATCTGAATTCAAAGTACTTTATCTTAAATATGTCAATATACTTTTGTATGTTGCGAATGCACAGGTTAGACCATCTTAATTAATTTTTTATATTTTGTTTATTTACCCACTTTTTACTGATTATGTCCAAAGTTATTCTGAGTTTTAAGGATAAAATTTTAAATGATCTATTTAATACATACAATCAGAATGAAATACTTTTATAATGTCTTTCTACCAATTGATCTCCGATATTACCCCTTTCTTATTGTGTTGTCATCCAGTTTAGAAATGTCTTCAAGCAAATTATTAATCTTGGCATTGATATCCTAAAAACCTTCAAAGTTGTCTGCTTAAAAAAATGAATAAATGCTGAGCAAAGATGTTTCGATGACCTTGACTTATTCTTTCTAATAAAAGTGATAATATATTCAAATTGTTACTGCTTATAATTTATAGTAATGCTATAAAATTTCAGTACTTTATTTAATAGCTAGAGGTTAGGGTTTTAATATTTTTATTTATTATTCTATAAAAAAATTAGTCACCAATGGTTAATCTGCTTCCATACACTTTTATATTAAAATTAAATAAAAAATTGTATTAAATATTGGATATATTTATATTATTATGATGTACCATCAATAGGGTTTGACAAATCCAGTTGGGAACTCTGTAGCTGTCTTGAACTCTAACATCTCTGGAAATCTGTACCCCTTGTGATACAATTCCCTACTCAACACTTACCATAACCCTGGTTTCATGACAGATAATTATGTTCTAAATTAATAATAATTTAATACCTAATATATTGTCCATCGACCGTTGGATCCGCAACTATTTTAGTGAATAATTTATTTGGAATAGGAGCAGTGTAAGCTCTCCATAATACTAACATATGTACAGATGCGAGTATGGGCCCATAAGCTTTATTAGCTCCCTTCCTATTAGCGCCTGCAAACAGCCATTGTGTTCCAAGAAGCGAGAAAGGCAAAAAGGCTAATGGTGCTGAAACCACAATATCATTGAGCACTTGACTGCAATTCTTGAAATTGAACAGCATCTTGTTGTTCATAATATCATATTCTATACTTCTCTACTCAAATACTAATCCAATAGGACTTCCATAACTTCGAAATAAGACTCAATGCTCATGGCTATATCTGATCTAGTACCACCCACATAAGAGTAGAAGTTGTTCTTGAACATTAAATTATTTTTATATTTAATAATCTATAAAATTAAGAGTCATCTCATATCAAACCTTTCAGTGCATAATTTCTGATTTCTTGTACATATTTCAATTGTTCTAAAGGTTTCAATTCGTCAGCCACTTTCACCTAGAGTAGTAGATTATAAATATCGATCGTATCAAGATCTAAGATTTCAGACTCCATCTAATTTAATTCTTCATAACTCATCTTTGGCACAAATTCCTAAGACCATCTCCCCAAAATTATGTCCAATTCCTTCATTCCCAAATTTGTGCATCTGTGCATAAGCATTTTTTGGTAAGAATGCAATTCTTTGGGTCTGTTTGGTAGAATAATATTTTTTTAAATTATTCAGCTACTCTTTTTGATATAAAGCTCTTAGATGCCATTTTCTTATTAAAAATATTAATCTTATTATTCGATATATATATATATTTAAATTTTCAATTCTTTATATATCTAACATGCTTTATAATGATTTAGGATAATTCTAATAGGTCTTGCACATAATTTGGCGATAATTCATGCACCTCAGAAGAACTATTATCTATTTTACGGCGAATTTCCATCTACTACTATTCTTTGTTTTAAATAACTCATCAAATGATAGTACACTAATAATATTAATTTTAACCACCTTTATCGACGTTGAATATCTACATTTACAGATTTTTGGCTGATTTTTTAATTAAAAAATCCTCTTTAGTTACACTATTTAATTTTGATTAGCTTGGACTTTGCATTTTAAGATACAAAGAATCTCGGAATTTGTTCAAATTAAAATCTGCTTCCATAGCTAATACATTTTTGGATTAGCATTAACGATCTAATAAAATTAATATTTTAATTCTAAATATATAATATTTTTCAACTAAGAAATTATTTAAGTAATTATTATTCTAAAATTTCACATAATTTTATATCAAAATTCTAATATTAAATAACCCAAAATCTGTACTTTTATGTATATTTATTAAGTATCAATTAATTATCAAATAAATCAATTTACCATAAATACAGAATGAAATTGCTAAGATAAACTTAATCTAGAATTAATTTCTCATTTATTTCTACTATGATTATATGAATTCAAAACAGTTTTTGAATATTAACTATTATCGTCCATATTCGTTGTGATTCATTTTAGATTTCTAAGAATATCTTATTTGCTACACTTAAATCTTATTATTTAGTCCCTTAAACTAAATTTATTTATTAAATTGTTTGTAATTGGGTCATATAAGGTGCAATGTTACATATTACTATAAAATTTCACTATTTCCACTTATTGAATTAGAAATGTAAAAATTTATTATGGCAAATATTTATTTAAATAATAGGGACATCAAATAATACACTGTATATATTACTCTTCTATTTAGAAGTTATAATCTTACTATCTGTTATTCTATTTATTTATAATATTATAATAAATATCAGTCAAATAGTTTTTGCTTTATCTATTTGATGTTTTGATGTTTTAAAAAAATAAACTTATTTATTCTTACTTTTTAAAATCAAATTTCGTAATATCAAAATTCTACTTAAACTTCCAAGCATATATAATTTTACAGAATTTATAGGATTATAAAATTTAGATAATTATAAATAATAGTAAATTAAATATGAAAAACGGCATATTGCTTAAAAATGAGTTATCATTTTCGGGAATCAAAAAACTTTTACTTCAATTAGATGAATTGTAGGAATTATATCTAGCTATAATGGAATAGACTTAGATATAATTATAGAATATAAACTATTACTCAGATTGTAAACTCAATATAACTTAAATTTACTCATCCAATAAGCCACTTGAATTAATAGAAAAATTGTAAAATTATTTAATCGAAATGAAGCATCAGAAGAACCCAAAATACATAAAATTGAATAAAAAATCAAAATAACTAATAATTAGTTTAACAAAAGCAAAATCTGTACAATAACAAATCAATTAATACTTAGAAATACTTTCTAATCTTGTAAAAAAGCTAAAGTATAAAAAGGAATGCTAAATTTTAATTACTTCGATTTCGTTGATATTAAAAAAACGATAAAAATTTCAGCTTAAATTATTATAAAAACATAATCAACTTTCAGAAAACTTAAATTCAATTTCACAGCTAGTAATAAATTAAGAAAATGTTAAGGACAATATGAAATAATTTCTTGAGATTAAAACCTTGCAAAACATTTTAGAGTAGAAAGTGGGTATCAAAAGCAAAAGAAAAAAATAAGAAATAGAATCATTATCCAAAACTATCAAAATAAAAGAGGAATATGAACATTCAAGTTTTTTTCAAGATAAGCAGATTAATTAATAATAGTATTAAGGCTAATAGTAAATGTATTACAATAATTTCATCTATCAAATGTATCAGTCGTATTGTTACTTCAATTAGCTTTAGTAAACTAAATGTAATATCTGGAATTCGTAGTTACTTTATAATTAGAATCCTTTCATGTATCACTACTACCCTTAATTTCAATAAAATACCTAATAATAAATATGAGTTTATTATTTATTCATTTCTTTAGAATATTTAATTAATATCTAAATACATTAAAATATTTTCTTATTTTTTTTGCATTAGAAGTTTATTTGAATCATTTTTATTTTCAAATTCTTTGCATCCTGAAATTTATACATAGCAACCATTTTAGGTTAACTTGATATGGAAATATTGAAAATTTGATAATTTTTAAATATGAAGACATTATTTAATAAAAGCAAGCTTAGGAAATTAAGAAATATCATTGTGATATTAATTATTAAAATTATTTTCAATTTATAAATGTAACTATATTTTTGTTTATATAATCAAGAAGTTCTATTCACTTTTCTAATATTCAGTCTTTACTAATTCCATAGATTGATATATTTACCTAAGTCTTTCTTCTTTTATAAACTCATCGACTTTTACAGATTAAAACCAATTATTAATCATCTTTATTATTATTATTATCGAGTCTACACAAAATTTATTTAATTAGTTTAGACTTTAATCTTTAAACTAGTTTGATATGCCAAAAAAACTCTGTGAGCATAATTTGAATAAGAAAGCTAATAAATGTTATATTATTTTTATAAATAGTTGCAAACCTGAAAAAAAATACATAAATAAATATCTGATATAAATAGCTAATATTTCGTTTCCTTTAGATACTAATTCAGGATTTTGATACACCACTCAATGTAGATTTGAATATAAAATGAAAAATTATTCAACCAAGCTGCTAGATTAATAGGTTAATGGAGAAAAACGATAAATAGGAATAAGCTTAAGATTAAAATATATACATAGAAAACAGTTTTCAGATTTAAAATGTCCAACGAAATGCAACAATCAGATAAAAAATTCCTTTAGAGTTCATTTTACAAAATATATGAAATTTTTTATGGTAAATACAAAAATACTATTAGTTTTTAGAGTATATGAACTAAGTTCTATTCTGAAGACCGCATTTTAAAATATTATATATTAAATCATTGAAACAATTTAATTTTATTATTTTATGCCTCTGAAAGTGAGAAAAGAATTATAAATTTAAATAATATAAATGATTATATTTGTGATTTGCTTTTTGTTTTTAATAAAAGGAAAACCTGATTATTCAGGATAATTGGATACAAATATAGAATAGTAGATAAAATTAGATAAGTCATCAAAAGCAAATAGTATAATAATAAAATTTTATGTGTCTTCATCAAAAGCAGTTTGTTTAGTATCATAATCAAGTTTAGAATAAGTAGCAATTACAGATTTAAATGATCCAAAAAATGAATCTTTTGCTTATGATTATTAGGGTTATTAAGCTAATTCTGTTTATTAATTAGTAGAAATAGACTTTTATTAGCTTTTATATATAAGATGCTTACAATCTGAATAAATTAATGAAAAAAGTTCATATGAATTATATATTACAGAAAGACCATTTATAGAATCTTGTATTAATGATTGTAATGGATATAATTATCTTNGTTAACTTGATATGGAAATATTGAAAATTTGATAATTTTTAAATATGAAGACATTATTTAATAAAAGCAAGCTTAGGAAATTAAGAAATATCATTGTGATATTAATTATTAAAATTATTTTCAATTTATAAATGTAACTATATTTTTGTTTATATAATCAAGAAGTTCTATTCACTTTTCTAATATTCAGTCTTTACTAATTCCATAGATTGATATATTTACCTAAGTCTTTCTTCTTTTATAAACTCATCGACTTTTACAGATTAAAACCAATTATTAATCATCTTTATTATTATTATTATCGAGTCTACACAAAATTTATTTAATTAGTTTAGACTTTAATCTTTAAACTAGTTTGATATGCCAAAAAAACTCTGTGAGCATAATTTGAATAAGAAAGCTAATAAATGTTATATTATTTTTATAAATAGTTGCAAACCTGAAAAAAAATACATAAATAAATATCTGATATAAATAGCTAATATTTCGTTTCCTTTAGATACTAATTCAGGATTTTGATACACCACTCAATGTAGATTTGAATATAAAATGAAAAATTATTCAACCAAGCTGCTAGATTAATAGGTTAATGGAGAAAAACGATAAATAGGAATAAGCTTAAGATTAAAATATATACATAGAAAACAGTTTTCAGATTTAAAATGTCCAACGAAATGCAACAATCAGATAAAAAATTCCTTTAGAGTTCATTTTACAAAATATATGAAATTTTTTATGGTAAATACAAAAATACTATTAGTTTTTAGAGTATATGAACTAAGTTCTATTCTGAAGACCGCATTTTAAAATATTATATATTAAATCATTGAAACAATTTAATTTTATTATTTTATGCCTCTGAAAGTGAGAAAAGAATTATAAATTTAAATAATATAAATGATTATATTTGTGATTTGCTTTTTGTTTTTAATAAAAGGAAAACCTGATTATTCAGGATAATTGGATACAAATATAGAATAGTAGATAAAATTAGATAAGTCATCAAAAGCAAATAGTATAATAATAAAATTTTATGTGTCTTCATCAAAAGCAGTTTGTTTAGTATCATAATCAAGTTTAGAATAAGTAGCAATTACAGATTTAAATGATCCAAAAAATGAATCTTTTGCTTATGATTATTAGGGTTATTAAGCTAATTCTGTTTATTAATTAGTAGAAATAGACTTTTATTAGCTTTTATATATAAGATGCTTACAATCTGAATAAATTAATGAAAAAAGTTCATATGAATTATATATTACAGAAAGACCATTTATAGAATCTTGTATTAATGATTGTAATGGATATAATTATCCTGAAATTCAAAATTCTGTTTGTGTATCAATGTAATGTAATTGTTTAGATTCATATTTTGGATTATTTTGTCAATTTTAATCATCTAAAATATATAGCAATGTTTATAATAAATTAACAATAGAATCTAATAAATGGATATATTTATATTATGAATTACCTACTACTAATGTAGAATTATAAACTATGAATGAATAATAGGATGTATGTAAAATATTTAATAATAACGTAGTTTATAGCTTAGTTTCTGAATAAACACCTTAAAAAACAATACCAAATTTACAAAATAGTTCTAGATTGTTATCTATAGTAAATATATAAGAAGAAATTATAATATCTAATGCTGACGTAATCTATATAGGAATCTATAATAATTAATCTGAACAAATTGAATTTTAGTTTAAAATAGTTACTTATTATTAAGATGATTAATCAATATTTGAACGTAATAGAATAATAATTATAATAACTGTTTGTGCTATTGCAACTCTTTTCTTATTTGCAATTGGAATATCTGTATTAAGAACTAGAAAGCATTAGTAAATTCGTAAATAAGTATAAGAAACTATTCGTAGAAATCTAAATTAGTAAGGATTTTTAGATTAATAATAATAATCTAATAGAGTATTTGATCCAGCTATTTATAAAGGTAAATTAAATATAATAATATAATAAGGTTTTTAAATTAGATTTATAAAAGATCATTTTAAAGCTAATTATTATGATAAATTTATATAAGTGTATCCTGGATTATCTTAATTTGAAGAATGTGCTGTTTGTTTAGAATAAATGAAAAATGCTAATAATAAATTATAAAAGATTTGTTGTGTTACTCCTTGTTTTCATATATTTCATTATATATGTTTATAAGAATGGTTACTTAGATAAAAGAATTGTCCATTTTGTAGAACTGTATATAATAGAAAAAAGATTATATAAGATTTCCCTTGGATAGATATTGGAAATATATAAATTAAAAATACAGATTCTAATTATCTATGTAGAATCAAAAATCAAATAGAAAGTGTTAATGACAGTCGTATAGAATTAAATCAAAATTAATAATCAGAATAAACTAACCAATTATAAGAAATTAAAGATTGATTATAATTCATACTATAAATAATTATGACTCATAAACTCAATAGATTAGATGCTTTGGCCGAGTGGTTAAGGCGGCGGCCTGCTAAGCCGTTGGGATTTCCCGCGTGAGTTCGAGTCTCACAGGCATCGATTTTTTTTATTTTTTTATTTATTTTTATACCATTTTACTCTATGTCATATATAAATTACATATCCTAATTCAATTACAAATATTTATCAATCACNATTAATGATTGTAATGGATATAATTATCCTGAAATTCAAAATTCTGTTTGTGTATCAATGTAATGTAATTGTTTAGATTCATATTTTGGATTATTTTGTCAATTTTAATCATCTAAAATATATAGCAATGTTTATAATAAATTAACAATAGAATCTAATAAATGGATATATTTATATTATGAATTACCTACTACTAATGTAGAATTATAAACTATGAATGAATAATAGGATGTATGTAAAATATTTAATAATAACGTAGTTTATAGCTTAGTTTCTGAATAAACACCTTAAAAAACAATACCAAATTTACAAAATAGTTCTAGATTGTTATCTATAGTAAATATATAAGAAGAAATTATAATATCTAATGCTGACGTAATCTATATAGGAATCTATAATAATTAATCTGAACAAATTGAATTTTAGTTTAAAATAGTTACTTATTATTAAGATGATTAATCAATATTTGAACGTAATAGAATAATAATTATAATAACTGTTTGTGCTATTGCAACTCTTTTCTTATTTGCAATTGGAATATCTGTATTAAGAACTAGAAAGCATTAGTAAATTCGTAAATAAGTATAAGAAACTATTCGTAGAAATCTAAATTAGTAAGGATTTTTTGATTAATAATAATAATCTAATAGAGTATTTGATCCAGCTATTTATAAAGGTAAATTAAATATAATAATATAATAAGGTTTTTAAATTAGATTTATAAAAGATCATTTTAAAGCTCATTATTATGATAAATTTATATAAGTGTATCCTGGATTATCTTAATTTGAAGAATGTGCTGTTTGTTTAGAATAAATGAAAAATGCTAATAATAAATTATAAAAGATTTGTTGTGTTACTCCTTGTTTTCATATATTTCATTCTATATGTTTATAAGAATGGTTACTTAGATAAAAGAATTGTCCATTTTGTAGAACTGTATATAATAGAAAAAAGATTATATAAGATTTCCCTTGGATAGATATTGGAAATATATAAATTAAAAATACAGATTCTAATTATCTATGTAGAATCAAAAATCAAATAGAAAGTGTTAATGACAGTCGTATAGAATTAAATCAAAATTAATAATCAGAATAAACTAACCAATTATAAGAAATTAAAGATTGATTATAATTCATACTATAAATAATTATGACTCATAAACTCAATAGATTAGATGCTTTGGCCGAGTGGTTAAGGCGGCGGCCTGCTAAGCCGTTGGGATTTCCCGCGTGAGTTCGAGTCTCACAGGCATCGATTTTTTTTATTTTTTTATTTATTTTTATACCATTTTACTCTATGTCATATATAAATTACATATCCTAATTCAATTACAAATATTTATCAATCACTTTTTCTTTTTTCTTTCAAATATATATGAAAATAACTTATATGGGGTATTAACCACAGCAATTCCTCTTTATAAATTGAAGGATCATGTTAGAGAATTACTATTTTATCCAATAGATATAGATATTAATAATAAAACAATTCCTAGTAAAATTAACAAATTTATCTTCAAAAATGCTCAAAAATATACTAACCATGAATCTTTTCTGTTTTAGCTTAAATTAGGAATATTTACATTCATAACTTAATAAGATAAATTTTAAATTCCTTCTTATTAATTGGGTATATTTAAAGTAAATTAAAAGGACTCTTTTTTTATATAAAGCGCATAAGTAAAATCAATTAATAAATGTTTTGTAAAATAAATTCTAAAACACTATTGGAACATTTATTAAAACATAGTTATGGAAATCAAATATGAATAAATTTTTTATATAAGCTTTTATTTTTCTCTCACAATATTAATCAATTTTGAAATTCTAGTACGAAATAAAGAATTACTCATAGAATTTGGCTAGATTGATGGTATATATAGAATAAAGTATAAAATAAATTTATTTCAAGAAAAAATTCGATTGCAAATTCAAATTTGATTAAATTGAGGTGACATTTAAAAGCATATCTCTATAAATATTTTTATAATTTACTTAGAGTTTCTAAAAATAACTAAAATTTCATAATTATTTTCATGTCATAAACTTTGAATAAATTAGGAATCGAATATAAAGAAATCTCTTAAATCTAGGTTGAAGAAGCAAAGCAATCTTTAAAATAGATGAGGCTAGAATAGGTTTTGATTGGAGAGTGTGAAAATTTTGGTTGGCAAAATCTGATAAACAGACATGATTTAATTACAATTAAAAGCCTAGAGAAATCATAAAAAGATTAGAAGAAAGCATTAAATTAGACTTTATTCATATTTAGCAATAAGAATCCGATTAGGAGGGGAATAACAAAACTCATTCGAAATTAGTAAGATTATTTCGAATAAATTTAGAAATTACACTTACTTTATAACTCTCATAGCTGCGATATGTCTGGTACCTTATTGCATAAATGAGAAAAGACTAGCAATAAGTATTGAAGTAGTTTGCAATATTATATTTGGATTTGATATTCTTTTATTCATAATAGCCTATGGAGTAATTTTGGATAAGAAAAGTTATCTAAGAGATTGTTGGAATATTGCAAATGTTTTGGCCTTCATTTTTACTTGGTTTATATTTTTGGAGGATAATAAAGTCAATGATGTTATAAAAACGATTCGACTTTTGAGATTATTTAGATTGATTTAAGAAATCCCTCTTCTAAGGATCTAATTTACAGCTTACGTGAGTAGTTTCTTGAAACTAAAATAAGTTCTCATACCAATATTTTTGGTGATGATTTACTTTGCAATAATTGGATTGCATTTATTTATAGGATTGACAGAAAGAAGATGCCGCATAACACCAGAACCAGTTGATGGAGTTTGGCTAGCTGATGATGAAGTCTTGAAACTTTGTGGAATATGGGAATGCCCAGAAGATCTTTATTGTGGAAGCCCGGTAGATTATGGACTTCCAAAAAATGTTACTGAAAATGATGTAGGGGAATTTAATTGGGACTTTATCAGATTTGATGACTTTTTTCATTCATTATTAGTAGTCTTTACATTTTTAAATGTAACAGGATGGTCAGGAACTACATTTATGGTATATAATTAATTAATATTAATGTTAGTTTTGGAAAGCGATGACTACTTATGTGACTGCAACGTATTTTTTAGTTTTAATTGTTCTATTAGCATTTATATTATCAAATTTATTATTGGCTTTGTTTTATGAGTCATTTATGGAAAAATCTTCGATAAAAAACTCATCTAGTAAGGCTAAGAAATAAGAATAAGAAATTGAGGAGGATTTGAAAAAGAAAAACTAAGAATAATTAATGAATAGATTGGCTCTTATGAGTAGGTAAAAGGGCCATTTAGTGAGTCACAATTAATCTTTTAATGGTCAATTAAATTTTGAATAATAATTTCAGTTTGACTAGACAACCTTATAACAACCATAATAAAATAGATTTTTTGATTCTCTTTCAAATTCAAAAAATTTTAACTTTCTTAACAATTTATGCATAATATTATCAGGCTTGGCCATCATTATAGATTATAAGGATATTTCTAAAAATGCTTTGGAATAATTGCAGGTAGTGGATTTTTTTTGCATTATCTACTCATTAATTGAAATGGCTATCTTAATTACAGGGAGAGGGCTCAAAGGATACTTTTCTAAAGACATAAATAAATTCGATTTCTTAATTATCTCCACTTAATGGATCTTAGTTTTTGTTTTAGTTGTAATAGATGAACCGTTGATAATAAATCATAGTGTTTATGTAACATTCTTTAAATCTTTAAAAGTATTGCGAGTCTTTAGATTTGTATACAATGCTAAACTCTTTTACACAATAACATTATTGATGAGGTCATTGGTCTTCACTTTGACTAGACTCAAGAACATATTGGCGCTTTGGGCTTGTCTTGTAATTTTAATAGCAATAGTAGGAAAAAGTTTACTTCAGAATTAATTAAGAGAAGAAGAAATGACAATTTATTATGATGACTTTGGATCTGCATTGATGGCAGCAGTTAATATATTTTATAATGAGGAATGGCATGTGACTATGTATAAATACGCCAGACATACTTATGTTTCATTTTTCTATTCAATTTTGAGTGTTATTTTGGGATAGATATTTTTCATTAGATTATTGATGGCCGTATTTTTGAATGAATTTGTTCAGCAATTATAAAAAGTAGAGAATGAATTAAAACCAATCGATTTTAAGTAATTTATATTCGAAATTATACAATGTATGAAATAAAAAAATAGTAAAAATTAGAAAAGAATAACCAATTATCAAACTTAAAAGTCAGATGAAAAGAATTAATTAGAAGAATAAATTAATAAAAAAGATAAAAAAGGAACTAGAAAAGAGAATAAGTCAAACTCAATCATCAACAACAATATTCCCCAACAAGAACTTGAAGAACTATAAAATTGGTTATAAGTAGATTAACAAAAATAAGAATAGCAAGAAATCAAATCAAATTAAAGTAACAACAATAATTAAAATGAAAAGGAAAACCCTTCTAATTTGAATTCAACTAATAGCAACAATAAAAGATAGAAAATTCAGTAGATAGTTGATTCATTCATTTTCCAATTATTCTGCTTGTTAGTAGTTCTTGCTAGTACAATAAGAATTGGAATGTCAACCCCATTTCTTGATCCAAATTCGGATACAAGCTAGATATTAAAAATAGTCAATATAGTTACAACGATACTATTCATAATTTAGATCATTCTCAATGTCATAGCAAGAGGCTTTATATTAGAGGAAGACTCATACATTTAAAGATCCCCTTATAATGCGTTAAATGTATTAGTAACATTAGTAGAAATAGTCAGTCTTTTTCTGCCTTAACATACAGTTTTTCATTTTTTTTCAAGTTTGAGAATTATTGAATTTATAAGAATAGGAGCACTTTTGAGTTAGAGCATAAACTATATTTCCTAAGCATTAGTCAAGGCATTTCAAACTATGTTACAACTAAGTATTTTTTGTTTTATAATATTACTAATATATGGTACATTTGCTACAAAGATACTTAAAGGATAAATGTATTATTGTTCAGGTTTTTCAGAAGAGTAGGAGGAATTAGAGATAAATGACAAATGGGATTGTATGGATAATGGAGGATCATGGGTAAATAGAATTTTAGGATATGATAATATATTTGATAGTGCATTAACATTATTTATTACTGCAACAACAGAAGCATGGTTAGAATTATTAGTGCAAACTTGGAGTGCCAGAGGGGTGGATTTAACTCCGGTTAACAATCATAACAGATGGTGGGCTGTCTATTATTAAGTATTTTTCTTTATTGGGAACATTTGCATGCTTAATATGTTTATAAGTTTGGTGGTTGAAACATACTAGTAGACAAAGATAAAGGCTCAAGGAGTGTCTGAATTGAATAGTAATTAAAGAGAGTGGCTGTCAATTAAGGAAAGTATTAATCACCTAAAACCAAGAAGATTATATGAGAAACCAAAGACTAATCTTGGTTTATTTATATATAGCATAGCAGAAAGTAGAATCACAAAATACTTTTGGCATGCTCTCATTTTGTTAAATACTTTTACTCTTGCATTATATTATAATAGACAAGACAAACAATTTTCTGATGCATTAGATTATATCAATCTTATTTGCACATTGGCCTTTACGGTAGAAGTACTATCAAGAGTGATTGCTAAGTTCCCTAACATTTTAGATAGAGATCCTTTCATAATAGTGGATGTGATAGGTATTATCATTAATCTTGTAAATTAATTCAGTATATCACAAATGAATGATGAATTCTATCTTCAGAGAGGATTCGAAGCACTATCTGTAGGATTTCAATTATTGCGAAATTACTACATCATAAAGTATTTGTTATTTTTAAATATTTAGACGATTTCCAGAATTAGAAAAACTGTTTTACACTATATTTTCTGTTGTTCCTTCAGCTTTATCAATGTTGTTCATAATGTTCATATTCTTATTCATTTTTGCTTGTTTAGGGATGGATCTATTTGGTTATTTGAGACCCTAAGCGAAGATGGAGGGATTCGATTTACATTTTAAGAAATTTACTACTGCAATGTTTTCGCTGATAAGAGTGGCTAGTTCTGAAGAGTGGTGGGCTTTACTGATTGACTCTGTTCATGTTCGAACTCCTGATTTTGCTTGCATTTATATAGATGGATATGAGGAATTTCAAGAATATGGCTATAATGGATGTGGTACTTATTGGGCATATGTGTTCTACGTATCTTTTCACTTGATATTTTCACTTGTGATATTAAACTTATTTATTGCATCTATTTTAGGAGCTTATGAAGAACATGCTAAATAAGAGTAGAGTGCTATATCTAAATATCAATTGCATGATGTTTTGAATTACTGGGCTCAATATGATCCTAATGGCACTGGGTTTTTGAATTATAAACAATTCTGGAAATTATCCTCAGAAATTGCTATTTGTTTTGGTGTGCCTGTTAAAGAACTTTTAGATCCTGCAAATAAGAAGAATTTTCTCAAAGCTTTGAATATCCCATTATATGAAGATGGTGAAGGATTGATTGGTTATCTCTTTCATGATGTCATCGTGAGTTTAACAAGATTGTCAGTAGAATTGAAATATGGTGTTCGAGAGTATATATTATTATTAAATTATCATAGTTTGGAATCCGAGGCATTTAAGGGTAAGGAGTATGTTCATCATTATTATAAAAAATTCAAAAAAAGTCCTTACAATAGTGGATAGATGTCAACTATGATATTTTTACAAGGTAAAGCAAGAATGCTCATAAACAAAAGAAAAGGAATCAAATTTCTCGATTTAGGAGCATTAAAATAGGAACTTTAGGTCTAAAATGAAGGTGACAAATTTGATAATTCTTGAATTATAATAATAATAATTAATATTGACGAAATACGACAAGTTATCACAATGTCATCCACTTATAAAAAATTGGGAATTGAATTTAAACCATTCACCAAAGATCAAATCTCTGACTCAATAGCTTAAATTCAGTCTATGAGATTGGAGTAGATTCTTGTTGGTGAGAGCGAATAATTTGATTGGAATAATTTGCTTTAAAAGCCAGAATTAGTTGATTGTGTCAATTTAGATTAAATTTAACCAGATCTAGATGAAAATAAACCAGCTGGAAAATTTAGTGCAAAGAAGACATTGTTTTTATTCAAAATTGATGATCCATTTAGAAGAAGCGTTACCTCATTTTTAAACAATAAGTAAAACAAGTTCTATTATTAGAGCCTTAAGTAATTTTATAATACTAATTACAATACTAAACATAGTTGCCTATTCTATTCCTTAAAGTAAGATTTCTATAGGAATAGAAGTGGTTTGCAATATATTCTTTGGGATTGAAATAATTCTGAGAGTCATTTCTTAAGGGTTGTTATTTGAGGAAAACACTTACCTTAAGGATAAGTGGAATTGCATCCATTTTATTTCATTTATTTTTGGTTGGTTAATACTAGTAGAATATGATCATCTTGGCTTGAAGATTTTGAAATCAGTTAGATTATTAAGAGTTATTCGTCTCCCTGAAGAAATACCCCCTTTAAAAATCTAATTGGAAGCATATATTAGTAGTTTTTCTAAGTTGGGAATAGTAATCGTACCATTTATATTTTTTTTGCTTTACTTCAGTGTGATAGGATTACATTTTTTTATGGGACTGACTTCAATGAGATGTAGAATAACTCCTGAACCAGAACATGGCAAATGGGAAGCTTCAGAAGAAATACCATATTTATGTGGTATCTATGAATGTCCTGAGCACTTGACTTGTGGCAGTCCATACCAATATGGTTTAGAATGGGATTAAAAGGAAAATGATTCTGAAGAGTTTATGTGGAATTTTTTAAGATTTGACAATTTACCTAACTCCTTATTAGTAATTTTTACTTATTTTTGTTTAATTGGGTGGTCAGAGACCAATTATATGGTAATTAATATCGTTTTTATGTTTTAGTTTTGGAAAGCAATGACTACATATTTTACAGCTGGCTTCTTTCTTTTAGTATTGGTTTTCTTGGCCTTTATCTTTTCAAATTTATTGCTTGCTACTTTTTATGAATCTTTTATAGTAAAATCTTCTATAAAGAATTCTCATTAAAAAGTTAAGAAATAGCAATAATAAATTGAAACAGAAATCAATCAAAAAAAACAATAGTAAATGACTGATCGACTAGCACTTATGAGTAAAAAAAGAAAAAGTATGAAATAAGAATAAGTATAAAACACAAACTTCACATTATTCTTTTAAGATCAATAATAAACTGATTTCAAAAAAGGTATCTCATTTACTAACATCTCAAATGAACTATCTGAGTCAATATACTTCGCATTTCTCAATAACTTGGTAATTATCTTATGCACATTATCAATAGTGATTGATTATGATGGTATAGATAAAAGCATTCTTGTAAAATTATAAATCATAGAGTTTGTATGTACACTTTATTTTTATTTTGAATTGTCGATTTTCTTTTTTGCAAAAGGAATAAAGAACTATTTTAAAAAAGCAGTAAACTACCTAGACTTTTTTGCCATTACATCATAAATAATATTATTTTGTATTTTGTATATTTTGGATGAGAATGTGATTGTAAATGAAAATAGAACTATTCAAGTTTTCAAGGCTATAAAGTTGATCAGAGTAATCAAATTTTCATATTCGGCCAAAATCTTTTACCATATCAGCATTTTGACTAGAGCTGCCATTCAAACGATAGCCAAACTCAAATCAATAATTTCTTTATGGATCATATTTGCTATATTTCTAGCACTAGTGGGGAATGCTTGGTTGGAAGAGCAATTATCTGAACATGAAACTCCAATTCATTATAACGATTTTAGTAATTCATTAATGGCAGCATTCAGCATCTTCTACAATGAAGAATGGCATCTAACTATGTATAGATATGGAAGAGTCACTCCAATATCATTTATTTACCATATCATATCTATTTTATTAGGATAAGTCATCTTCATTAAATTATTATCAGCAGTTTTCTTGAATGAATTTACAAAGCAAGTGAAAATATAAGAATAGAATGTTAAGCCAATCGAGTATAAGTAGGCAGCCATGGATCTCATGACCACCTTTAAATAATTTACGGTATCAAATAGTTAATTATTGTTTAAGTCTTCGAGTTAACTCAGATCCACTCATTAATTATCAAGGGGTATTTCTAATTTTCCAGGCAATAGATCACTAATTTAGAATGTGAGATAGGGCATTCTTAGAAATCTGAAATTAAATAAGAAGATTACAAAGATAATAGTGCCATAAAAATCATAATTGGAATTGGACAATCTTGATTTTTTGAAGGATTAATAGTTAAATACAAATAAACCATAATTCAACGAAAACGAGAATGATGAATTATTGCATCAGCCTTAAGCTATCTAATAAAGATCAAGAGATTTAAGCATTCAAGTCGATTAAAATGTTGTAACCAGTCAACAATAAATTCAAACTAAGGTGTAGATGATGAAAACAATGTATGTATTTAATGTGGATAATTAATTTCGTTTGCATGTACAGATGATTATAAACTCGAGAATATTTAAAATATTGGGATTTATTGCTGTTGGATTATCAGCTATTAGGACTATGTTAGTAACTCCATTGTTAGATCCTCATTCTGAACTGTATGCAAGTTTAGACATATTATATATAATAATAACGAGTTTGTATTGTCTTTTTATATTTCTACATATTGTGGCACATGGATTGTATGGGAATTCAAATGCTTTTTTAACACAATCTTTTTATAATGTCCTAAATTTTGTGATAACTATTATTGAAATTGTTGTTGTAACAACATCTACTCGAAATCATGTTATTAACTTTATTTCAAGTCTTAGAGTGTTTGAATTTATAAAATTAGGAGCAGAAATTGCCCATAGCATAAAATATGCCTAAATAGCTTTGGTTAATGCATTAGTAAAGATGGTTTAATTAAGCATATTTTGCTTTATACTTTTCTTAGTATATGGAACATTTGCTATGAAACTTCTAAAAGGATAGAACTATTATTGTACAGAAGTAGACCAAGAAGAAAATGAGGTGCATTCAAACATTGATTGTATGGACTATGGTGGCTCTTGGCAGAAACATAGATTGGGCTTTGATAATATTTTGGATAGTGCATTGACTCTATTCGTAATCGTTACATCTGAAGGTTGGTCACCTATTATGGAATAAATTTGGTCAATAAGGGGAGAGAATCAAACTCCAGAAGAGAATTATAATAGGTATTGGGCGATTTACTTTTAGGTGTTCTTTTTTATTGGAAATACATGCATGCTCAATATGTTTATAGGTTTAGTCGTAAGCACATATGATGAATCTAAATTGAAGGCAGAAGGGACATTTGAATTGGAAGGCAATCAAAGAGAATGGTTTGATATTAAAAAATCAATCCATAAACTATAACCAAAAGTAAAGTCAAGAAGACCAAAGGCATTTCTTAGAAAGATAGCTTTCTTTTTAGTTAAGAATGTAAATTTAAAGAAAATTTACTTGGTTGTTATTTTCATTAATACATTATCTTTAAGTCTTTGTTATGTGAATCAAGATGCTCAATATAAGAATAGTTTAGAAATCATTAATTTTGTTTGTATTCTGATTTTTATTTTTGAAATTGTTTCTAGATTTATCGCCAAAGATTTTAAAATCTATTGCAAAGAGTTGATAAGTATAATAGAAATTATTGGAATTTGGATTTGTTTGGTTGAAAAAATAATAGATTTAAATGGAGTCGGAGAATTCTACTTTTTGCGTTGTTTTAAGGCACTTTCTGTGGCGATTTAAATGTTGAGAAATTTCAGAATTATTAAGTAAAAATCATATTATTTATATTAAGACGTTTCAACTAAATAGAGAGATTATTTCACTCGATCTTCTCAGTTATACCTAATGCATTATCTATGCTATATATTATGTTTGTATTTCTGTTTATCTATACGAGTCTTGGAATTGACATATTTTGCTATTTAAGGCCATAAAAATATATTGATGATTTTGATGTACATTTTCGAAAATTTACAACTGCTATGTTTTCATTAGTTAGAGTTGCAAGTTCAGAATTATGGTGGGAATTGTTGGTAGATGCATTGCATACTAGAAGTCCTGATTTTGCTTGTATTGAGATTGACGACTACTAAGACTTCTTAGTCTATGGATATAATGGATGCGGTACAACTATCGCTTACGTTTACTTCATAACATTTCATTTGATATTTTCTTTGGTTTTACTAAACTTATTTATTGCTTCGATTTTGGGTGCTTATGAAGAGCATGCTAAGTAGGAGCAGAATGCCATATCGAAATATCAATTGAATGATGTATTGTCTTATTGGGTAGAGTATGATCCATATGGAACCGGTTTTTTAAATTACAAATAATTTTGGAGACTTTCTTCGCAAATTGCGATATGTTTTGGAGTTAGCGGGAAGGATTTGCTGAACCCAGCAAATAAGAAGAACTTTTTAAAGGCACTCAATATTCCCTTGTATGAGGAGAAGAATGGATTGATGGGGTATTTGTTCCATGATGTGATTGTGTCTCTTACGAAAATCAGTGTTGAATTAAAATATGGAGTCAAGGAGTAATGAATATTATAATAAAATAGTTTGGAGAAGAAAAATTAATTAGAGAATGAGTTTCATCATGATTATTATCGCCAATTTTCTAAGACTCCCTACAATAGTGGACAAATGACAGCCATAATATATTTACAGAACAAGGCAAGAACTCTAATTAATAAAAAAAGAGGGATAAACTTTTTAAATATTGAGGCTTTAAGATAAGAATTATAACAATAAGCTGAAAATTAATGATATTATTTTTATAGTTTATAATTTAATCTTATGGGGTGTTGCTGTTCTATTAAATCTCCAAGTTAGACAACTCTTGGAAGAGAAGTTGAGTGCCCAAAGTGTTAACAATTATTTCCATCTTACACAACAAATCATGCTGTAAAAATATACAAATTTAATTTGAAGTTTAATGATCATTTAGATAATTGCCTTCTATCTTCATAATAAAATATAAACAAAACAGAAGATTATAGAGGAATTAAATATTGGGAAAAGGTTTAAAATGAATAAGGATTTTAATGGGTATTAAAAGAATACAACCCCAGTCTCTAAATCAATGAATAGGTAACTATGTTAAATAAAAAAGAATATTTCTTCAGAACCTTTTGGTTAAAAACAAGTTTGGTTCAGAGCTAAATTAGAAAAACTTAGAATTCCTTGGCAAGTAAATTTGACAACAAATAAATTAGAATGGATGCACAATTCTGTCGGTTTCTTAAAATCATTTACTTGAATCCTCCATAGAGAGCATAATGAAATTGAAATCTCGTCTTTTACACGGGGAATTAAAAATTAAATTTCAGGAAGACTAAAAAGTCTAGGATGCAGGAGGTTTGCTTAGAGAATGGTCTACTTCTATTCTTTAATAATTAGTTGAATTGGGATATTTATAAAAAACTGAAACAAAGGAACTTACATATAAATTTAATCCAAATATTTAATCAAATACTATAGACAAACGATAACTCTTCTCTTTTTTAGGGATCATAGTTGGCAAGTGTCTTTTTGAAAGAATTCCACTTAGTTCCTTTTTAGATCGCACCATTATTAAACACATCTTGAGATAAAAAGTAATCTTGGAAGATATCAAATATTTTGATGAGGATGTAAATATATGATAAATTCTTTAGCTGTTTTATTCTTGGTAATATTTATTGAATAATAATATTGATTAACTAGATCTATACTTTTAATTAGAATATATTGGTAAGACAATCAATTTAAAAGAAAATGGATGTGAGATCAAAGTTACAAATTCAAATGTTCAGGAATATGTTAATTTAAAGTATCTTTTATTCTTTAAACATATTAGTATATTCTTCTACACTCAATAGTTTTTGGAACCTTATTTATCCGATTTCTTGACAGGATTCTATTAAGTTATTCCAAAAACATTATTAAGAATTTTCAAACCTTAAGAATTGGAAATGATCTTATTTGGACTCCCCTTCATTGATCTTTAGGATTGGTCCAAATACACAATATACAAAGAATGTTCTGCAGAGGACTACTTTATTTAATGGTTTTGGTAAATCCTGAGCGCTTGGAATCAAGCTGAACTATCTTAATTTTTGAGATTTTGTACAGGCTCAACTAGAGTTCCAGTGGAAGGTTTTAGGTAAGCATAATAACAAATAGCAATAGCAAACTTGAAAGCAACAGAGGAGAAATTTCATATTTCTGTATTTAAGCCAGTGAATTCGATAAAGATAATCCATATCCTAAGGCTCACACATGTTTTAACAGATTAGAATTACCAAAGTAAATATTTGGATACCAATATCTATTAGATACTAAGAATTAGAAACGATGGAAGTGTTTCTGAAGGCAACCATTCATGAAGCATTGGAAGGATAATTTGGTTTGGAATGATTTTTTTATAACTTATAATCAATTTTAAGTTTAATTAGTTAGTTTCAATAAAATTGTAAATTAATCAATTTTTTTTCTTTATAATTTTTCGCTGTTGTTATTGAGGAAATTGTTATTGTTATTATTACTGTTATGATTAGTAATTATAAGTGTTTGTATTATAAATAATGTTTAGGTTTTGTATTTTTATTTATGGTTAAGATTATTTTAATGGTTGAGTAGCTTTTAGTTATTAGTTTTTGGAAGGTGCAAATGAGAAGCCATTCCCAATACTAAATCCATTATATTATGTTTATGGCAGTTTATCAACTGAAGTGGTCTTTTTCATATTAGGTAACTCCCTCTCAGCTGTATGTTAATCAGATATCTTATAATTATACGCAGTACTCTACATCAATACATGGCCACTCAGAAAATTAGGAACAGGTTTGATATTCTAAAATCATGTTTAGGAGATCAATTACTTTGGTTCTTATTTGATTTGTATGTCCAATTTGAGTTTGTTATTTTTATTAACTCAAAACAGAATCTCTTTTAATATTACCATCATTTTAGATATGATTCTATCTGCTCTCGATTTATTTAATATATTCTTATGCCTCTGGGTAATCAGCAAAATAAGGATGTTTTAAAGCATCCAAACAAGTGAAACGCTCTTTAGGATCCATTCTCAGTAAACCTTTAACTAATCCAATAGCTTTCGAAGGTAATTTGCCTAGATATCTATAAATTAGTTTATAAATACCTTCTCTCTATGGTCTCGGGTTTACCAATTTCAGGGAATTTCATTCCAAGAAATCTTGGATTCTTTTGAAATACTTCCATTTACTCCTGTGTTAAAGGGCCAAGTGTCTTCTAGATCAAATATAATTGATCAGTTTCATTTTCTCCTGGGAACATAGGTTCTCCGTCAGTTAGTTCGCAAAGTAAACAACCAATAGCCCAGAGATCTACTCCTTTTCCATAGGTCTAATAATTCAATAGAAGTTCAGGAGATCTATACCACCTTGTAGCAACGTAATCTGTTAAAGTATCTGGTAAATTGAGGCTCTACAACACATAAACTTAAGACTTTACTCTGGCAAATCCAAAATCAATAAGTTTTAAGTTATTTTCATTATCGATTAGTATATTTTCAGGTTTTATATCTCTGTGAACAATATCATGATAATGAATAAATTCTATGGCCTTCAACAATTAAAATGCTATTTTCTTAAGGTACCCTTACTTACAATATTAAATATCATACATCTAGACCATTGGGCGATGCCTGCAAAACCTCAAGTAGATTCTTCTCTACATACTCAAATACCAAATAGATTCTCCCTTTTCTTTTTCTTAATTGATATAAATACCTCTTGAAAGCTTCAAACAAATCAATAATATTTGGGTGTTTCAGTAGTCTTAACATCTTTACCTCTCTCTATATGCTTTTCTTAACTATTTCATTCTCTTCTGTCTCTTTGAACTTCTTTATTGCCACTAAAAATATGAAAACCTCCCTACCAATCTGGCTATTCTCTTTATTTTCACATTTTAACACTATTCCATATGCTCCCTCTCCTACTACTCCTTTAACCTCATACTTATTCATTGAAACTGAATTATATATTATTAATATAGAATTTATAAATTATCGTAAAATGAAATTGTTTGGAAACAATCTGAGAGCAGAAATTTAAATAAACTAATCTGGAATTTCATATTAATAAATTCATAACAATTCGCTATTTTCATATATATTATTTAAATTTAAAATCTTATTATGATTTGATAATTTAGAGGGTAGTAAGTAGATTAACTAGTTAGAAAAAATGTTTAATTAGGCAAAGTACCACTTTGAAATTACAAACGATTCATTAATTAAGGTTGAAAAGAAGACAAAAATAAATTTATGAGATCAAAGAGTTGTTTTAGCTATATAATAATTGATTAAAGGATAAAGCTTTTAATACAAGTAATAATCTCAACACAAATAATTTGATGAATTTAAATTATATATTATAAAAGATGAATGCAAATATTTTATTTTTTTATAAGCTTCAGGGTCTATTTAGACTATTCACAATAAACTCCAAGATAATGATTAATTTGAAATTAAAAATCAAATTAAATCTAAATTACACTTGTGGTTTTTAAATATGGCAAAATCATTATTGATAATTAATAATAATTAATAAAAAAAATGAGACAAAAGTCTGACTCATGTTTCAGCTCCCACTCAAATAGATAGGACACCTTATGGAAAAAAGGGTATCCTAACATCCAATACGGAGCCTAATTGGTGACTTTAAATGGTGTGAAATTCAAGGATACTTAAAAATAAATCCTGTAGTTTAAATTTGCTTATCTCCAAAGCAAATATTTGGTAGTTGATCAAAAGTACATTAACTTGGAAAATATTTAAATGAAAAGGATGATGGTGCCACAATAAAATTTAGCATGTCTAAAACTGAATAATAATTTCGATTCTCTTGAAATTATTGGTTCAGTTATATGCATTGGCGAGATATATGACTATTGTAAATTATATACAATCCAAGAAAATTTTGAGAGTCACTACTAGATTCTTAAGCTAATGGGCAAAGGATCGTTTGCAAAGGTCTTTAAAATCAGATAAATCGAAAACTAACAAATTTATGCAGTAAAAATATTTAATAAAAACAAAATGTTTGATAACGAAGAAGAAAATTAAGTAAATTATTTACATTATTTTATTTAGAAAAGTTTGTGGAAAGAAATCCAAATCATGAGATTAATGAATCACAAACACATTATTAAGTTACGCGAAGTATATGAGGATAACAATAAAATTTATATTGTAACTGATCTATTGAATGGCGGTGAATTAATATCCCATATTGAGAAATAAATTAAAGTATACGATGAATCTCTAGTAAGAAAACTAGTTTACAATTTATTAGATGCTTTGGCATATATACATGAAAGAAAGATTATTCATAGGGATATTAAACCAGAAAATTTAATCTTAAAGGATGAAAATGACATTTCGAATATTTCACTCGCAGATTTTGGATTAGCAGACTTCTATTAAAATGATGGATAATATTTATTTAAAAGATGTGGCTCATTAGGCTATGTAGCTCCTGAAATATTGCAAGATCAACATTATGATTTTAAGGTTGACGTATACTCTTTAGGAATTGTAATGTTCTTACTATTAACTGGTGAGTAAGCATTTAAGGGATCTAGTACATCAGAAGTATTATAAAATAATACTTATGGAAAAATAGATGCCTACAAACTTGCACATTGTCATGTTAGTTTGGAGGCGAAAGATTTATGTCAATAAATGTTGAATTTTGACCCAAATTAAAGACCCACTGCTGAATAAGCCATTAAGCATCCTTGGTTTAAAGTTGATAACAAACATATATCCCTTCATACAATATCGATGAACAGAATTCCATAAAATCTTAAAGGTTAAAAAGAGTTTTTGTTTAGCTTGACTCCATTATGGGTTAATAAAAGCTTAAGAAGCATTAGTGATTCTTCCGATAATCTATGTGCTTAAAGTAAAAATAGTTTATATTAAAGCTCTTAATGTAAGGGACAGAACCATAAAAGAAATTCTGGACTATCATCATTTTAAATTAGATTCAACGGTGTATGATTTAGAAGACGATTACATTGATGAATAGGAGTCAGTGGCTAATAGGATTGAAAATCACAAACTGCTTGTAAAGTAAAGAAGTCTGCCATGAATATCTTTCAAAACTTTGAATATTAATTTAGAAATTAAATTTCTTTATAACTACCTTGAATGCTTTCTCAATTTAAACCATTTTAATATTATTTATATATGTTTTAAACAACTATCTATTAATCCTCATTCATTTTCATTTTCTTTTCAAAAATTTAAAGCAATTATAAATCATTACATCAGGAACTATATGCTTTTATATAAGTTCAGAATCTTTTACTTTAATGTAAGCATATAGACAATCTCAATATTTTATTAGCTATCATAAATTCTTGCATCAATTCGAGTTTTAGTTTATTTTCTTAAAATTTCTTTTGAATGAATTCAATATAAAATAGAGAAGATGCATTTTCTCTTTTACTCTGAAATTATCAAGTGAAAATAATTACTTTATAATAAAACATTATAAATATTCAAAATATTTATAAAATAAATCTTTGAAGACATTATTTCACATTGGTTTTTATTATTTTTACTATCGGTTCAATATCTAGTTGATGAATTAGGATTGATACTTAAATAGTTTAGGTTAATAAATATTTAATTTACAGCAAACATAAAATCATAAACTTGAATTGTATACAACAGACCCTCTATATATATCTACTGGATCTGCGGTTAAAAAACTATTATTCCTTTCATAAACCTAGGATTGAGAGGAAACTCGCTTGCTAATCAGGAATAGAAGGCAATCTAGAAATCCTTATAAACATGCAACTATTTAACTTATTCCTCCCAACCATAAGAAGTCTCCTTCGAAAATGATATCAAAAATCGAGCTCATTATGATCGGAATCCAGCAGAAAAAATGGATTAGGGTATAATAAAACAGGAATTTCGTGTATTGTTCCCCAACAGTAATTTGACTATTTTGTGATATTAAAGTTCTTCTATTAATAATAAAATCATCATGTCCTAATTTATTTTATTAGATTTCTTGAAGAAATTTCTGTATTTTCACAAGGAAATATATGCTTGCTCCAAAAAGGAATCCAAAGGGAACATAGAACAATAGTAATTCTCCTATCCAATAAGCATTTTGAGTTTTGAAACCACAGGCATAATACTATTTTCCATATCCACTATAGGTAATAGGAACAAGAGCTATCAAAAAAGGACATAGAATTGAAAATATCTTAGCATTCCTTTTGTATATGTGATATCTATCATCAGTGATATCTATGTTTTCCACTATTGTGAGAAAAGTGGTGAGGCAAAAGAAAAAATTAACAATAAATGTAGAAACACTTGAGGACTATTTAAATAAGGCCTAAATTACACAGAACACCCCATCAGTCTCTAATTTATATTTCATAGGTTACATGGAGTAGGATTCATGACAACAGCGATGACATAAATTGCATCACTTATTGACAATATTGCTAATAATTTTCCTGCAAGGTTGGCATCTTGTTTTTGTTGAAAATAATCAACTAACAACACTGAGCATCCAATCAAAGATAATATTGATATAATTATCAATAATGTCAAATATAGAGTACTTCCCATTTCTTGCATCTTCAAAACTATTAAGAATTAAATTAAAGAATTATTGAAGTAATTATTATTTTATATCTATAAATAATTAAATGAATCAATATATCATATATCATCAAATTCTTTTAGTTATCAATAATTCTTTTTCACGCTATAATAATATTTTATTTATTACCCATGAAACTTAATTATAATAATAAAGAATTCAATCCCTAAAAAGTAAACTACTTTAGCCAATTAACATAGGAATTAAACTATTTTATTAGCTTAACATAAAAATATACTTTAATTATTGTGGAAATATTTCATTTCTATCTCCTTTATCATGATATTAATTTTAACTTTCTTATTTACTACATGTGTTGCCCTTTTAATACTTAGACAAATAATGATTCTTTTTTATTCTCAGAATGATTAGAAATATTATTGCCATTTTATATTCTAAAATTTAACTTGAAACTATTTGAGTTCATATGGAATTGTAAAATTAATTAATTAGCGAAAATGAAGATATATATTATCTTTGAGAAATTGGGATATTTTCTGTGATGATATTATGATAACTCAATCACAAATGATGAAATGCTCATGTATTTTAATAGAATGAACTTCTAATTAAAAGTGATAAAAGAAAATTAATTAACAAATAAATGTGATATTAATATATAATTGACAATTCCATTACATGCTCATAAATATGATAATCAAATTGATTTTACTACAGAACATAATAAACTAGTAACACATGTCTAAATATAAAAACAAATTTTCAAAGATCACATTGAAGAATTCGTGAATAAATCATTTTTTACTTTTATTATTGTTGCTGAGTGAAATGTATGCAATAGAGGATGAAATGGTGATGATTTGAAATATTAAACATTAATTCATTGCACTAATCAATAAATCAAAGCAAGTGTTATTTTGTGATTAAATATCAGACTTAAGAAACTGATATTTTGAATCAATCACGGAGAGCCAACCAGTTAAAAAAGGATTTTTAGATTCAATTAAACTACTTCATAAATGATTACAAAGTAAACCTTATGGAAGACAATCAATAAGGGGATGATGGATGTTGTAGAATATTGTCAAAATGAGATATGAAACATATATATCTAGATTATGTGCAAATAATTTAATCACTTGCGTGCCTTACGTCTCTTTCTCTTGAGTCTTCGCATTCTCTTCTTTCGCCACTTTTCTCTCATTTTTAATTTATTATTAATATTAATATATTAAGAAGATTTAAATAAATTTAAAAATTCTTGTAATTTATTTAATAAGAGCAAATATTCTAAAATATTTTTTTTATATTCAGTTCCATTATTCGATTTAAAAAAGGGTATAAATCTATTCAACATTAAAGGCCTAGATCAAATGAGTATATCAAAAATGTTAAATGAAAAAACTTTTTCAAGATGGAGTCAAAATGAAATAGATTATAATTTTAACTCTTAACTTATTTATATAATTATTCTACTTTCCTCTATTATAGGTTTTGTATACAAATATTTTTAATTCTAATGGTACTAAATAGATTATTTTATATTTTTTATTGATCAAGATAGTTTTTCATACAAACACATTAATAAAATAGGACAGTATATAAATTTGATTCAATTATTGTGCTATATCTATACTTTAAGATTCCTCTTAGAAGTCATATAACTCTAATGCCATTGAATTTAAACTATCTTCAAAAATGAAAAATTTTTCTTCATTTTTGTTTAAATGCCATTTATCTAGCTTTTCATCTTCAAAATCAATTAATTCCATTTATTCAACTAATTACTTATTACTCCAGATCATATTAAATCACTTTTTCTAATCTTTCATGATAAAATGTTTGGAACAACTCTTAAGAGTAAATGAATTTAAATTCAAATTTAGTCATAAATCGCCTGTTAGGTTTTTATTCCCAACAACACGGATCAATCTGACCTGGATCAAATTCCTATCCTTTAAAAAGATTCTTCGATTAGGATTATGAAATTTGACCCATTTAGATTATAAAATTTAATTGTGCCTTTTTTTACTAGGATCATTTCTGATATTAATATTACCTAAATCAATCAACCCCATCATTTATGTATTATATTCTAATACTTCTTTAAATTTAATAGAGTTATAGATATTTATGAATTTAAAAAGTGGATATTTTTCTTAAATGCAAACTCTCTTCATTATTATAGGTAGCTTCTAAACTATGAAAGATTTGCCTCTTAAATCTATTCTCTGTCTGTTCTAACGGTGTTATGGTAATTGTAGAATTCACTCAGAAACCGAAAACACAATTAAAGCAATTCTTAAGCTAATTTTAAAATCCATTATTAAAGAATATAATTAATGTATTTAACTAGACAAGGACAAGTGAGGATTAAGTATGCATTCCAACAGAAGAGTTTTCATGATAATGTGAACAGATATAATTTTGAGAAGAAAACCATTGTCATTGATTATAGCAACGTTGATATTGAGAAATAGATTCCCGACTAGTATACCAAATAAAATTACAAATATTGCTCTCAGATTAGTAATGTAGATTATCAATACGATATCCTTATCATTAATCCAGCATTGAGTGATTAGATTAAGACAGACGGGTTTTAAGTGGTAGAGATTCAGGCTCCAGTTTTGCCTATAGAATAGAGGAGATTTTTGAGTGACTATAACACTTAAGAATAAAAGCTCTTATTGATTCATAAGACAGTGATGGCCCAAATAAATGAGGAGAGAGATATATTGATCTATTGTATGGATTCGAATGAGATTGAGTATCTTAGAGTCTTGTTCGAGTAAAGTTAACTTAGGGTAATAGTTAAGGTCAACCATGAATTCGATAATCTGTTCGATAGAGTTATGCATCAACATAACTACTAAAACACAGTTTTCTTGTTAATGGAACCGCAGCAATTGGAATCCTATAACATCACATTGATGATTCACACAAATTAGAGAGAAGTTATAAAGAAAAGGGAGGACAACACAGTTGAATATTCCTATCAAACCTTGAGTCAAGTTGATTTGTAAGTAAGAGAAATCTCCAGATCGAACAGCGAAGGTGTTATGATTTATTATGCCTTTTCTGAATAGCAATTCCTACAATTGCCAATGGAGGCCTAAGAATCACCAAAGGTGGATTTGGAGAGTGATAACTTTGAAAAGTTGTTGTGTAATCTAAGTAAATAAGAGGATAGTAAATAATTGCATAAATTCGCAGTTATGATTGCTGCTTTATTTACATCAGGTTAATTGTTGTAGGTATTTGATAGACAGAGTTTACAGAAATAATTGAACATCAAATAGAGTTCATATTGGAGTAAACAAGGAGATTATCATTCATGGTATAATATAGTGATGCAGATAATCGAATTGTTGAATTCAGGGGAAGATGAAAAGATTTCAAGCATCATTAAGAAATTCTGCAATGATAACAAAGTCAACTTAATTAAGGCTTTATTAATAATTGCAAAACTCAAATACTTCTCTTGTCTCTATGAAATTGAAGATCTTGATTTTTTAGACGGTCTCCATCAACTAAATTTGAAGAAACAATCAAGCAGCATTGATGGATTTTAAACTGATAATGAGTATTAATTAGAACAGTTATTTCCAATTGGCAGAGATTGCAAAATGCACAAATATTCCATATAGAAGATCTTTAAGATTAATCTTCCTTAATATCTATTAGGAGTTAAGGATAACTAAGTGCTTTATTCGGCTGTGGCTGAAAATAAGTTCAGGAAGATTTCAGTTTAGGAACACATAGTTTAAAATATTTGTACTGCAGTAATGAATCTATTGTGGAATGATGAGGAATCTGAAATATCAAAATTAGAACACAAATATAAATGCATCATAGAACCATTCAATATCAATAATCTTGTCATCTATGCCGATAATAGTAAATAAGTTGAAGAGGACTTGCTCAACATTATTTCTAATTTCAAACTGCAATTAAGTCAATAAATTAAGGAATATGAATATCAGAATTCAAACATTAGATTCATCATATCTAATGGAGGACTAATTGAAAAGTGTTATTACTCCAATAATTCCATCTTAGAAATTAGTTAGCTTAGTTTGGAAACTAAAGAGGCTGAAATCAAAAGCTTGATTGAACCTTATTCTCAAATCAATTCACTCAATTTAATCCCATATAAAACAACTTAAACTGCTTAGATTGATTTGAGGGACAAAGATGCTACTCTAGAGATTATTAATGATTTGGATGAGACTGAATTTTAGGGATCCACAATAAAGGTTTCATCTACTTACATAAAGAGGGAATAGAATAAAAAGTTTCACCCTTACATGATCAAACTCTCATGGTTCATATATCATTGTAAAGGCAATGCTGAGATTATTTTCAACAACGAAATGGCTGCTCAAGAATTCTATAATCAATATAATGACACTATTTTGGATGGCAAGAAGATGATCATGCAACTTAACAATGATGTTGTACAAATCTCCAATTTAACTCAATTCATCACAGAATTGGATCTATTCAGATTGAGTACAAAAATAAAATCTATAAATATTTCGAAATCCATCTTGTATGAACCCAAATTTGATGTATTCTAAAAAGTAGAATCACTTTTAATAGATGAAAATAGAAAACATCATATTGGGTACAAACATCAGCAACTCTACAGAATCAGAAATTAAAGGAAGGATTACAAGAGAGTCTTAAAATTGGGAGTGCCCTCCATCAATTTTGTCAATTCAGCTTTGACTAATTTTAATAATTTGCTTATTCAATTAGGATTATAGTAAGTTAAATTATATTGTGAGGCTCAATATAGACATCAATACAAAGTGAAATAGGATTTTATAAAGTTCGTGAGAAATAATATAAAGTCAATTCAATAGAAATTTAATCACCTATTTAGAATTGAGTAAGTAGAGAATTCAGACTCTGATATTGAGTTGCAATTAATCTCTGATAACTATTTGGTGTTCTCCAAAGTGAGAGATACAATCTAAAACATTATCGATGGCTATGTGATAAATTTTGGAGAATTGAATACTATTCTTTTTAGTGATGTTGGGTAACAATTCCTTTAAGAATTGGAAATTCAAAAGAGTGTTATCATAAGTCTTGATCAATTCAAGAAAATAATCAAGGTCTATTGTTTGGATGATCAATTTTAAGAATTACAAGATATCATCAAATCGTTTTTGGAATCCAATTCAACCATCACTGTTCGATTGACTCCTTAAAAACTTAAGAAATTGCTGGGAGATGATTATTAAGGATTGCTGTTTCTGTAATAAAAGTTCAAGTTAACTGATGTGATTCCAATTAAGAGAAACAATTAATTGAAATTATCAGGACAAGCCAAGAATCTAGAAGAAGCCATCTAATAATTGCAGGCCTTTTTAGAATCAAAAGACGAAAACATTGAAAACTAATCAATCAATAAAGAAAACACTTGCTGTTATTGTCTGAATCAAATGAAACAACCTTACATTCTCACTAATTGTAATCACAAATTCTGCACTGAATGTTTGAATTACGACTTTTCTAATTCAATCAAAGACATTAGTTCTTTACCTATTAAATGTTCTCTATGTTAGAGTCTTATTTTATTAGAAGACATTTAGAACATCTTGGGTTTGGCCAAATATGATAAATTAGTAGAATTATCAATTAACAAATATGTCAATGATATGAGAGGAGTTCTGATATTCTGTTTCAATCCAGGATGCTCAAATATTTTAAGAGTCAAAGGAGATGCAGTCTTTTGTGAGAATTGCAAAGTCACATACTGTTTAAAATGTAAAGTGCAGATGCATTATGGGATGACATGTTGGGAGTATTAAACAGGTGATTAAAAGATAATGGAAGAATTGATGAAGAAGGAAGATATACGTTTTTGTCCTGTTTGCAGGTCTTTAGCATAAAAAATATCAGGGTGCATGTCGGTGGCTTGTTCTAGTTGCAAGAAGTATATCTGTTGGAAGAATCTACAAAATAGTACTAAACCTTGTATGAAAGTGTTCAATAGTTCAACTGAATGTCATCAGCATCTAACTAATGTTCATGGTGGGTATTATTGATCATAATTACAATATTTAAAGTGTCTACCCCTATAAAAATTGTATTTATTAATTAAAATATAAATAAAGAATAAATATTCATTAAATAATTAAATGTAGAAAGATCCATTTGATATCAAGGTGAAAGGAAAATCAACTCAAGATTAAATTGCTTCTTACTTGGTTAAGGTTGTATTAGGTCTAAGAGACAAAGAAAATACATAAAAGTCTGTCAAGCTTTTGGGGTCTGGTTCAGCCATCCCTCATGCAATTTTGGTTGCTGAAATTATTAGATCGAGAATTAAAGGTGTTAATTCAATCACATAATTCGAAAGCATGCCAAAAGAAAATAAAGAACAGAACGATAAATATTAAGATAATCAATTTTACATCCCGGCAATCCGAATTACTTTGACGTAAATTTAATTATCTATTTAGAATGACTCCCACTGAAGAAGAAAAACTTATGCCAGGGTTTCAACTGGAAAATGAAGTGGGAGAAGATAAACATATTGAACTTTTTGATTATGTAATGATGTACATTCGAAATCTTTACTTTTCGAAAGGAAACTTCCAAGACCAAAAAAGAGATAATAAAAATAACAGAGAAAATCAAAGAAAAGAGGAGGATGGCAGAAAAAATAAAGAAACTAAATCCAATTATAATGATAATCCAGACAGAAGACAAGATAATAAATATAAATAACAATAGCAAAGAGATTATTAAGCTAATCCAGATAAATCAGGCAATTGGAATAATGATAGAGATCAATTCTAATAAAAATCAAATTATCAATCTTTAAAAACCAGAGGAAATGTCAAGAGTTAAGGAAATGATAGAGATGTCTAATCATCAAGACATTATAATTACAATGAAAACGTAATCAATTTATCAACTTCTATAGAGAGGTGAATAAACAAGAGACACACCAAAACCCCCATCAACTATTAGACAAGGTGAAATTCGCAGCAGAGGAGGCTAATAGAGAGCTCAACATTGATATTATTTACATTATATACAGTATTTGTTTGAAAGATTTTTTATTATTGTTCAATACTCCTTTCAGATTCATTCAAATTCTAAAGCAGATAATTGATAGATGATTTATATGTGAATTAAAATATTTAATTAAAAATGGATTAAGAATCATCTCAAAAGGTGAGACTCAACGCCAATACTAAATTAGCTATTAAACAAATAATTGTGTATGATCAATTCTCAAACTTTTTTGCTTCCTTAATTAAAATGTATTCAACTCCAGATCATATTTGTGCCTATGCAGCAACGGCTAATATAAGAATTATCTAACAGTATGGGACTAAAGAAGGATTGATTAAATTGTAGGAAATGAACCTTGTTAAAGCTTATATGGAAGAAATGATGGATTTTACATTTAAATCTAGAATGGACTATGCAAAGTAACAATGGAAGAATGACATAAATAAGATTAAACAATATTGTTAAGATTGGGTAGCCAACTATGAATTAAGTGATTATTTGAAAACATTGGCTCTTGAAAATGTTTATGTCTTCAGACATGTAGGATTGTTTCACCCTTAACTGTTTGAGAAGACAAAAAATCAAGAGAGAGAGAGAATCATTAAGGATGAAACTCCTTTTAAAAATGATCCTTATTTTATCTATTATCCAAAGGAGGATAAATATATTAGCAAAAAGGAATTTCAAATCCAAGAAAATCACCTCTATATATTTGACACTATGGGTCATTTTGTATGTGGATGGGTGAAAAAAAAAGATAAAAACAACAAGGATATCACTATTTTAGAAACAATCCCACATCTTGATACCAAAAATAATAAAAATTTACATATATTTTTTGGGTGATCTATAATTTAAAATTTAAATCATTCGTTTTATATTTATCTTATATTATCATAACTATTCAGACATTGTAGATTTCTATTATCTGTTAAACTCATATTAGAAACTAATTGTGTAAAATAATTAATTTGTTTAATATGGTTGTAGAGTTATACTGTAATAAATATTCGAGTATTCCACCTTAGAACTTATTAAAACATTCAAAAAATTCCAATTTCTTATATAAAGGCTTGCTTTAAATAGTAATCAATGTTTCTATTAAACTTAAGGACATAAATACGCTTTGGATAGATCACTATTGGATAAACAAGATCTTCTACTCTCACTTATTACTTGTAATTAACTTTCTTTAATAATTTACAATTTTTATATGTTATCATTTTAAGATCTTAATTTCATTCATCAACAAATAATAGATTTCTTTAATTTCAGTTTCTTTATAGATTTAAAAAAAATGAAATAGAGTATTTAAATTCCTTAAACTATAATTTTGCTAATATATATTTTACATACTATTTCATTTGCAAATCAAAAGATTGTTAACTTAATCCTCAAATTTATATAAAAAATAGTTGCACCTTAATAATTTGATTTTAATAAATTTTTCAAATTTTACTAAAGTGCTCAATTAAATTACTATTGTTAGTTAATAGATTGGAAAGATTTAAAATTTTTGAATTTGATTAAATTTTATAATTTGAAAAGATAATGGTCTTTAATTTTGGCATATTTTCCTTCTATTAATTTTACATAAAGTATTTAATAATAAATAAAATGATTTCGAGAAGGAATTCAAAATATGAGTCAAGGAGACAAATGTTATATGAACTATCTAAGAAGGCTGAACTTTAAGAAGTAACTTAAACTGTTTTAGATGACATGGAAGATCTTCAATATTTATATAAATCATATTCCTAGAAGTATTTTGATAGAAAAACTGTTGAAATCTTAGGAGACGACCCTATATTAAAAGGATAAAAACTAATGTTCCTGATCCTAAATAGAGATAATTCAGACTCAAAGGAACGAATAAGAAAGTCTTTATTAAGTTTGCATTGTTCAAATTCTATTTTCCCAGAAATTATTCATTTTATAAAAGTGGACAATTAGAATATCTAAATAAAATATTGTAATGAACTCGAAAGAGAACTGCTTAAATATGATTAGGAGAAATAAGACAGAACAGAAACCTACAATAAGATGGAAGAAAGTTCTGATCAAACCATAATTTTAATACACTTGCTATGTTTAAAACATAGTATCTCAAACTAATAAGATTTTCTATAATATTTCAATAATTCAAAGGACTACTAAACAATTAAGGATCTCTATGCTAGGTGTCAAGAATTAGACTTTGATTATTTAGAGAAAAATACTCAATCTATCGTACATATAATTGCAGACTTTTACTAATTACTTTCAACATATTGTTAGATTATTAAACCTAGATAAGAAAAATGTACAAAACTGATCTTTAGAGTTTTACTTCAATTATTGTTGTACTAGAATATTGTCATACCTGAATTACTTAGATTTATGAAGATAATTAGAAGTAGCTCGCTTTAGAATGTTTAGCAGAACTGTGGAATGATTGTACTTAAACCTACAGTTAAACTTTTAACATAGATGAGTTAAGTTCCTTAAATCAGTAATTAGGTCGAATTATTGAAAATAGAATAAATCAATTTTAATTCTAATCTACCAAATTATGAACAATTTTACCTGTAGGTTTTGACACATTTCCCATATATTTTGTAAATCGATACACATTAAATTCTTGTGAACTATCTCGAAAAACTAACTTAAGATTGCAATAAACATATTGTAGTTCTTGAAGAAATTTATTTGAATACTGAATTTTCATAAATGATGGAACAGATCGATAAAATTTGTGGAGCATAGATTAAATCAATAATGAGTTCAGATGGGAATTCAGAAGATGAATTTGAAGATTAGGGAACTAATTTATTGAAAATAGGAACTATGTTATTTAGATTGAGAGAAAAGGTATTTTAGAATAACCACTCAGCAAAACTTAAATAAATTAATGACCTTACTGTGAAATTTAAGAAATTCCTATAACATGAAACAGAACAGGAAAGATCCTTTCCATAATTACTAAAATATATTAATTGCAACAAGAATGATTTATAGATTGATATATCTGATAATTATGACTAAGAATTATTGGAAGATCCAAGATTTTCAGATTTCTTATAGAAATGTGACAATAATGAAATTCAAGTTGATTTTGAAAAAGGAGAGAATGAAAATGAAATTCTTTTAAATTAAATAAAGTTAATTTATCATCAAAGGGAATAAAGTTTGGATTAGTTGAAATAATTAAATGGCAATTAACATTGTGATTAATTGATGAAGGATTTGTAGAAAAGCGAATTGCAGCACAAAGAATACCTTGTCAAACTTTTAGTGTGCATACAATACTAGATTTATTTATGAATTTTATATTTGATATTTTGTCAATTATTATAAATATAACAGATATGATGCAATAATATAAATAGTATCTATTTTAAATTTATAATATTATGATTAAAATCCATTGAAATAAATATAAAAATTTCTCTATCAGTTTATATATTTAAATTTCGTAGAATTTACAATTACACAATAAATAATTAATGAATATAAATATATACTAATCATAAAATCATGAGCATAAATTCACCTAGTAAACCAATGTCCTATTATGGTTTAAATTAAAAATTGAATAGAACCTTAAATTGAATGAAAAAGGAATACTCTAAATCAATCAGAGATAGTTCCTTATGAGAATCCAAAGATAATATATCTAACTCTTAGAAAATCCTATTATAGCCATTAGATTTATGATATGAACAATCTAGATATTAGAGAGATTACGATTATTCAACTTGTATATGAAGTATCGAAGTGTATAATTTAGAATTCATTGAATATAATTAAAAATGAGTTTTCATAACAATTCAAGTTTTTTCGAAACAAGCCAAAGATCATAGAAAATTCTGGATAAACTTATGTCTGCCTTATCTAATTAGGATCAAGATCAATCTTATTATGATATGAAATAAATATTAGATGAATTGAATAATGATCAATTTGAAAGATAAAAGGAATAAACAGAGGAAATTAAGATAGTTTTTACTCCACATAAATGTTAGAAGATTGCTGAGATTGAAAAAGAGTTAGAAAATTTAATGAATCAAATTACCAACATGTAGGTATGTGATTCTGTCCTGTAGTAATCAACCTTATAGAAAATAAAACAGGTCAGAAAGGTCATAACTCAAATTGTAGACAAGTATTTTGCTAATTTGAAAAACCAATACAATTTTGTGGCTAATGAATTAGTATAAATTCATTTAGCGCCAATAAAGTAACAAATTTTCTAGTTGAGAAAAGATATTCCAAATTATGAAGAAGCACAATACAATGAAGTTCTTGAAAGACATGAATAAATTAAAGAAGATTTGCATTAACTACGCTCACTACTCCCCAAGGAAATTAATCTATAAATTACAAACTAATCATTATATGATATTAAAGACTCTTTGTATAAGTTAATATCCCTGAAATTTAAAGGTATCCACTTTCTTCATTAAAAGATCAATTTAAAATAGTTCCAAGCACATTTAGTGGTTTTAAATAATAGAAGAAGAATTTATTAACATTGAAAAGCAAGACTGGACATTTAAAGTTTTAAGAATAATAAAATAGCATATACACATTTAGGAATAATACTATTTATTATTCTCACATAGATTACATTGATAACATCAAATAGTAAGAGTTAATATTAAATGATGATAACTATCGACTCACCTATTGCAATTTGATAAATACCAACTAAAGCTTGTATTTTTTAGGATAATTTTATTAAGACATCAATTCTAAATAATTCAAAATAAGTCAAATGGTAACCAAATACAACAAGTAAGAAAATAAAATAGAGATAATGTCAGAATTACCGATAATTAGTTATGGTGGATAGGCTATCAAACAGGGCTAATATATATATTATTGGGGAGGTTATATTTTGGTTGACAATGTATAAATTGGAAACAAGAAAGGATTCAAGTAAGCAATTATCAATTATAAATTAGGTACTTAATTAATGGGAATAAGTGGTAACAAATAGAATCAATGAAGTATCCAAGAATCAAAGGGTAGTGCTGCCTATTAGATGAAAAGATATGCATAACAGGTGGAATGATGAATCAATATCAAGGAAATGCTTTAATAGAAATATTCAGTACAACCTAATAGCGATTTCTTGATACAATTGAATTGGTCAATTCTTTTGTATGTTTTCATCATTAATTTATAGTCTTATGTACCTCAGGTTCTTGGATATTCATTTCCAATATCAAACCAAGAAATTTTTATTATGGGAGGTTATAATCAATTTGGAAATGATGGAAATGCTTAGTTAATTAATTTGTTTTTGAAAACAATTTAGAAGAATAGCAATGTTATTTAGAGAATATAAAATCTAAATTGCACATAACCGATTGTAAAGTAAATTCTATAATTTAGATATTCAAGTAATAAATTTACCTTTTCAATTCCGAGGATAGAAAAATAGAATTGATTTAAATTAATGCAGATACTTTGTAAGTAAAGAGCATAATTCCAATATAATGAATAATATGAAATCATTATTACTAAAAGATTCTTTAAAATTATCTTACATCTCCAAGAAAATAACTTCGAAAAATTTGAACACTATCCTCTCTACGCTTATTCTATTATACAATAATCCAAAAGAACAATGTATTATTTACCCTTAATATCTATTGATTCATATTTTTCGAAATTTACATATTTCCTTACAAAAGAAATCATTTGTTAATTAATTGATTCGGTCTAAAATTGATTTAAAGCTACAACTATCCAATAAAAATTGGTAAGCCATATATGTCGACCTAAAAGGCTATTTATTTAAGAATGATAGTATTTTTCTAGTTTTTACTCCCATATAATAAAGTTTGTTTAATTTTGGAAAATTCTAAATGAAGATCACCTTTCTGTTTTTTCATTTACAATCAAGTTAAATCTTACAAGTTCAGCTTTTAATCTTTAGTTCGAATTTGATTACTTGTCAATTTAGTTGATATCGATTTAATTATAGTAAATGACCATTAGAATTATTGAACATTAAACAGCAATCTATTTATTAATATCCTGATAAATAAATCAAGAATATATTGATTATTCGACTTTATTTCATTCAAATTACATTGTGATGATTATTGTTTTATTAATAATAGCTATGATAATTCATAATTTTAATATCACATTCATTTTGATCCATATAAATAAAAGCATTAAATTTTGATATTCTAATTTAATTTCTAAACAATCTATCAAGTAAATTATCACATCCTTTTTGATTGAATGGTAAGTTCGAAGTATATTCTGATTTTAATACAATCATAATACTTAAAAACATATAAAACAAATCACTTAGACTACCATTTAACTAATAATATATATAGAGATATAGGATTATTTCTATAGAATCTAATTTATAAGATTTCACCTATGTTGAATGGAGAAATAAGTAATTGGTAAATGAATTGAAAAAATGTAGCCAAATTATGAAAATAATGATTAAATGTATTATATCATTTTGCTCTCATAAATTGAGTGGCTTATTACTTTTTCTTTTTAATAGCTTCATTGACTTTGGAATCAGAATCAGGTTTCTTCTATAGATTAAACAACATAGGAGACATCTTCAAAAATGCTACATTTGTTTAATTAATGGCTTCGAAATCTTCAAAAACTTTAAGAGAAGTTGAAGTCTTAACCGAATCATCTAAATTATTAATAGATTTAACTTTCTTTCTTATCTCCAAAGGATGGCTCATCACTCTTATTTTTCTTATCAACCCATCTCACGCTTTTTTAATCTCCACCCCCTTCACCAGTATTCGAATGTATGGCACTTTTATTTCTGTTCTTGAGGGTTTGACTCTTAAAATTTGTAAACTATTGTTATTTACTATTAGCTGATTTGTTTCTCATAGATTGTTTCATTTTTTCATCTAAAAATAAAATTGATAATTGTTACTGTTTGATTTAATTGATTATATAGATCTTTAAGTTTTAACTGTCTTCTAACTATTACGATGATAGAAAGATTTTAAATCATTTGTATGATAAGAGAAATCATTATTAAAATCAGGTTATGATCCATCAACTGAGTTATAATGGCTATAATGAGACTTCTTCATAGTTTAATATGAATTCCTTCTTTCAAGTTCAGAATCTACATACTATAATTTCAAATATTCAACCTGCTTATTGTTCATACTCATGAGAAGTATTCATAAGAATCCATTCATTTTTGAGTACATCAGCACAAGTATACCTATCAGCAGGCTTTCTAGCCAACATTTTCTTTAACAAATGTTTGCATTCACTACTGATATTATCCCAAACTGATTTCTAAAAACTGATTTCACATTTTCTATTATCTTCCAAAACTGCTTAGTAATTCTTTCCTTTAAAACAGGAGATGCCTGATATTAACTATAATAAAACAAGAGATAATACTGAATAAAAGATGACTCCAACTGAAAACACATCACCCTTATCAGTATATGGGAATAATTTGAAAATTTCAGGCGGTATATAACCAGGAGTTCCTGCTTTTGATACTAATTCTTTGTGATTAATAGGTTCTGCAAATCCAAAGTCAACTAATTTAATGATGTATTGATCTCTTGATTTCATCATAATGTTTTCTAATTTTAGATCTCTATGTACAAATTCATTTCTATATGGTTATTCTAGTATAATACATATGCATTTCATGTAATGCTTCGCATACACCTTTTAACATGACTGCAGCTTCCTTCTCAGGGATTCTTTTCTTTTCCTTAATGAGACTATACAAATCTCCATCAGAGACTATCTCCATGATTAGTATCAATTTCTCTTTCTCTTAAATGACATCGTACAATCGAATTATGCCAGGGTGAATAACTTTACGTAAAACCATGATTTCGTTTTTTATCATAAGCTCAGCTTTAATAAGGAACAAATGGTACCACAAATTTAGACTTATGTTGAGATTGTTCAAATGTCTCCTTGAAGTATGTTTTGGCTGCAAACATTTAGTCGTTAGATAGATTCTTTACTTTATACACCTATTAATGATATTTATCTATTACTGATGCAAAAGATCCTTTGCCCAAGAGGTCCATCTATGTATAGAGTTTGTCCATTCCAGACACTATGCAATAATCTTTGAGATGATTGAAGAATTCAAGGGTCAATTGAGGTTTTCCATCAAATATTGATATTGAGAGTCCTTAATACTTTTCGATTTAAACAATTAGTAACGAATCTTTTTTGCTTTTTTGTTCCAACAGATGAGCCACATAATCCATAGTTATTTATAAATATCCTTTTGCTACTTTATCAGATTCCTTAATTATATTTAAATGTGAAACCTTTTTATAGTAACTAAGTGTCCCATCTTTACTCAATTTGAAAAAATAACCCTTTGTTACCTTTTTCTTCTTCCCCACCCTCAACATTATAGCCTGAAATCTGAGATTTTCTTTGCTAGGATAAACATTCTTGCAATTTTTGCGATCCCAAAATCTCGTTTAATTGACCAGTGCCGGTTAGGGAGTAAAAAATGGCCATACAACTTCTGGTTCACTTTAATGCTTCAATGGGCTTTATTATTTCACTTGTTTCAAGGGCTTATCATTCTTAATTGCGGATCCCTGTGTTTAAGTTTTAGGTTAGGTAGCTTCTCCTTTCATTTTTTAATTTAATAATAATAATATTATTGTGCTAATAAATATATTCCACAATTTCACACTTAAATTAATTCCAATTTCCTTTGTTATTCGTATTGCAAGATCTTATTAAAATTATTGTTGTATAAAAATTCAAATTAAACTAAAATTTTTAATTCATTAAATTCTTCATATAAAATAATTAATGCTCGTTTAGTTTACAAATATAATCGTTCCGAATATATAGCGCGAATTCACTTATGTAATTACATTTGTCATTTAAAATCATACTGTTCTTGCATTTTTAATAATTTCAAATATAACAATCTTTATTTTATTGAATTATTTATCAATGTTTATATAATTTTTATTATGAAAGGAGACGTTGAATTATCAAAATTGTAGATTCGATTGGGTGATGTCAGAGTGCCATCATATTTAAAGTTGATTGAGGAAACTGAACAAACTCATACAAATATACTCAAAACTCTTCAAAACATCTAAATTAAGGATATTTAAGTACAATCACAAGTTTGATCTTTTAGGATCTATTTTACATTCTTAAACCAACCTAACAACTTTACAATTGCGTCTGTGGTTTATTATGCCTTGTGGCTGGAGTTGATAAATCTATCACAACTGACTATTTGTTTTTATAATAGCGAGATTGGGTAGCTAGTTAGAGTCAATTCTGCAAAAGCTATGAACAAATCAATGCAATTTTGTCTAATCTGTAATAAAATCTGATAAAAAAGAAGATCAATATTTCTAACATAAAGGAGGCTCAAAAGTATTATAAGGAAGAAATAAAAGGTCAAGTCAATTCGGTATCTGATAAACTTGAGAAAATTTTGACTTTGTCAATTAACTATTATACTTCATTCTATAAGATAATGAAATTCAATTAAAAGTACGAGTAGCAATCCAAGACTCCTCAAGAAAAGAGTTCAGATGAATTAAAATCTTATATGTTGTCAAAATTAAACGATAATTTTTAAGATGATGATTCAGAAGGTAAAGTTGAAGAAGACACTTAAATATAAAATGAATTAGTTTAATAAATCCCACCCACTCCTAAGGATCAATAGACTACATTTAAAATGCTGAGTAGATTTAAAGATTTTAATTCATACAAGAAAGGAATTGCTGATAATCGAAAAACCTCAAAAAGTCCAAATTTGCCAAGCTACTCAACTACTTCCAAAAAACAATATTATTAATCTAAATCACCTATATCAAGTCAAAATAAAAATCACGATAACAATTACCCTTCAAATGAATATATGAGTTTTTAAGATCATGTGAGTGTTAAAAGTTTTCAAACCCAACCTTAAGAATAATTTAACAGTCCAAAGAATAATTAAAGTAACAAAGTTGTTTAACAAAAATCTTCTTAATCTAAATCTCCTGTAATTGCTGTTAGGTAGAAAGAGCCTTTGAAGAAACATGTTGTATAATTGCCAGAAGCTCCTGATTTAAATAAATTAATTGAATAGATTTAGAATAATGATCCAAATATTGAAAAGTAGTTGAAACAAGAATTAGAAATTATTTAAAAATAGATTAATAAATTAGAAGCCAAGAAAAAATAATTAAAATGGCAAGATGAAAGATAGGTTAATATTTGTGATTAAATTGTAGAGTAAGAAAATTAGAGACCAATATGAGTAGTAATATTTGAGTGAGCAAATAGAATAAAGTAAACAGTTCTTAGAAAATAGACAAAAATTTAAGGAAGAGCAAAAAGTGAAATTGAAGAAAGACTTCAAAAAATAGATAAAAGTATAGAATGAGGCTCAGGACTTCTAACAGTAGAGAGTTTGGAGTCTGTTTAAGGAATTGGAGAGAAGTATTATGCAGAAAGATGCATTACAAAAAGATGCTTCGTGGATGGAGTAATAGGTTTGTATAAAAAATTAAGGAATTTAAAAATATTGAAAAATCTAAATAAATATTTTAAATAATTAATCATCAATGGCCAAGTCTAAGAATGCAACAAGTCATCATAATGCCCGTAAGCATCACAGAAATGGTATTAAGAAGCTTCCAAATCAAAGATATACCTCATTGAATGGAGTAATTAATCCTATAAAATAAAGTGTAATTAAAGATTCGCAAAAAATAGAAGATTTGCTATAAAGAATGATCCATCCATCAAAAAGAATAAGAGTGTTGAAACAAGATTGGCTAAGAGAAAGGCTAACAAAAATATCCATTGATCATGAAATACAAATAAAATTATCATACATTAAATTGCTAAATTCATATGTATAAAGTGTCATATATTGACAACTGATTTGTTATTTTCAAATCCTAGTTTCTAATAGATCAGATTATTAGTTGAAATCAAGACTTACTATCTTTCCATTAATTGCTTGAAGTCATTTTTCAAGAGACTGAATTAATTAGTGATTTCTTCATTCAAACTATTCTCGTCTTATTTAGTTTTATGCTATCTGTGTGTCATTTTAAAATTAATCAATGTCTGTTTTAATCTAACTATTAATTGATGGTGTTATTTTCGAGTCAAAGTCCCATTTCTAAAATAATATTTGAATTTTATTACTTATAACCAAGAGCAGCTTTGGCTGTAAGTATGATAACTAAGGCAGCCTCATGCTTAAGTTTTTCTCTCAAAGCAACTCTCTCTAAAACAGTGATTGCATGTCCTTCAAGTGAAGTGACCTTTAGAGATTCAATTAGAGTGACAACCATAACTGAAACTACGAAGATTCCAAGAACACAAACTATAAATATAACAAATCTGCCTAAATCAGTTCTTGTGTAGAAATCACCATAACCGACAGTCGTTATAGTAATAATGATATTCCATAGAGCATTTTCAAACAGTCCTAGATTGTTGCTTGAAGAATCATTTCTTGAGAGTGGTCTTTCGCAAATCCTTACTGCATATCCGAAAATACAGATTAAAGATATCAAAGCTATAAATAAGGCAGTGTAGGGCATTGTTCTGAGTAAGGATTTGGCCACAAACATGTAATTGGATTCACAAGCATACAGATTACAAACTCTTTGGGTTCTGTTGTTGTACCAGAATGTAAGGGTTAGCAGAGTCCTATATAAGTAGATTACTCTGCAAATCATAATCAAAGCTAAGATCTCATTCACATGATAATAGGCTTCACTTCCTTAAATTGAATTGTAAAAGTTAACTCTGATTCCTTTGGTAAATGGTAGAGGAATAATACAATATACTGCTAATTCTATGAGCATAGGTAGCCAATCATCAGTATGCCAGATCTAATCACCTGGAGCCATAGATTTTCTTGATTTCATCCATTCAATATGGGCTTAATAACGATAAACAGTTAAAAAAACCAATAGACATGAAGAAACAAAAACTAACCATAATAACCATAATGAAATCTAAAATTATCCTAAATGTTACATCTTTCATAGGGTCATTATCAGAAATCTCATCGTATTCTAAATCATATTAGATAACACTAATTCCTAATCCCATTAAATTGAATGCAAAACAAACCTACTCCATAAATAAAAATTTGTGAAAATACATTTTTGTTACCTATCAAATATTCCCAGATAATACTTTTCCATCCTCCAATCCTCCTAATTACTATGAATTAGCCATAAATATTTCCGCAAGTGATATTTTGTTTTAATCTGCTTTCCTTACCAATTGATCGTTCTCTTGTTACCTTCGATTTTGGTTTTACTAATCAAATCAATAATCATTAAAGTTACATTGTTCATTTTAGCTGTTAAACCTCCTGTTCTTCCTTTCATTTTATATTATATTATATATTATTATTATATTTCAAATAGTTCCAAACTCAATTTTAACATTCAACATTCAAATGTTCTCTTCTTTTCTTTGAGTAATGGAACCTTCATAAAGATGTCACTTCTTTTCTGATAAAACGGCGTTCAACTTTTCCATCAATTATTTTGAAAGTTATTCTTATTTTTCTAACTTTTCCATCACTAATCTGACATCCCAATTTTACTCATTTCTTAATTACTTCAGATCCAAGCCCAAAAATCCAATATGATTAATGATATTTTCACTCTAATTATCCATTCCAAATTTGCTCTATTGTTGTAATGCAAACTTGAAGTTATATAAAGCTAATCTTAAAGCTATCTCTATTTAATGCTATTTTTTTTCTGTCAACGTACCATTCCTACAATTATTTATATACATTTACCTCCATCTAAATGCTTGTTACATGCTTAATTTAATCACTTAGGCAGCTTCGTTTTTGACTAGTTCACGCAGACGAATTCTTTCCAAAAGGGACATGGTCTAACTCTCAATTGGTGTTGCCTTGAGTGATTCAATAAAAGCCACAATCATGACAGACATTAAAAATACTCCAATAATACACACAACTATAACAACGAATCTGCCTAAATCTGTCCTAGGATAGTAGTCACCATAACCAACAAATGTTATTGTTATAATTATACACCAAACACTATTATAATAGACACCCAAATTGTCAATATTTTCATTAAATCTTGTTAATGGTCGTTCACAAATTCTTAATTGGTAGCCAAACACAAAAATAAGTGATAATAACATCAAAAATTAGGTAAGGTAAGGAGAAGTTTTTAAAAGAGATTTTACAACAAACAAATAGTTATGCTCGCAAGAATAGAGATCGCAAACTCTTAATGTTCTATTGCTGGCCCAAAATGTCAATGTCAAGACTGTCCTATAGAGATAGATTACTCTGACCACCATTAATAGTGTTAGCATTTCATTGATATGATAATAGGCTTCTGCTCCTTGAGCTACATTATAAAAAGAGATCCTCATGGTCTCAGTGAACGATAAAGGTATTAGACAGTATATTACGATCTCAATTATCATGTAGAAGTTCTCATTGATATCGTAAAACTTTTCTCTTGGACCAATCACTCCTCTGGACTTTAACCATTATATTTTGGTCTAATAACGATAATATGTAAAGTATATCAAGAGAAGAGTTGAACCAGCTATCATCCATAGCAGCCATTACGATATCTAATTTACATAATTTCTATACATCTCTAAATGGATCATCAGAGTCGTATTCTTCAAATTCCAATTCATACTAGATTGCTGCCAAAATTATCCCAACGAGATTGAACACAAAGCAAACTTTCTCCATGAATTCAAATTTCAGAAAATAGAGATTTGTAACCTAGTAGTAGAACTAAACATACTCTTCCATCCTCTAAGCCCTTAAGTCCTATTATTTTCATTTATAATTTTTATATGAAAAATAATTGTATCACTTTTTATTAACACATTAATTAATCATGTCAAGCTTCTGCATCAATGCGAACTACTAATTACTAACTGTCGTAATCAGTTTAATTACCTATCCTAATACTTGCTAATTGTAATTGAACATCTAAATCATCTCTACTTGATTGGGTAGTTATAACATCCTATCCATGTATTGTTATTAAATACACTCATGTGTGATCTGACTCGATTATATTTATAGGGGATTGCCTTCAGAATCAATTTACGGTTAAAGTCCTCTGTACTATTATTGTAATGAAGCTTAATTTATAGGATTATTGTGATCCTTCAATTGAGAAGTACAAACTAAATGGTTTTGGTGTTACTACTGTAATTTTAGTGGTTCTATTGATAAATTATGATCCAACTTTTCAGGTGTTTATGTCATATTCTAATGCATAGAATTAGAAGTCTGTATTTCAACCTATTGCTATTATTTATTTTACTATTCATGAGATTATACATTTGAATTAATTATAGATTCTTCTGTTAAATTTAATCCTGGTTATTATTAATTTATGTAATGAGAATTGTGATCCTAGGTTTATTAAAATTGTTGAATTTTTTATGAAATTTAATTTTAATTTGTAAGATTTACTTATATTTTATTTTGTTTCTACTGAGTTTATTAAATGACATTATGTTCTAACATCTTATTTTATCCGATTGCAAACAATTATTATTATACTGGATTCTCTACTTTTTTTCTTCTTAAATGAGTTAGATCTGATAACGTCTATTGTTTACTACTTATCTCTAATTTTTTGAAACTTTATTTTGATTTTATTTTTGAATTTTCAATTATTTAATTTTACTTAATGGCCTCTTTATCAAGTACAATTAAGGATTTGTTTTGTTGTTCATTTCTTGATTATTTTGCCTAATCTATTAATTTAATTTAATTCGTTCCCTATTAATCTTTTTCCTTCTCCAGACGTATTAAATTTTCCTGATACTTAAGCTATTATTTTTATATTTTTTATGAATTTAATTAATCTTGATTTTATTGAGCTCTGTGATCGATATTTTTAGATAAACTTCCTTTGACATTCTATTTGTTTGATATTTCCTATTGTTCATGTATTGATAATAATTTTTTGGTTGAATGAAATTGATCAGCATTCTAATTTTCTTAATGACTTTTTTCTTGAGTCTTACAATCTTCAAATGATTGTTATTAAGATTGTCTAATAACTAAATTGATATGTTTTGTTTAAGCCTTTTCTGCTGTTTTATCAGCATTTGATTTGGTTTAATCAATTTTATTAATTTATACCTTAATTTTTGAGACTTCGTTTTCTTTTATCTCATTTGATGGTGATTTAAATGAAATCTGCATTTATTTCTATTGAGCATCCTCTTACTTAACCTAATTTTATTTATTCAAAAACTCTTTGTTTTCCACATTACATCCAATAAATTAACATTCTGTGTCTTCGACTGGTGATATATCAATTTGAAAATCTTCTTCAACTCTTTTCTCTTCCAACCACTGATGTATTGTTTATTATGTGATTTTGAGTGTATAGCTTACATATTTAATATCAACTTCATTTGGATTGTCTCCCAATTTTTCTAAGGCAGATAGTTTCAAATCTATATCACTTTAGACTTGTAAATTCATCAGAATATTTTGATTAATATTTTTGGGGTTTGATAAGTTCTTTTCAAATATAAACAGGAGATTTGGATTTAATTTTTTTGTTTTTTATTATATATTAATATGTAAGGAATAGTAACAGAGTAATTCGCAGGGACTTTGAATCATGCATTTCGGGAACTTACTAGAAGATAACTGCATTCTATGAAAGAGTTTGACGAACTTAGTGCTGAATTTTAGAGACATACTGACAAGATGAAGATTACTCAAACCTATTAACCAATCATTGAGATATTTACATAAATAAATAAATGGATGATTGATAGATTGGAAAAGGGACAACATTTCACTGATTAGATCATGACTCAAAAGAAGACTTATGATACCATTTTATAACAAGAAAGAAGCGTGTGTTTAGAAATATGTAAATTGGATCTAAATCGTTTAAACAGTTTAAAACAGTGTTTCTTTCATTATCAATAATAGTATATTCTTGACAATATGTGATAGTCTGAAGAAAGAATGGTAAAGAGACTTTGTCGAATACCAACTGCTGTATTTAACATGCCAAGAATATTAATTAGATTATCCTCAATTGTTAGCTGCGATATAAAAGTTAGAGGATAAGAACAACTTACTCTTGGACCTGTTTAAGTCACACAACAAAGAAAGAGGATTCCTGTATTAATTTTATTTAAAATATGCAAAATTGAGAGTATAATACTTTGAAGCTACAAAATATAACGGTGAACAATTGAAGAAGCTGGCAATCATTATTCAAAGAAACAGCAATGGTTTGGTTAATATGATTTAGAACGATTAAACTCTCTAACATGATTAACTTCTATTAGAGTTGTAGAAGTCAATAAGTTTTCATGTTGAAATTCATTAAGAAATATTGGATATCCTTAATTAAATGATTAAATTCGCCGAACAATCCAATGATAGTCTAAATTCCAAATACACAAAGTATATGCAATTAGTTTTAGAAATGCAATCAACTTCCAATCAAACTAATTTCCATGATTGTATAATAATTATACTAATAGATTCGCAGTTTTGATGCAGCAGATGAGTCTTACTCTATCAGGAATGGTGTAATCCAATATTGTAAGAGATCGATGCTTCAATAATTTCATTATTGAATTAAGTGAACTCATTCATTTTAGAATTAATAATTTGAATTGTAAGGCTAATGATAACCTAAAAGAAGCTGTCCAACAATATAATAAGAGTAGTTATAGTCTTAATTATTTAAGATTAGCAATTGCATCATCAAATGAGAGGGGAGTAGTAATGGAATGATATGCTCATGAGGCAAAAAGAGATCTATGAGAGACAATTGAAAGAATATTAAAATGTGTTATAATTCAGAAAGCAAAGCTATTTAAAGGATCAGAGCAGATTTTGCAATAACCCAAAGGTTATCAATCTCTCCTCTTTAGATTTGCCATTGACAGCCAAAGAGTTTTTCAAATTGTTTCTTAGCAGCGATGAATAAAACTTCTTTGCCCAATTCAAAACTAATGTAATGAAGGAAATCTAAGTGAAATATACTCAATATGAACCTGCTCCACCCAGCTTCTTTGTCCATGAGGAGAACTTCGATATTAAAGAATTGATCGATCAATGTTGTGCCAGCAAAAGAGTTATTACTTATAAATAACCTAACAGAGATAAACTCAAATTATTTAGTCCAGAATATGTTAACTGTAAATGCGAATAGTTTGTTTACTTCATAAGTGATGCTGAAATCATGGTTGAACAAGAAGTTTTCAATGATGCAAATCAATATTGCTCTATCAGAAAATACATGCATATCATTCAAACCAATAATAATGAAGTCACTTTACAGTACTCTTATATTTATTCATTTAGTTATGGTTACTACAAACATGAATTGAAGTTTAATATATTTGGATTACTTGACTACTTTTCAAATTAAGAAGAAAAGGATATCTATGAATAATAGTTATAACCTGCCATGGTTAAATGTGTTCAATAGTATTTGTAAAATAAAGAAAATCTTAAGGAAGAGAGAAAAAAACAATTTATTCTTAATAACAATATAGATTATATGCTTAACCAATAAAGTGAAGTCAATCCATAGCCGTTTTAACCAAATATTCCATTTATTAAATAGGCAAACTAATTAGCATCAAACAAATGGACGATGGCCAATATGTTAAGTTAGGAGAGTCTTATGAAATTAATATTTTTATTACTCCTTCTGAATTTTTTCAAACCACAAGTAGTTTGATATTTAGTTATTTATTAAAAAATTTATCAATTATTATTCAAATAAAAATTCATAAAGTAATAATGATTCTAGTGGCGGATTTCTTTTGAAAAATATCTTTCTCATTTTCTAATCCTCTTTAGTACTCTATTTTAATTATACCCAATTTTTTAAATAATTTTACTAAGGATATTTTCTATATAAATTTAACCCTTGGAGTGTTTTATTTAAATAGTTCTCCATATTTTTTTATATTGAATATTAGATTGGAACCACTTTAAAAATACTATGCCAAAAAATGCTAATTTTTTTGATATAATAAAATTTAATTAAGATAGTAAGTTGAAAATTGAAAATATAAACAAATTTTTCTAAACCACTTTATATATTCATTATAACATAATAAGGTATCTAAATAATTTGAAAAGCATTTCTCACTTTTGTTTAGCAAATTCAATATTGTTTCCTGATTCGATAAGCGTTATATACTTTTCTATGAAATCAGTTTATCATAAGACTTTTCTCGATATCTTTATTATTAAAATTCTTACAATGGAGTGTTATTATAAGATGAAAATAATCAAAAATAAAATAAATAATTAATATTAACACTTTGATATTTATTGATAAAATTAAATATAGCTTATAAAACCAAAAAATTTAGAATTATTTAAATTTCGTAATTCTGTTCATTAATGTGCATAATATGTATATAAATATGTGGAATATTATTTGAAAACCAAATTATTAATAATATGTCTCATTTAGTTCACTCTCAACTGAATGAATCTGAAATAGAGAAAATAACCTATCCAAATCTAGCAGAAGTGAGATATGAGGAAAATACAGAGAAAGTATTTATAGGAATTCCAACTCAAAATCAATATATTCAAAGTGGTAATAAATTCTATAAAATTTAGGCATTCCACTTCCATCAGGTTTCCTCGTCACTCCTTTGTATAACACAGATTCAAATGGAACTAATGTGCCATATGATGCTCAAGGATCAATAATCCCTATCTAAATATAGTGTAAATTCTGCAAGAGGTCTGGAACTACTCTAATGTAGCATAGAACTGGTCCATAAACTTGGATTGTAGCATTCTTCATTTTTATATTTTTCTTGCCACTTGTTTTTCTACCCTTTGTATTGAAAAGTTGCAAAGATAGAGTTCATTATTGTCCTAATTGCGGATAATGTGTTGGCAAGAAGAAATTCAAACTCTGTAACAGTGATTGATATTTATATTGTTTAAGACCAAAAAGATATATTAAATGCTACATTAATTAAAATAGATCATATTTATTATTAAGATACTCTATCCTAATATAACATCATTTATATCATTAGAAAATTAATATTAAAAGTATAAAAAATAAGGATATTATAAGGAAACAGTTTGTCAATTTATCGAATCTTCGTTTTCATCATCTTTATCATCATCATCTTCTTCTTCACTAATTATTTGCTAGTTGTCTTAAATATACTCATCTTCTGAGTTAATCTAAACTTACATTTATTTATTAACAGAGTTAATTTTAGGAATCACTTATTGTATTTCTCTCCTCCATAAGACCCTAAATATATTATTAATGTTACTGATGAGTAAACACTATTTCATCTTATTCCTGTTAAAATATGAAATTTGGATGGTTGATTTTATTTGAATAGGGTTTCCCAATTTTGTAATCATCTATTTTTACATCATAAACATATTCAGAGGCTAATAAAATATCAAAAATATCTTGACATTTTTACTTCAACTTTTCTTCTATACTTATTAATTTTTGATTAATAACCTCTTAGTAATTAATACCATTATCAGGATTATTATTTGACTAAGCTTTAGAATCGGCCTAATTCTCTTATACCACCTCTACCGCTATATTTTTTTATTCATTAACTTTTATTTCTTATTTTTACTCAGGAATTGTTGAATTATTTATATTCTGTCTTTACTTTGTGAAGGACCTTGGAGAATTCCTTTTCGAATCCCATAATTCTGCTGCTTCCTTTAGTTCACTGATATGTTTGCCATTAACAATTAAATTTAGAGGTTTTTATTAGATTTTAGTCTAATTTTATATAGTATTTTCAATCGTCTACTCTTACTACTATCTTCCTTATTGCTCTTACTGATATTCGTACAACTATTATTTTTTAGCTCTAATTATTTCATAAATTTCTTTCATATTTGTAGTATCATCTGCAGGTCTTAAACTGAAAGTTTTAAGAACTGCTTATTTTGGTTGAGCAAGGATAATTGGTTCTTCAAGTTATAAAACAGTATTTTCAGATTATCTTCTTGAAAACATATTTGGTTTGAATAATTTATTAAATTCTCTTAGTTTTTTAATAATTTTTTATTTTCTTTGCTTTTCATTTTCTTTCTGTAACAGGTCTTATTCTTCTTCGTCAATTTGAGCTTAATCAGTAATTTTCTGTTTCTCTTTTTTTCTTCTTCTATTATCATCATTATCTTTAATAGTAGAATTTTTTAAAGAAGAATCCATTATTTCTGAGAGACTAGATTAATCTGATTGATTTCTTTCGTTTTTAGGTTATTAATTTTTCTTTCTTTATCTACTTTTCTTATTTGAAACTTTCTTCTCAGGGATAATCTATTCAATTTGTGAAGTCTCCTCTTTATTTATTTCTTACTAAAGAACAATGGTTGGTTCTGTCATAATCAAATCCTCGATTTAAGGGATAGTAGGTTACACAATGGGTTCATGAATTTCACTAGTTTTATGACTCAATATTTTTGGAGTAGTTCTTTTTGATTGTTGAATTTCTTGGATTATCTGATCTGCTATGATTTCTAATTTATTTTCAAGAAAGCTATCTATGGTATCTTCTTTGATTTAATAATATTCATTGTAATCACTCATTTATATGATATACTTTTCTGGTATTTTAATAGTGAATGCTTTTTCATGAATTCTATTTACAATTTCTGCATATTATTCTATCATTGTTGTCATTCTAAATCATAATATGAATGTACTTTAAATCATAGTTGAATCTGTCATCCTTTAGGAATGTTTCCATTTACTTCAACAATCTCTATTGAATGAGTTCACTTGAAATCACTTATTTAGTAACAACCTTATTATTTCCAAGAATAAATATTTCCATGGCCTTCATGGATTTTTCTAAGAATTAATTAAATCTAACGTATACTTTCAGTCTTGACTGTGTACTTGTTAGAACATAGAGATTTATTCAATAATTCCTCATTTTTTACTTATTGGAGTAATTCCAATTCCTTTAATGAAGAAGTTAATTTACTACTCATTATATTTGATTTTTAGTTGTTTTTTTTGAGGTATGCATCAACTTTCTTTTTGAAATCTGAAACCATAAGTTTAGTTTAAAGTTCATTATATTTAGAAAAGCTTAATTCTTGATTACTATGGATTGATAATGGTAGTAGTACATAGGGGTTTTTGAAATGTCTTTATTTTCTTTGACATTATATATTGTAGTATGATTGTAGTAGTCATTTGGATCATCCTTCTTATTTGAGAGGGCATGCTTGGATCAGAATAACGAAAATTAATTACCAGTTTTTGTGAAGCTAAATTCTTTTTCGTTCGCGAAGTACGCATTTCCTAAGAGAGACTAAGTTAAAACTCTCTGTGTACTTTAAATAGTGGTTGTTATTAAGATTGGGTAATCGATTGTAACGAGTAGGTTTAATCCCCAAATACTCTACACTAAATTGTTAATTCATATTATTAATTAAATTAATTGCAAGAATTTTATGCTCATTCCTTATAATTGGGGATGTACCTAATTGGGGATTGTTCCAAAAGTTATTTCTTGAAATTTTAATTGATTATTTGTAATCAAGGCAGATGGAAAAAAATAGTAGATAACAATTTTAGAAATTCTGCTATAAATTTTTTTATGAAAGAGAGAGTATTAGATTGTTACTTAATTATTCAAGTTTGAAAATAGAGCTAAAGGTAATAGGAGAAATAAAAGATTGATGCCTTGGTATTTATCATTAATGAAAATTCTTCAACCTTTTTAAGATAAAATATTTAATGTTTGAAAGTATGATATATAATAATTATAAGAGCATATCCTATTGTCTTAAGTAACTCTCTAAATATATAGTTTATATATTCTTCTTGTAAAATACTGTTGCATACAGCATTTAATACAAAAATAGATTTTAAATATAACATTCTTTTGATAACCAAAAGGTGAATAATTCTCATGTTACTTACCATATGGATAATTAGATAAACTTTATCAAATGAAAATACCAAAAATATCTTGGATACTATGATTAAATTGCATAAATAGATTTCATCCGCTTGCTCAGTGTTCTCAGTTGTCACACTATACTATAACATTAAACAATATGGCCAATAATCCATAGTCATAGTTAAAGATTAGACTCAACAAATAGATAAACAAATAAGATACAAAATATCAGAAAATAGCCTAATTTATGCTTTATTATTTAAATCAGAAATACAGATGATGCCATTCTTATAGATTTTCTTATAGTAATATTGTTATTCCTATATTCATCTTAATAGATTAATCATTTATATAATTTTGTATTGTGCTCAAATTTATCTCGCTTAGACTTTATTTTAATAAAATATTTAATTATTAAATTTGTGGTGAAATGAGCAAAGTAGAGAACAAAAAAATATTCGCTTTGATGACAGGAGCAGCAGTCTTAACTGGGACCAGCATTCTGCTTTACAGATTTTTGAAGAAGACTGATGGGTATGTATCTTTAAATATGGAATAGGAAGACAATTATTGAACCTTAAGTTATTGATAGGGAAACTATCATCAAAATTTTAAAGGAATTAAAGAAGGAGCTTTTCACTGTATTTCAAAATTTTGCAGCTGTGGCTATTAATATCAAACAATAATCAATGGGAAGAGCCAGACCTGAAGATATTAAAATGATGCTCTTGGAATAGCGTAAGACTTACAATATCTAATATAGCCATGTTTAGAGGGGAGATCGAATAAGTCGAAGAAATGGTCTACAACTAATTTAGAATCACCAAATAACAGGTTGAGCACTATTGTCAAAATGTCTATCGTGATGATCCAACAATCAAAGAGTTACAAAAGCAAATGAAGGAGTCTTTCGATAGATCTTTTTAAGGTTAATCTCCAGATCCTAAAACTGATATCCCAGCCTTTCTTACAGCTGATACAACTTTTGAAATTCTTGAGAAAGTAATGACTGAAAGTGCCTTGAAATTGAATGAGAAATTGCTAGAATTACAAGATAGAGGCGAATAAATCAATTTCTAAAGTCCCAAAATGATGGAAATTATGCAATCTCTTAAAATGGACAGTTCTAAGTAAAATCTTTAACTCATACTAGAAAGGAAATCTTAGAATAGTATGGATTGAATAAATTTGAAGATCCAGGAAGCAAAATTTTATAATATGCCACCTAAGTTTATAGTCAATAAGCAAATAGCAGTTTCAATCTTAAAATGAAGCAATTGGATATGAAATATCAATCTATCATGGAATAACTCATCATGCAAGGACCCATGAGTAATGAAGAATTAAAGCAAAGAATGGAATAAGTTCCATAATAATAAGCACAATTCCCATTCTAAGGTGCTCAATAACCACAAATCCCTCCAAAACATGAAGAATAGAAAAAATAAGAAGAATAACCAGAAGAAGTTGTATAAGTTAAAGCAAATGAAGAACCTGAAGAATAGAATTAAGAAGCATAAGAGTAATAATAATAATAATAATAATAATAATAATAATAACAATAATAAGAAGCAGAAGGAGAATAACATGTAAATCAACCCTAAGAGCAACCAGTTCCAGAATAATAACAGGTTTAGGTAGAAAACCCAGAACTCAGCTGAGTATTTTTATTACAAATATGATCAATATTAATATTAATTATTTGATGAATTCCCAAATATCTGGTATTTTAAAAGCATCCAAAAAAGATATCCAGACCTCATAGAGATGCGATAAATTTAAGAACATTATTGCTTAAGGCTCAAAAAAGCATAGAATTGCATTCATAGATGAGATAGACAAATAATAATCTTTGATCTAAGTGCACGAGGTAGAGAACTGGAAAATATACAATGTCGAAGAACCTTTATAAGATGCTAAATAATCTTGCGGATGTATCATAATTTGATTCTATATCATATATTCACTTCTACATATCTCATTTACCTAATTTAATTGCATTTCTCTAACTAATCCATCACTCAACTAAATTTTATTTGTTTCCTTAAATACACCCGAACTTAGACATCATTGAAAAGAAGTTCAGTTGCTTTACAATCCACTTTGAGAAACTAAGTGTTATTTTTTCATGATTAATAGTCGCAATTAAGTTCTATACTAAGTCTATATGTTTGAATCTAAATCAAGTTTGACAAAGATATCATTTTCTCATTAAATCTCGCATGATGAGCTTAAATAATTTTATGCTCATGACTATTCAAATTCGCAAATAAAAAAATCAACTTATTTTATAAATATTTTTGTCACCAAAGAGAAGTTTACATTCAATTACTTTATTATAATAATTAAATTAAGAATAAATTTGAATTCCAAGAAAATTATCTATAATAATCTTAGAATTTATGCATTATTTCAAATTATTTACCCTTATTATTTAAAATAAATCTGAAATTCATTTTGAAAAAGTTAGAATTATAAAATTATTTTTAATATATATATATTTTGGTTATTTATAAATTTTGATAAAATTTCAAAATATTTAGAATTTTTGGTTCAATTTCCATGTTGAGTAATTGTAGTTGGTAACCATACCAATTAAAAATATGTTAATAAAAGACTTTAAATTATTTAATCTTAAAAACTATCATTATCTAAATATGCTTTGTTCTGGCAAAGAAGATCAAAGGATATATTTATGGAAGAATAGTTTCTTAAATTGATATGTTTACATAAAATTAATAATAAATTAAAAAATAATAATCATGAAATGACTTATAAATGACAAATCTTAAACTTTGGTAAAGATGCTGAAATTTGAATTGTTTTGTTTTTGTATTGCATTAAATAAATAAAATAAAAAGAATGAATAATAATAACCTCCTAGAGAAACACCAATGCTTTTGAACATATCAAAATTATCAAAAGGATCATTATAGAGATATCAAGTAAAACAATTATCGATTGAATCAATTAGACATATTATTAAAAGGAGTAGCCATTCTTAGATTAAAATAGCACATTAACATTGGAGTAAAAAGTTCAGATTCATTATGAATCATAAAAATTAGATGATAAAGTAGTNAATTTAAGAACATTATTGCTTAAGGCTCAAAAAAGCATAGAATTGCATTCATAGATGAGATAGACAAATAATAATCTTTGATCTAAGTGCACGAGGTAGAGAACTGGAAAATATACAATGTCGAAGAACCTTTATAAGATGCTAAATAATCTTGCGGATGTATCATAATTTGATTCTATATCATATATTCACTTCTACATATCTCATTTACCTAATTTAATTGCATTTCTCTAACTAATCCATCACTCAACTAAATTTTATTTGTTTCCTTAAATACACCCGAACTTAGACATCATTGAAAAGAAGTTCAGTTGCTTTACAATCCACTTTGAGAAACTAAGTGTTATTTTTTCATGATTAATAGTCGCAATTAAGTTCTATACTAAGTCTATATGTTTGAATCTAAATCAAGTTTGACAAAGATATCATTTTCTCATTAAATCTCGCATGATGAGCTTAAATAATTTTATGCTCATGACTATTCAAATTCGCAAATAAAAAAATCAACTTATTTTATAAATATTTTTGTCACCAAAGAGAAGTTTACATTCAATTACTTTATTATAATAATTAAATTAAGAATAAATTTGAATTCCAAGAAAATTATCTATAATAATCTTAGAATTTATGCATTATTTCAAATTATTTACCCTTATTATTTAAAATAAATCTGAAATTCATTTTGAAAAAGTTAGAATTATAAAATTATTTTTAATATATATATATTTTGGTTATTTATAAATTTTGATAAAATTTCAAAATATTTAGAATTTTTGGTTCAATTTCCATGTTGAGTAATTGTAGTTGGTAACCATACCAATTAAAAATATGTTAATAAAAGACTTTAAATTATTTAATCTTAAAAACTATCATTATCTAAATATGCTTTGTTCTGGCAAAGAAGATCAAAGGATATATTTATGGAAGAATAGTTTCTTAAATTGATATGTTTACATAAAATTAATAATAAATTAAAAAATAATAATCATGAAATGACTTATAAATGACAAATCTTAAACTTTGGTAAAGATGCTGAAATTTGAATTGTTTTGTTTTTGTATTGCATTAAATAAATAAAATAAAAAGAATGAATAATAATAACCTCCTAGAGAAACACCAATGCTTTTGAACATATCAAAATTATCAAAAGGATCATTATAGAGATATCAAGTAAAACAATTATCGATTGAATCAATTAGACATATTATTAAAAGGAGTAGCCATTCTTAGATTAAAATAGCACATTAACATTGGAGTAAAAAGTTCAGATTCATTATGAATCATAAAAATTAGATGATAAAGTAGTGTTGGAGAAATTCTTAAGATTAAAAAAGGATGACTCATAAGCAGCCCTAGCTAAAAGAAACCCTCGTAAAAAACCATGATTTGATTATAAATTATCAGAAATCCAAACTTTGCTTTTTTAATTATATTAGTCCTTTTAATGGATGCAGCTTTGTTAGGGCTTTCCTTAAATTGATTAGGTCCTCGATTTTTTCTAAATTTTTTAGTTGTTCTTCATATTTTTGAGTTTCGATGGTAGGATCAATGATTTTCAAAACTGAGATTTGGGATTCAATCATGCCCACAATAGCTCCTTTATTCCATCCCTTCGTGTATGAATCGTTGTATATATTGGCGTCAACTTTAGCTTTTCCTTCTGTTACTCCTTTTTAGAAAGCCTATTCTGCGATTTAATTTGGGATGAAAGCAATATTATCAAAATCATCATTCATAATTTATATATATTGATCATTTCTTCAATTCTAAATATTCAGCATAAGTTAATTAGCCTTTAGATGTTTCATAAGTAGTCACTTCAATCTTATCAAATAAGTTTAGTAATTCTTCCGATATCCTGCTTTTGCAATCAAATGTTGCAAATTAGTATTGATATTCCACACTTCTTTAGCTGCTACTTCGAGTAGAAATATAGCTCCACAATCTAAAAAGGATTAGATAAATTGATTGTGATTCAAAACCTCTTTCCTTCTCTTAGAAATCAATTATAATTCCTTGCTTCCTTATTTGTTTTTGATTCCATTTTTGTCTTTTTAAAAGTTGACCAACAAACTCACTCCAACATCAAATTAACCTAAGACTTTGATCTAAATCGGAGGGAATTGACTATCTTTAAAGGCAGATAAATAAGTATATTTTCTTAATTGTTAACTCAAAGGGTCAGGGCAAAATATTCCTATGCACCCTCTCATATTTTTTTGTTTGCATAAAAGTCACAAATACAGGTGCATCAAAATCTTAGAAGGTTGGCTGGCTTAGGCACATCTTATTTTTGTAAGAATGAAATCAGGACATCAAAACAATAAGCTCAATGTATTGGGAGAGCTTAATTAAATTACATAATAATATGATTGGCTATCTGAAAAAAGAAAACCTAATTGAACCTGGATGTATGTATCTTAGAAAAAATTAAGCTGAAAAGGTGATAGTTGCAGGGAAGATAGAGAGAAAAATTTTTGAGAATATTGAAATGGAGCCTTTTGAAAAGGAATAGCTGAAAAATTTAAAGTAAGCTTTGATTAACCATGCACCCTTGAGATTACCAAAAGAGTAAGATTCATCGATATTTTAATAGATGGTAAGATAGTGACTACTTAAGAATCTTGGCTTATTGTGATTATGATATAGCAAATACCATTCAAGTACTATATTTAGATAAATATAAAAGGTCTTAAGGCAACATCTAAATTGGAGAAATAAGATTAATTTAGAAATTCCTCCAGAACCTATCTTAGTATCATTTTTAATTAATTTGATAGTTAAATGGGGCGCTTTACATACATGGCCACGACAAACGTTTTCGACCAGTTATCATAATTAACACACTAAAAGCTCTTAAAGTAAATAACGATATGTATATTGTGGTAGTACAAACTCTAAGAATTTAGGGAGGGTTTTGATTATTTATTCACAATGCTAATTAGAGATGTTTTGATATCATATTATGTTGAATCAACAATAATTTTAGTAGATATGAGCAATTTAGATTAATCATCACTCCCTATAACAAATGAAGCGATCAATTTTGTGAAAAACTGCGAATACAATTATTATGGAAGAATTCATAAAATCTATATAATCGAAGACTTTTAGAAATGGCAATGCAATCAATTACTTTAAATCTTAAAACCTGAATCATAAGACAAAATAGTTTTACTTTAAAAGAAGAACCTTTTTCAATTAACAAATTAAATTGAAGAAAATTAATTAGAATCTAAATATTTAGGCTTATAACCAGACATTTAAACTAATTTTTGGTAGATAGATTAAAATTTAATTTAGGCCACCCAAAGATCTTTCACCAAAAAAAATAGAAAAAAAGGAAAAAAAAGAAGAAGCAAAGACTGTTATGAGTTACACCGATGAATATTTATCCAAATCCCAGTTAATCATACAAAGAAGTCGTCCAGAAAGTAGTCAAAATAGTCAACTTTTTCTTTAAGTTTATAATGAAGAATAAGAGGTTGTTTTATCAGAAAGTCACTTAATTGAGCTGGCTGATTCAATCAACAACATCTTAGAATATGTAAAGCTATAAAATAAACTTTCAAGTTTCCTGATTCCCAGTTTCAATCCTCTCAACATAATAACTATAAAGGCATAGATTCTGCTCCATTATAATCAACAACAATAAAGCCAAGGGATTTGTAAAAGTAGGAATCAGAAATTTGGAGTGGCTCAGAAGTTTAGATGAGTTCAAATCTAGTTTTATAAAATCAAAAACGAGATCCTTGTTGCCAAAACTCTTCTATCTGTTAATTAATCTGACTATATGAAATAATTATTACATTAATTGTTTTAGAAATAGAAGTGATGATATTTTGATTAATATTATCAATCATAATCTTAGTCTTTCATTAATTTGGTTTTTATTATATAAATGTTTACATTAACCCATAGTAAATGGATTTTCTTTTGAATTAAGTTGCAAGTTCATTTACATTTGCTCCAAGACCTAATTATCTTTCGATATTAATTAGGATAACTTTTAAGAAAGAAATTATATCATTCTATTGAAGGTTAATTAGGTTTTGAAGACTTATTCGTATGTAAATATTAAAGTATTATCTCTAAAACTTGAGTAAATAAAAGTTAAAAGTTTTTCAATCATTTTAAGTTATTCTTCTTTTAAAATGTCTATTATTTAATATAAATATTTGTTTCGTAAGGATTCTAACATCACATAAGCATTATTTTAATTTGGTTGTGTGACTATTCTGAATTATTAGTTACCTACCATCAGTCTATTTCTTCGATCATTAAAAAAAGATTGGTTTATAAATTAATCTTTTTTTATTCTTGATTTCTAATCTACTTTTAATTGATAATTGTCCTCTTCAAAAGTTCACAATTTGCTATTAACTATTAAATTAATTTGAGCCAATAGTGGAATAATTTATTTAATAAAATTATTAAATCATTAAGTTAGGCTAACAAGTGACTATAATTAATGAAATTAAAAAATTAACATTTGCAAATATAAATAATTAATCTGAGCTAAGTACAATTTTACTATAACAATAAGATATGATTTGTCTCTTTGAGTTTTCCATATGTGTCTATAAAATTATTATAATTTTGCTTGATCAATATTATAAAAGGAACTTAAATGATCACCATCTGAAAATTCTACCGTATTTGATTATGAATAATCCTGTGCAACATTTACACTCATTTATTAAGATTATGCGAATTATTAATATTAATAATAATAAATAATTAATGGGTTGTTTGGAATTTTGGGTTGTAAACAGTTTTCTAGCAAGTGCAGTATTCGTAAGATTTCAATCTAAAATATTAGTTCATTTTGTTCTTAGTGGTGGATACTTAATACCCTCTTTATCCCTATGCTGTAGCATCTACTAAAGATAAATTACCTGATAAAAAACCTAGTGCGACAGCTTGTATTATAGCATCTTGTGTAATAATTCTAATAAATATTTAAGCTCTATCTTTTGATCGCAATAGGTTTACTATTTTGGAAAAAGAGCAGAGATCAAAGAATAAAGGAAAGTTAGCAATATCCTCGTTTGGCTGCTGCTTAAGGATTTGAATAATAGCAATCATCTTAAAGAGGACGTTCAATTGAATTGTGATGCGTATTTTACACATATTTTATATTTATCTAATATGATATTCTGCAAAAATGATGCATTGTAAAAAGTGATAAATATTTTAAACTATTGTCTATCCATATATATATTTGTATGCGAAATTACTCAAATCCAATGGATGAAGTGAGCATCCTTGTGATATGGGTCGGCAAGTCTTTCTAATGGTTGATTGAATGTTCCATCCTTAAATGTATAAATATAATAAGAATACCCAATGAGCAATATGAGTTGGGCGACCATGCCACTTCTTAAGAATATGTAAACACCAATTTGTGTCATTGTATAACAAGTGAGCTGGTTGTCTGGCTCTCCAAGCTAGAGATTCTGATATTCTGTTTTAGAAGGTAGGCATTTCCAAGAAATTTAATGCACTGCACACATTGTGATATTGATTAATATCTTTGCTATAATCATATGAATTCCTTTTTACTTTGTAAATCTATCTGATTGAGTTGATATCACCATTTTACCATGATAGGGCAAAATAGAGGTGAAATGATCACTCAACTTGGCCAAGAAGATCCACATGACAAACACTCTTGCGTAAAAATTACGGAGTGGTAACTAAGTTATTTTTATTAAAAGTATGTACTTCTCTCAATACTAAATATCCTAATCCAAATCCAGACAACCATTTAGTCACTGTCCATTCTCTCCAATAAGTATGATTTGGTTTAATGTAAATATATTTGTTAATAAATTCTTCGCATGTATATGATTAGAATGGTCTTGCCAACTAAATTAATCTAATAATTGTAATTACTTTTGATAAATCCTTCTTGTATCTCTCACTAGCTGATAAAAAGAATTCTTTCTTGCTTCTATTGAACACTGGTGAAAAGTTTTCATCATCAAAGTCCAATGATTTCAATTCAATATTTGCAATCATTCTGTCATCATATGCATCCTTTTAAAATACATCAAAATATTACTTATTCCTCTTATGTTGGATGCCACAATTTTGCTTTTCCTTATACGACAGGCATAAATAATTAAATAAATAATTATGTGATATTCTTAGAATTTTATCCTTGTAAAATATATATTCAAATTTACAAGTTTACTTCAATTTACAAATTCACTCTATTGCTAAAGGTTATGAGATAGGATCTCAATAATTACATTAGTCGTTTTTATTTGCACTTGAGTTTAAGGCTATTCTTCCAGTTTGTCTCTAAATCATTACACAACCTAGTTATGAATTTCAAATCTATAATGAATAATCTAATTGCAATAATTTGTTTTGCAGTTCATTCTCATTCAAAATCAGAAAAATTTCAATTTTTGTAAATGGACTTCAATTAATTTTATGTGTGTTTTTTATATAGGTCAATGAGGATGAGGAAAATTGTCAGGAATTACAAAGTGAATGGATAATAAATATTCTATTAATAATTTGATTTTTATAATGGTTGTTACAAATGAAGAAATAAGGGGAGGTTTTCAAGGAGAGGAGGATCTTGAAAATTTGGTTGACAAGGTAAAGAAAGAGAATGATGAGGGAAATTACAAAAAAGTAGTGGAAGCAATACAAGATTTATTCCAATAAGAAGGACAATCAAAATAAAAATATTTTGCAATGAAAGTAATATCTTTAATCAAAGAATTAAGCTAATGATGTTATTAAGTAAGAAATAACTATTCATCAACAGTTTCATTAAGGCTAAGAATCTCTTTGATATTTTCGGGGAACTTGCATTGTGTGACTATCAAAAACCTTATGAGTTGAGAGGATTCAAAATATTCGGGGCGAAGGAGGGTAATATTAATTGATTCAAATCGTAGATCAATTCTATTGTTAGGGTTTCTATGACCTATTGATGGAATGCATTTCATATTGGGGTACGAAGTACGCTGCCGATTAGAAGGGGAATCCTACGATATTTGGTAGGCTTTTTGAAAAGCTAATCAACTAGGGAGTGAAACCGAAGGTCGACTTGCAACACTTTGAATTAACAAAAGAGCAAATAGAGAAATTAAAAAGTTTTAGTGTGCCAACTGAATAATAAAAATTAAAAAACAATATGAATGATTATAGTTTAGAGGATTTGAAAAAGATGTATCAAGAGATGTTCAGTCAAACAAATGACTTGGTTGAGAGTTTAGAATAAAATTTGAAGGGAGAAGATCAAGCAACTGAGATTATGGATTAATGTAAAATTGTTAATTTATTTCTAGTGATGGAAAACGCCTGTAATGATGCAGAGAAAATAAAGCCGAATCTGGAATTGTTGCATGCTCGCCAAAACGAATTGGGAGAAGGCTAAAGAAAACAAATTGGTTACAGATTCAAAATCATTACTACTTTGATAGAAGCTCATAAAGCGATGCGGGCAGAGGGTTTTACGAATGAAAGCTATTAGATTTTCCGCTATGATGTCTTATAAGCAACAAGAGAAATCACAGGATCTGAAAAACCAAAACCTCCAGCAAATTATGGAAAGCCTCCCCAATAATAACCCATTCCCTAACCAGATATCAAAGTCCAACCATAATAAGTTCAAAAACCGCCCCAATAGCCAGAGAAAAGATAGGCTCAGCAACCATAACCATACTAAAGTAAATATCCCCCTGAGAAAGAACAAGATATTTAAAAAACAATCAAGCAGTCTGTTCCTTACAATCCTTAAAATCAACCGAATTATCAACCCTAAACATATGCTAGAAATCCACAGCCATAACAATAATAATATCAATAACCTAAGTAATAGAACCAACCCTATTATCAACCGAGTCAGCCTTATTAGCAGCCAGAAAAGCGTGTGCAATAGCCTCCTCCTTTTAAGAAATTGCCAATAGCTAGATCATATGATTATCATTAAAGTCCAAATAAGGATTAAAATTTTGAAGATAATTATGACAATAAAAGTTAGAGCTCCTAGTAAACAGGAAAGGAGTTCTATATGAAAGGACAGCTTGGATTAGAGTAATAGGTTTATGAGGGCCAATTTATTCCTTATGATGATAGAAATTTCACTATTTTTGAAGAGATCTATAACACCGATAGTGGGATAAGTAGAATAAAAAGAGCGAATTTGAAGAGCAGATATTCAATATTTGAATCTCTTGAAATTCAAATTGGATTCGATTCAAATTTGATTTATCATGAAATAACGAATCGTTATTATTTACGAATTCGTTTGTGCTTTGGAAATAAAACATAATAGATCTTACAGAATTTCCAATACTAATTTGAAGGAGACACTTGTATGGGTCTATGGACATAGGATCCAATTCATTAACATAGTCCAATAATATAAACGGATTAGTTAGGAAGATTGGTATTGAATCCAAAACAATAGATGTACATTCCAATATGCCTTAATTATAACCGTGTACCTTACTAAGTAATTTCAGGACGATTTAGTTACGAAATAGCTAATGATGAAGAGGGAAGAACATCTCATTTCATCCTTCCTTGTTTATTAACAAAATTCATGAGTTTTAGAGACACCACTAAAGATTCATTTCTGGCCAGATGGGAGTATAAATCGAAAAGCATTTTAAAGTCAGAATAAGTACAATTAAATTCAAGGATTGTTAATTCTAGAAATGACATTTTCAAACATTTTGGAACAAATAACATCTTGATTTTGCATGACGAAGAAGATTTACTTACGAGTGATGCTAATTAGATGTTAAAAAAGACTGAAATGGTGGGCAGTGAATTTGGGTTGGTATTTACCTTAAGTAGTCCATAAATAGAATTTTTACTGAAAATAATTTTATTCCCAAATCAAACTGTATTGTTTCAGATAATACCTTACTCATCTTACTAAACACAAGCAGAGGCAATTTTACACACACTTGTGTTTTTATTTTGCAAGCCAGATTGACTTAATATATTTAATTTAATATTAATAATTTTAATTTATTAATTAGAACGATTAGATAGGATCTGTCAATATAATTTTATGTCAATAATGGATTTCAGGAATTGGAGATTCTCAAACAGCCTCAGTAACTTTGACCTCTTCTAATTGTGTTTATGATTAATATAAATAAATAAGGGATTTTCCTAATATATAAAAATGAATGATCTAAATATATCACACAAGATTGGGAGTGGAGCCTTTAGTTAAGTCTACTTGGGTACTTACAAGAGTAGGTAAGTCGCAGTCAAGGTAAGCTTGGAGAAGTAAGTTAGGTGCTGGAGAAATCAGTTCCATGTTATTGTGAATTGTTTAATCGTGAAGTAGAAATACTAGAGTAACTTTAACATCCTAATTTAGTGAAGTACATTACGGTATATAGTATAATCATTATCACAGAGTTACGAAACATTTGAAAAATTATACATAGTGATGGATTATGTTGAGGGTTCAAATTTGACTGAATTGAGCAAATCCAACCTAAGTGAACAGAAGATCAGAAGTATAATCAAGCAATTGCTTATTGTCTTAACGTATTTGCACAATAAGGACATTACTCACAGAGATATAAAGCCTGGTAATGAAAATTATAAATTTAGATAATATCTTGGTTGGTCTTGACGGCAGAGTGAGACTGATAGACTTTGGGTTGTCTCAACAATCAGAATCTAGAATCTCATACGACAAATGTGGGACTCTCCTCTTCATGGCTCCAGAGATGATATTAAAAATGCCATATCTTAAGAGTGTAGATATGTGGAGTATAGGAATTATCCAATATCTTCTCTATGAGAGAAAACATCCCTTTAGTTACGAGAACCTCATAGAGAGTATTTAGACTTACAATGTCAATTTCTCCATCATGGACAAGTCCGCATAAAACTTCTTCAGGAAATGTGCTGCAGTCAATCCTGAAGCCAGGATGTCAGCTGAACAAGCCCTCATGCATCCTTGGATTACTGGAGAAGGAGATCTAGGATAGCCCATCACTATTCATGATAGAATGGCTATATTCTAAAATAAATAAAAGTTAATCTGCTTGATAAATGCTCTATCCTTCATCAAATATTGCACCTCCTTTGTTAAGGCTATCAGATTGATCATCCCCTTGAATGAAGAGGTTCCCCAATAGGAAATTACACTAAGACAACCGAACTAAGATGCCACTAACAGAAAATCTACGTCAAGAATAAAGTAAGCTAGATCAACTAGTCAGCTTTTCTTTGAGACTAATGTTGCTAGTCCATTAAAGAAATAATCTCCATTTAGAATAGTTCAGCCGAGGTAATCGCAAACAAGATTACAGCATTCGAATTCCATGCAACTTGCTCAAATGGCTAAAAGGGGATCTCTTAACAAATTACCGTATTATTCTATTTTATAAGGATATTAGCCCACTTAATTCTAGTAATTCACCTATAGAAAAGAGAAGAACTAATATCAGATTGCGTTAACTTTGATTCATTATGTATTTTAATATTACAGACTTCCATGGTCTCAAATTTATTTAGATAATTTTTTAATTTCTGGTTATTGTATTGTATTATATTGTATTGTATCTTCTCTTGGGGATTGAAAATAATATAGAATTTAAGTAAATTTGTTCTTGAGTTCACCTTTTTGGAATTATAAAATTTTGGTACTTATTGAATATAATAATTAATAAAACTCCCTATTGTGAGGAAAGACAAGTTTTAATTAATTTATTTAAATTTAAACATGTATCGAACAACTAATTCATCTTATGGAAGTGGCGTTGTTACAAGAAATAAAGAGCAGATGAGTTAAAAGACTTAGGATGTAGATCCAATGCGGATTGGGATTGAAAATATCGGCAATACTTGTTACATGTATGCAAGAACAATAAGCATCCTAGAAACTCAATGTTGCAATGTTTATTCAACACTCCTGCCATCAGTACAGCTATGAAGTAGTACAAAGACAACAAAAACAGCACTGAGTTGTTTAAACAATTTTATAAAATATGGTTTAGCATTTAGGCAGGAATAGAACCTGAACATAATGACATAATCCAATTTAAAAAATTGATGAATCAGCACAGAGAGTTTGATAATTTCAATCAATAGGATTGTATTGAATTCTTCCATGTTTTCTTGGATATTGTAAACACAGGCTTTCTCACATAACCTTTCTTTGGTTAATTGACTTATTAAATAAATTGCCAAAATTGTAATAACTCTAGCAAATAAACCGAATAATTTATCAATTTATCTATCTACATAGAGTAAGCATGTAGATTGAGTCAATTGCTATCTGACTATTTCAAACCAGAGCAATTGAACTCTCAGGAGAAATGCAAAAAGTGTCAAAAGACGAGTCCATTGATAAGGAAGACCAATTTGAGTGCACCTCCAATGGTGTTAGTAATTTAGTTAAAAAGATATGATTCAAGGTAAACCAGATCTAATAATGCTATTGAAATAGAATAAAGTCTTATACTGAAAGGGTTTTGTGATTAGAGTCCTTTGTATAAATTGTATGCGGTCATCAATCATCAAGGATACAGCATCTACAGTGGCCATTACACGTGGTATACATATATATTCGAGTATCATAGTTTGATCAAGGCAGCCACCTGTTGGTATTATTTCAACGATCAAAGAGTTTCGGAGTACTCAAATAAGGTGGTGGATGATGAACTGTAGAAATCGCAGAATTCCTATGTATTATTTTATCAGAGACAATGAATGTAATTAATATATTTTGTTATCATTATCATTCTCTGAATTATTCATGTTAAGTATTAGGGGCTCTGTCAACTTTTGCAGAATTGAGAGCCAACACTTTCTCCTCCTTAGCTTCAGGCACTGGAAGCACCTTAGGATCATAAGGCCATTTCTCAATCAATTCTTGAGGATTCTCCAAATAACTGCCCTGTCCAAAATTGACTTTCAGCCCATAGAATTTACCCTAAAAATAAAATTGCAACTTACATAAAACAAGGGATGGGATTGATCTTTGATTACATTTAAGTAAAAGGCATTGGGAACCGCATGTTTCACAGAGAACACCTATTCTGAAGGACCCTTAGTACTAAGAACATAAGCTCTGGCCTTCCCTACAGTGTAACCGAAGTAAACATATGTCCATTGATATGGTAACAAGTCAAATTCATGAGATACTGGCTCGAAAGTGGGATCCTTCAAAGTATAAGTGCAAGCCACCAACTTTTAAACTTTTGTGAAAACAGCTAACGTTCTATCTCCAATGAATCTTTCATCAGAGCCTTCATTGTTCGTAGTCAATCTGACCAATCCTCTCAGATCATCAGACATTTCAGGCTGTAACACTGCATTTTGCATCCAAAATCCGTATGAATACTCTAACAAACCCACTTTATTTGTGAAAGAGAATTGGAACTTGTCCTTTTTCTCATTGATATCATCAGGCAAAGTAGTGTCTACAATAGCAACAGGCCATTTAAAATCTTCTGCATCAAGAGCAGGTACTGGCAACTTACGATGCAACTTCAAAACCATATCTACTACTTTCTATCCTTCATTAATGAAAGCACCAGCGCCTAAGAAGATTCTAGGATCAAATAACCATCCATGGAATCCTTTTCTACCAAATTCTTTGGCTCCCAATACAAATTTAGCATAACCAGTCAAAGCTCTATGTTGCACTTACAATTCCACATGCTATGCCTTTTGTTATTCTCTAAACAACACCAAACCATAGAATTGTCCACCTTTATAGGCAGTGTAAATGTAAGTCCATGCACCTTCTAATTCTCCATATGGCAATTTCGCATCCACTGCATTTGATGGCTTACTTATGTCATAAGTACTGAATTCATAATTACCCAAAGTAAGGAAAGCAGACAACACTCTGTCTCCTAATTCACTCTTATCCTAATCTTACTTATTTGCAGATAACCTAAAGATGTTGTGTTATGGTTGTCTCTCAGTTAAAGTAGTAGGGAATGAGATGAGCCATCTAGTCCATACTCCAATCGAATACTCATCTACTGATTCAACCTCTTAATTGAACTCCTGAGTGATTGCCTATTCTGTTTCAACCACTGTATCTTCCTTTCTAAACCACATGAATTTTTGATTTATAGCTATTGCATTATAATTTGGTAGTAAATCTTCATAGCCTCTCTTCTGAACACTAACAAATGCACCAAATCCATAACAAGCAACCCATTTTTAAATTTCTCCTTAAAATCTCTTTGTATATGGATCCTTAGCCACATAAATACCAGTGTAATGAGGAACAAAGTGTTGAACTCCTTTGAATATCAATGGTTTATCCTCTTCGAATAAATGCAATAAAGCATGAAGTTCTTGTGCATCTTCATTGTATCCCATGTAGATGTAACTCCAAGCTCTCTTATTATGACCCAATGGTACATTTTCCTCTAAGAATTTAGCTTCATTCCAATCCTTCAATCCAGCAAGTGTATAAGTCGATAATTTAATTGAATCGACACAAATTGAAGCGAATAGTGTTCTGTCACCCTACGATCTCTTATCATTTAAATGCTCTTTATCATTATTGGTAACTCTGAACAAGACTTAACAATCATTAGCACTCATTCCATTAACATTGGCTGCTTTGAACCAACCACTAATTGAGTATTCTCCAACACTTGACCAAGTTTCACCTCTTAATTCAGTACCACCTATTTCATCTGTAACAGTTTCCAATTTTCCAATTAATTCCTATTGTCCATGTTTCTCCTTATGAATATATGCAACTGTTAAGGCTTATTCTAAAGCATAAGAATTTTGAATAGTCTTCATAACTTCTTAGGCTAAACTTAAAAATGATCCAGGACCGAAACTCAAGGCTAATTTACTTATTATGCCCTAAAATGAAGGTACGTCTGGTTCACCTCCTATATGTAAAATCACGAAGTCTCCTAATGGCTTATGTAACAAATCTGTGTTCTTTGCTGATAACATCTCTGTTCCATCAAACACAAAGAATGATGCTATTTACTTGGATCTGAGATAGCCCATGTAAATATAATGCCATTAACCTTCTAATCTTTAGTTTGAAATTGTATGCAATTCATTAGGAGCATCATCATTCAAGTCATAGGTTGCAAATTAAAATCCATTCTAAATGACGAAAGATGCAAGTATTCTATCTCCAATAGCAACCTTTCCTACTTCGTTCTTTTCATTATTTGTCAATCGGATTAATTACATTTCCAAAGGCAATCTATATTACCTTTCAGGCCAAGATTATAAAAATCTGCACCAGAGTCCAACACTGTATTCTTACATAGATTCAATTGGTTTATCTGGTTCATCATTAAATCTAATTGTTTATGGCTAGCCAAGTATCAATTTTTCACTCTTTTCCCATTTGTACATTTTTTCTTGCGAGAACAACTTGGGACCCAACACATAAACTGGCAATTACAAGAAGTTATCGTTTCTGAAGGCTCCTTCTCCGAAATTAATTGTCAATTAAGCCAATCGACTATTATAATTTTCTAATTGTCCATCTTTTCCTACAAAAAGAAGATATTTGGATGCCACAGCATGTAAGATTGGCTCGTTACCTTTGTTCTCATGAGAATCTGCTCTTAAGAAATACTACACCTTTCTCTCCTTCTTCGAATAAGCAAAATAGGCGAATGTCCAAATTTCTAGTTATTGCTTTGGAATATTGCATTCATAAGGGACATTCAAAGTTAGATCCTACAAAGAATAAGTACTAAATAACGCAGTTCCAATATGTGCCAACATCAAAACTTTGTCTCCTATATTCTTTGCATCATCCTCTCCTTTGTTTGATGTTAATCTATAAATTACTTGATTTGGTCTAACTTGTGTTTTAAACCATCTAAACCATAAAGACACTGAATATTCCCTTGCCTCTTATTCAATAGTCAATGGATTCACAATCTTAAGATTTTAGGCATCTTATTTTCCAGCAACAACTTCATATTATTTTGTAACAACACTAATCTCAGGCTTTGGATCCTTGTTCTTTATTCTAGCTAGAATTCCTTATTTATTTTCAATAAAGGCTCCAGGACCAAGATTAAATCTAACAGTTGTAATTTATCCATTGAAATTTGGATAGAACTTTCCTGCGTGACCAATTGTTAATTACAAATAGTTTTGCAATAATGTATGTATGACATCCATCTATATTCCTGCAGTGATATCATTATAAGAAGAAAATGCTACAGCATGACCTAGAGTCTATGAGATTCTCTTATAACTGAAATAAAGGTAGATCCATTCACTTTCAGATTCCAACAAATAAGGAATATTTCCATTCACATTGTTCGAAGGAGGTTGCATATTGTAAGTTGAAAAATGGTGAATACCTTTACCTTGTAAGATCAAAAGCACTCTATCTCCAGGTTATTCAAAATCTTTATAATCCTTTTAGCTTGTCAACCTGGCTAATCCCATCCATTGTGGTTATTGATACAAAATACCCTTTTGTGCAAAATGCTAGAATCTAGCCCAAAATCCGAAACCGTACTCACTTACTCCATGAAGATGTAATTTTTCACTTTACTCGAATTAAACATGTAGAGGTACATCCTTCTCATTAGCAGCACACTCAATAATCTATTCAATGTGTTGAGCTTCTTATCCTGCCTATTACAATTTAACATGATCAGTTCCACTAATAAAGCCAAAGTGTACTTTGATATTTTCATCAGAATCAAAATTACCTTCTCTATATGATCCTTCTCCAATATTAATTACCCATGTTTTCATTGATCCCTAGAACTTTTACTCCTCTGATGAAATAATTACTGAAAATACTGCTACATAGAAATGAGTAATTTAATCCTAATTAAATTTGCTATCAGTAAATGTAAACTTCACATAGCCAAATGTTTTTTTCAATAATTATGAATAACCATAGTAAATGTAGGTCCATTGATCCCAATATTCTCCAAGAGACTACTCTTGAGTAACAATTCCAGAGCAATCATCTCCTTTGCAAGAGTATGTATTAAAATTATAGGCCAAATCTGATCTTAATATTTATAGAGTTTATTCAAATTTTCCATTCAAATCAGCAAGTCTTTTTTGAGCAAAAGAGGCAATAGGAAACACTTTGCCTACTTTCTAAATTCCACTCCATTTCACCCAACCTGAAATACTATACTCTTTAATTCCTTAGAATTTATCAAATTGGAACTTTTGGCTTGGCTATTCAACTGGTAGTCCGATTAACTATTATGTTTATCTGCTAATTGGACGTATTTGGGCCTTATCAGGTAAAGTATTTTATGTCAACAATTTGAGTTGGTCTGCTGAATTAATGAATGCTCCTGGTCCGATTGAACATTATATCTTGCACATTTAACCATTGAAGAAAGGTGCCTAGCTTTTTCCAACAACAAATTCTGCATACTCCAATAAGAAATCATGCAAAATATCAAAAACGACTTCCTTTATTTCTCCTTCAACTCCAAATTAGACATAACCTTTAGCTATACCCTTATTTGCAACTCGTTTATAACCAAAGTAAACATAATTCCATGAACCCTCTATATCATCAAATTCAATTTCATCTTTTGCTTTGTAAGTATAGAATTCGTAAGCTTATTTACTTAATGTAACTGCCAAAGTTTGATCCTTCTCTTAAAGAGGCCTTGTGTTTGCTCTCTTTAGTTTACCATCAACTTACTCAATTAAATATGGGGCTGTGCCAAATCTAGCAATATTATGAACAGCACCTCTTTGAACCAAAA